TATGATACTGCGTTGAGTGGTTATCTCGGTCGTGAGAAGACCTACGGCTCTGTGAGCCAATGCTATTGGTGGCCTAAAAATTACAAATGGGTGAGCACATATGTGCGTACGTGTGAAAAGTGTCAACGGGTGAAACCCTCACCTCACGCGGCCTCGCCGCTGGCTAGTTTGCCTATACCCTAGGGGTGTTGGGAGTCCATAAGCATGGATTTCCTGTTCGATTTACCGAAAGATTCGTATGGCAATACGGGTACTGTGGTCTTTGTTGACCGTTTGAGCAAGATGGCTCATTTAGAGGCGGTACCGGATACCATTGATGGTGAGGGTACAGCTACGCTGTTTATCGACCGAGCATTTCGACAGCACGGTTTGCCGTTGGCAATTGTCTCTGATAGAGATCCTCGCTTCACTGAAAAGTTTTGGAAGTCCATCTCCAAGGTGCTCGGCACATGATTGGACATGTCCACAACGGATCATTCGCTGACTGATGGTCAAACCGAGCGAGTGAATCGCATCATCGGTGACATCTTGCGCAGTGTTTGCGCTGAAACGCCAAAGCGTTGGGGTTCGATGATCCCTGTCGTTGAGTTTGCGTTGAATAACGCCGTGCATTCCTGCACCGGCTACACGCTGTATTATGTGAATGGTCTCACACACCCTCGCGTTCCGTAAACGATGCCACTGCGCGGTCCAGGGCTTGGTGGGGGAAGAGTTGCCGATCGGCTTGCTGATATCAGCCCTACTACTGTTCAAAAACAGGTAAGCGAGTTTCTCGCAACGCGATTGAATGTCTTTCGAAATGTGCGTGACGCACTGGCTGATAACCAAGACAAGCAGGAGGAACAAGCTGATGCTAAAGGCAGCGGTTGTATTGAACGTTATGAGGTCGGAGACCAAGTTCTACTCAATGCTAAAAAACATACCTACAAACGTAGTGTCCGCCGTCTTTAAGACAAAGTTGCGTCCGCGCTTCATGAAACTATTCACGGTCGTCGCCAAGCAGGGAATTGCGTATAAGTTCAACCTTCGGCGCAAACTGCGCACACATATTGTGTTCTACTTAAGATTGCTTAAGCCGTATCGGGATCCGCACCACGTGAACTGGTAGGCGCTTGCGCCGCGTCGGTTGGCCTGGCCATCGGTTGCTGAATCCGTATCAGGAGGTCAAGCTGAGCCTCCATCCGGGCTTGGCCCAACTCCAACACCTGGACACGGGGTCGCATCGCGTCAAGCGCACTCTGGGTCTTACTTAATGTCTCACGGAGACCACTCAGCTCGAGAAGCACCTTCTCATGCTCCTCCTTCGGTATACCGACCACCTCCGACGCTGCTCGATGAGCAAGGAAACCGCCAGTTCCATGTGGAGCGACTCCTGAAACGACCTCGTTGTCAAGACCAATACCAGTATCTGGTAAAGTGGCGAGGGTAACCGGAGTCGGAGAACTCATGGGAGCTTGAGACACCCCTTCGTCAGGATTGCCCATACGCCTTGGATGTCTTTAAACATCGCGGCAGGGGTCATCCCTCAACCAAGAGCGCTTCTCACTAATAGTGGTGGAGGCAGGTGGGGAGTTGGGAATCGCTTGACTAGCACTTACATCAACCGACACAGCCGAGAATAGCGTGTGCGTGTTCGCAACTGGCCTCTGGCCTTAAGCTTGGCGTAATCATACCGAAGCTTTCGTCTTAGACGAGCGTCTGCCACATCGGTACTTGCTCTGAGAGCTAACACGCTGCTGAGGTGTCGTTTCCGATGCACCCAGGGAGGAAAAGCGTTGTCTTCTTCCTCCTATATTCGCCTCCGAATAGAAGGATGGGTATACCCTTCATCGGTGGAACCGGTGCACCCCGTGCTTGCGTGTCAAGTCGCAACTTGTATTGACTTTGAGTCGTCAAGTGAGGTTGCAGGTACCTCTCGCGAAGTACCTGTCGACTCGCCACCTCATCAGAAGATGTTGGCTCAGCGCCAATGGCCCACGTTGCCAAAGAACGACCTGTCGTTTGGCTTATACGCTCTTCCACATTGAGTGGTGTGAACAGATAGCCACGACGACCCTCAAGAGTCGCAGCAAGCTGCATACGGCGCTGAGCGCTCTCCTCTCTTTGGATAGCCAACTGTTGCTGCTCATCGAGCGGATTGGTGATGATGGCATTGCCCACGATGGGTGTTTGATGCGGCGCCGATGGCGTGTTCGCTTCGCCACACTCGGCAAATGGGTCTGATGCAGTATGAGGCGGTGCCTCTTGCACTGGTGAGTCGGACATTGTCCTCTCTTCACCATGGATATCGGTGTCGCTCCCATAACCCACCTCCACATCGACGCCGAGGTAGGACGAGAGAGTCGATAACTCATGGGGCGGCTATGCTATGGTGTTTTGTGTTTTGCCAACCGTAAGGTTGAAGCGCACACACACCGTCCTCTTCGAGGAAAGAATTCGATCGACGTTTTCGGTGACGTCAGTCTAGTGGGAGAGGGTGTAACGGGGTTACACGCCGACTGGTAGTTGACAATAGGTGTGGTGCACACAAGGGATGGGATCCCGTTTTAAATTGATATTAGAACACAGTATCAATTGCTGAATACTGATGTCTGTCAACCATTGATTACGAGATCTTTTAAGAGGTTTGTTTAGGACATTAGCGAGTAGGTGAATTACTTTGTTCTAAGGTGTTCCATAAGATTAAAAGAGGAAATAAAATTCAGTTTCTATTTTGACCCAATAGACACGTGCCTCTCTGATGCGTCTTGCGATCGTTAAGGAGGTGGCAACGCCTTTTAGGCATCTACTCCTTGTGCACTCTGTGCGTTTAATTCTTTGAATCGTTTGGTCCTCGTGGAACAGGGACCGTAAGCTCTCTGAGCTTGTTGACTCTTTGAGTCGGGTTCTTTGAACCAAGCCTTAGCTCTCTGGGCTGTTGAGGCCTTGATTCGGGTTCGTAAAAAACCAAATTTGCTCATTGAGCGTTAAGTCTTCCTCTGACATCAGGAGCTGTTTAGATCCGTTACACGCATGCTGTTGTTGCTGATATTACAGCTGCTGGTACTGAAGCTGTTTAGGCTGTTGATCCTGACGTTGATGCTGTTGATACTGATGCTGTTGACAATGATGTTGATGCTGTTGATACTGATGCTGTTGTTGATGATGTTGATGCTGTTGTGTTGACGCTGATGACGCTGTCGACACTATCGCCTTTTGAAATGTCCGCTCTTGTCCGATTGATGACTATACATGAAGAGATAAAAGGATGCTATTTTAAAAAATAATGTATTGTTAATAAATTTTCTGTCCATCGTCTTTTGTTTATAAAATTATACTAACTAGATAAAATGCTGACGTTGCTATTTGATGCACTTAACATAGGCAGCGGTCTGGTCATCCTTATCAGGTAGATAAGTTGTAATGGAAGGTGCTTTCGATGCATTCTACTATGTGCAATATGTCGTGTGATTTAATGGAGATGGGGTCCGAAATAGCTCTAGTTGGAAGCAACGCCTTGTACGCCACAATGTTCTGTGTAAAGATTTTTCATTGAGATTGCTGCACGCGCTCAACGTTATTGGCGCTAACAAACAGATCTTGCTTGCGGACAAGCGACATTTCAGACGCCCGACCGAAGGCTTGGCACATTAGGCACACAAGTGCAGCGTCCTAGTAGTCCATTGAAATCGTAGCAGTCATGTCAATGTGCTACATAAGTAATAGAATCTCATTTTTTTCGCATGTGATGCTCGTAACGGGGCACACCCTTGCGTGAACTTAACGCAAGGGATTTGGGTGCCCCGACGGACGTACACGAGGCAAACGAGGAAGCGTAGATAAGGGAAAAGCAGAACTGTTATATTTATATAATTAAGTCTTTAACCACTGTCTCTCTGTTTGACTTAACTTAATTATTCTAATCTAATTGAATGTATGACGACGTCTACTCACCACTCATTGCGCGCGTCTTGCGGCGATTGGTGGGTTGATATCGTCAAGATATCAACCAATGAGCAGACTCTTTGGTCGACCCATCCATATCACCACAATTGGTGATATTGTTTAAAGAATATTCAACTTCATATCTTTTATTGTCATTATCTTCTAAATATGAATTTTCATGTAACGGGCTGCCCCGTTACAATGCAGCTTTCTTCATGGACCCTCTCACTCTTGTCATGCATGGTCACTCTAGAGTGCGCGCCATCACGAGTAGTTCGTCGTACACGATTGATCTTTGTGAAGCAAATTATTGTAGCAGCCACTTCGTAACTTGACTGTAATAGAAGAGCCCAGCGTCTCAAGCTTAATTCTCTATTTCTGCCCTTGAGGTTGGCGAGGTGCATGGCAAACTTCTTCATTACAGCGACAAATTACGCATCAAAGAGATCACTGAGGATAGACGTGTTAACCGTGAAGGACCCCGGCACATTCGTTTCATTAAGTTAAGTTTTTTGCTGCTGTAGACATGGCCGCCTTACTGTTGGTTGGCACCAACGACTAATTGCTCATGTTCCTGCGCTGTCTAGTTATAGAAGTGTACTAGCGTATATAAATGTTTAAGTTCAGCTTAATGATACTTTGCAGTGGCGTAGGGCTACAATTGTACAGAATTGAGTGAAACAGGTAATTAATTACGACGCTGCCATATTTGTCAAAATCTTTTGCAGTGTGCAAGGTAGCATGCGTGTCACTAGGCATTTGTATGGAGCCCATACCTATTTTTGGCTTCGTTCCGACAAAATAGGTCGGAATGATGCCGGAATGAATTTGCCTTACCCCTAATCGTCCGATTCGCTGAAACGGCTATGTGAAGGATCATGGATTGGCTATAATCAAGTGGCAATCTCCTATTGGCCCACCATTGCATACGGAGAGCAAATGAATTTTCGTTTGTCGGAGTTGTGATCATATGCCAACTTGACCCACCGCGCTTGTCAATCGGTCGACCTCCCAGCCACCCACCGGCCACACTCACTTTGCGAATCAATCCATCACTCCCACACCTGTCCGTCGTCATGGCGCAGCCCCATGTCAACGAGACACTACTCGACGTCCACAAACCCTTTGCGGAGTGCGCGTTCGGCCTCGACCGCCGTCTCACGAAGGCCGTGGCCAAGATGCAGTTCGTTCACGCAACGCTCGTGCAGCTGCACTGCATTCCACTGGCTCTACAAGGCAAAGACCTGCTCGTGCGTGCCCGGACCGGTTCTGGCAAGACAGCAGCCTTTGCATTGCCGCTACTGCACAAGATACTGCAGACCAAGCTACAGGACACCACTGGTGCTGCTGTCCGTGCGCTCGTGTTGGTGCCAACAAAGGAGCTGGTGGAGCAAACGCGACGTCATCTGCTTGAGCTCATGCACTACTGCCAAGACACGGTAAGTGTTTTGGCACTAGGTGGCCAGAGCATGAACGCTCAGCAGGCGCTGCTGCGTGACGCGCCAGACGTGCTTGTAGCCACGCCTGGTCGTCTTGTGGCCCACTTGGACGCTGGCAATTTGACGCTCAAGGACTCTGTGCAGACGGTCGTGATTGACGAAGCGGACTTGGTGCTGTCATTTGGATATGGAGAGGACATCCGGACGATTGTCAATGCGCTGCCAAAAGCATGTCAGACGTTTTGCATGTCGGCGACGTTAAGTCCAGAGCTCGAGACCCTGAAGCGCTCAGTGCTGCACAATCCAGCGGTCGTGAAGCTCGAGGAAGGTGCGACAGATGGAAAACTTCAGCAGTTTTACTTGCCGGTGAAGGCCGCAGACAAAGACTTGCTGCTGTACGCACTGCTGCGACTTGGTGTCGTGAGCGGCAAGGTGATCTTCTTTGTCAACTCAACTCCTGCTGCGTACCGACTCAAGCTATTCTTTGAGCAGTTTGTAATCAAGAGCGCGGTGCTCAATGCGAAGTTGCCCCACAACTCGCGCCAGCACATTATTGAGGAGTTTAACCGCGGCTTGTTTGACTACCTCATTGCTACCGACGACAGCGTCGATCGCGACGAAAATGGCGACGAGGACGACGACCAAGAAGGGGTCGAAGAAGACGAGGGTGCGGAAGAAGACGGAGGTGAGGACGAAGAGGAGGAGAGCACAGAGGAGTCGGGCGTGGGGTCTACTAGCGCCGGGATAGAGAATGACGAAGAGAGCGACAGCGATGACGAGAGTGACAAACCAGAAGATGAGAACAGCGAGATGGAGGACGAAGGTATGGGTAGCGACAAGAATGAGGCATCCGAAAACGGCGATGCTGACAAGATGCAGGACAATGAAGTGGTTGGTGCAAAGCACGGTCGCGCTGATGACAAGAGCTATGGGGTGTCGCGCGGTGTTGACTTCCGCGGTGTTAAGTTTGTCATCAACGTGGACTTTCCTAAAAGCGTGCGTGCGTATACACACCGCATCGGACGCACTGCTCGTGGTGGTGCATCTGGCACAGCATTGTCTTTGGTGGCCAAAGAAGACTTGAAAGAAGAGCGTGCACTGAAGCGTGTACAAGCCAAGCAGCAGGCTGTGCGCTCCGAGTCAAATGACGTTATCGCCCAGCCCGCTGAGCTAGCGTTCGACCTCAAGGAAATTGATTGCTTTCGCTACCGCGTGGAAGATGTCCGTCGTGCGGTTACACGTGTGGCTGTACGCGAGGCTCAGCTCGCTGATGTAAAGAAGGAGATACTGAACTCTGAGCGTCTAGCAGCACACTTTGAGGCGAACCCTCGCGATCTGAATATGCTCGAGCACGACAAGGTGGTGGGCTCCGCACCTGTGCAGCCCCACTTGGCAACTATCCCGGACTACCTCGTGCCTATCGAGCTGCAACCACCAGCACCAGCTCGTACGAAGAGGAAACACAACAAGCGGCAACGCCTTACGGGCGGCAAGCGTCGTACTGATAATGACCCGCTGCACACGTTTGAGGCACCTGACGTTGGCGGCGACAAGAAACAGACCGTGGAGGATCGTATCAGCTATGGTAATACCGGCGTGGGAAAGAGCACTGCTGGTCGTCAGAAGTGGAAGAAGCAGCACCGTAAGGGCTCTTTCAATCCAAAGACGATCGCCAAGAAGAAGTATAAGATGAGCAAGGGTGCCACACACTAATGAGCATAACTGGAGCCAATCTCGTCAACGAGCCGATAGCCGAAACCAGGTATTATGGAAACTTGTTTTTGCCTGCCAAATCGATGCACGTCCGCAGCATTTCTTTCTCCGTCTTAAAAGTGTCGTCTATCTTGCGCATAACTAACGGAGATCGTGATCGATAGCGACAGCTGTCGACTGGTGTCAATGTATCGCAGAGCTGGAAGCAGTACGTTGTGAGGCGACGCGAGCGCAGCAGACCCGCATGGCTCTTTTGTACGAACGAAAGAAGCGGTCACGGATCTGCATCGTACGCCCTGCTGGTCTGGCCGCTTCTGAAGCAGCTATAGGTGGTGCCACTTGGTGCTTTCATCGATCATTTGCACTATCACGTATCTCAAGATCCCGAATCGGAGCAACGGTCAAATCGGCACGAGTTCGAGAGGTTGAAGATGTCGTGCCACGGATCGACATGCTGACGCAAATGACGACTGGTGGTCTTTTGTAGGACGCATATCGAAAAAAACAACCATAGATGACAATGTGAATAATACGGACCGAAGGCGAGTCGAGCTAGTTGGTGTTGCGACGTACACTTTTGCTGTCATGCTGAGGGTAAGCCGACCTTGTAATCGCTGCAGTTGAATGGGAGTAAACGCTTGGCACGTCATCGATCATGACGTTTTCATCAACGCTTGGCTGCTTGTGGACGTCTCACCGCCATCTTCATAACCAGCGCATTCGGCGTAGTTAGCTCGCCTATCATCATCAGGCGTGCGACAATAATATTCTAGACCGAATGACTTATGAGCTTGACATGCGTACTTCTCTTGTCGTTCTATCGAACCCTACCCGAGCGCGCGATTGGCGTGTCACGTTGAAGTGAAGCTACGAGGAAACGTACATGTGCGTGGCAGGCTCGATTCGGTCTACTAGCTTCGTGCATTCAAATGAGTTGGCGCAAAAGAGCCTGGTCCGTTAGTGCGCTGTGCCGGATTCCATAGCCCAAATACACAAACAGCCCCACACCCAGCCAAATGAGCACACCGAGCCTGGAGGCAGTCAATCAGCGGGAGCCGTGTGAGATACAGCTATATACACCCCCGAGGTAGTCAATGTACGTACCAGCCCTCGCCGGGAATGCTTGCCATCATAAACACATTTGCGAAAATCCCAATGCACGGTACAAACGGTACGAGTGGGCACTGAAATGATGTTGCGAGGGTGCTGAAAGCGCATGAAACACACACACGACAACAAGATATAAACCAAACCATTATCGCGCCATAAGTTAGCAGCACTGCGTACCTGAGCTTGCCCAATCGATGGATGAACACGAACGAAGCGAGAACCGAAACTGCAAACGCACCCTGAATTATCCAGGGAAGATCGAGCGCGAACGATAGCGACAACGCGGAGCACGACAGCACATACAAGAGAACGCGTCCGACGACGCTAGTGGCGCTGACACTCGGACGCATTCGAAGAAGTAGCACGCCAGCATTCACAAAAGTGAAGACTTGCAGCGTGCCACAAGATATCACGTTAGCCAGGAAATCGAGCTCGAAGATGAACGCGATGGACGCAACGAGGATGCCAGTCAATATTGTACTGGAAACAGGCACGTGTGTCCGGCGGTTGAGCGTGGAAAAGAGTGACGGTAGCAAACCATCCTTGGCCATTTGGTAAAAAATACGCGGTTGGCCCATGAGACAGGTGAACGCAGCAGTAGTGAGTCCGAAGATCGAGCCGAACGACACGATATGACCAGCCCAAGGTGCGTTGTGAAATGCAAAAGCATTCACAAGCGGAACCTCGTCGCCCAGGACGTCGACGGGCGCCATTCCAGTGACAACTAGTGACACCCCAACGTAAATAGCGATAGAGATCAATAGAGAGCCGATGATTCCCTTCGGCAACGTGCGTTGAGGATCATGAACTTCCTCGGCGAGACAGGCGACCATATCAAACCCCAGGTATGCAAAAAAGACGACGCCAGCACCCGTCATGACACCATGGACCCCGGCCGGCATGAATGGTTTCCAGTATGTCGTATTCACTTCCGTGCCGCCGTACACCACCACGAAGAGTAGCACCGCAATATTCAACAACGTCACCAATGAATTAAACTTGGCAGATTCCTGTAAGATACCCGCAATACAACAGTCCATCCAGCGAGCATATACCACTGTAAGTAAGATATCCGTCAATCGCACGGAAGCTACATCGGTGTATACGTACGCGAACCCCAGCCAGTAAGATGCAGGTACAACAGATCACGAGAGCCGCTGCGAGAATGCTACATGACGCGCCGAGGAAGTGTACGCGTACGAGCCACAGTGGAAGATGAAGACCCGCATGCTGCAGGAACAAGTGGGCATACGAGGCCCAGCTTCGTGCAATGCCAGCTATCTCATATGACCCACAAGTAATACGACAAGAGACACAACAACCTCCCGGTCACGTCAATATGGTGTACCCGCCGCTCCCCCTCCCACAGCTTCAGTGACGTCCACAAGGTGCGACTCATGTACCTGCCGAGATGCCGTATCCCAGCGTCAGATTCCAGCCAATGAGCCACGCGGCCAGCTCGCCAAACGTGATGTACACGAACGTATACGCAGAACCCGTCACCTGCAACCGCATGCACACGACACACCGCGGGGGGGGGGGTCAGCGTCTCCCCAGTCTGTCCCTCTCGCTTCTCGTCTTCCCGTCCTCTTCACAGCACGTACCGGCACACGAGCGGCAAACTCCGAGTACGTGAGCGACGTAAAGACACAAGCGACGCCGCTAAGGAAGAACGACAGCGAGATACTTGGCCCTGCGAGCTGCGCGCCCACGCCCACGAGCGAGTAGACACCTGCGCCGACCGAGCAGCCGACGCCGTAGGCCACGAGATCCACGAGCGTCAAGCACTGTTGCAACGAGGTGGGGCCGTGGGCGCAGCGGGACAAGGGCTTGACGCGACGCGCGGCCGCGAGGAACCCGTCCATGACGACGAGTCGGCGCGTGTCCGTGCCGCGAGATGATTTGCACAAAAGAGGTGTCAATCGTCGCTTTATAGCCAATCCGAGGCAGCAACGTCAACCAGTGGCTAAAACCGTGACTCCAAGCAGATCCAAACGCGACAACAGAGAGCGAGCGAAGATGGCGTCGGTCCCGACGGAAGAGGAGCGCGCGCAGGTGCTGAGCGCGTACAAGGCAAAGGTCATGGAGCATCGCGAGATGGAGAGCAGGTGCGTGTGCGTGTGTGTCGCTGTGTACGCGGAACGCACGGGCGGTATTGTCGTGTCCCTTTTTGCTGACGACTGCTCTTCTTCTACTACTACTACTACTACTATTTTTTCTCCTCTTCTTCTACTTGAATGATATTACTATTGCTGTGTGCCTTTTGACGGGTCATGTGTGTGTATCGGCTGTGGGCAATGACCAGAGTGAAAAACATGCGTGAGAACGTCAAGACACTTGTGAACGAGTTCAACAAGACAGAGGACGACCTCAAGGCGTTGCAGGTACGACTTGAGTGTGCTGTCGCTGAAAGAAGCCATGCGTTCCTGACGACCTGTCTTGTCTCACACGATGTTTGTTGGGGTGCAGAGTGTCGGCCAAATCATTGGGGAAGTGCTGCGCCAACTGGACGAAGATCGTTTTATTGTGAAGGCGTCAAGTGGTCCGCGTTACGTCGTGGGGTGTCGCGCCAAGGTAGAAAAGAGTAAACTCAAGTCGGGCACGCGAGTGGCGCTAGACATGACGACGCTCACGATCATGCGCTACTTGCCGCGTGAAGTCGATCCGACAGTGTACCACATGCTGAACGAGGACGCTGGTAACGTGTCGTTCTCGAGTATTGGCGGTCTGAACGAGCAGATCCGAGAACTTCGTGAGGTCATTGAGCTGCCACTTACCAATCCAGAGCTGTTCCTACGTGTGGGCATCAAGCCGCCAAAAGGCGTGCTGCTGTATGGCCCTCCTGGTACGGGCAAAACATTGTTGGCGCGTGCACTGGCGTGCAACATCAATGCCACTTTCTTAAAAGTTGTGGCGAGCGCTATTGTCGACAAGTACATTGGCGAAAGCGCCCGTGTGATCCGTGAGATGTTTGGATACGCTCGCGATCACCAGCCATGTGTCATCTTTATGGATGAAATCGATGCCATCGGTGGAAGTCGATACTCGGAGGGCACGTCTGCTGATCGAGAAATTCAGCGTACGCTAATGGAGTTATTGAACCAGCTCGATGGGTTCGACGCTCTGGGACAGGTGAAGATGGTCATGGCTACGAACCGACCAGACATTCTCGATCCTGCACTGCTGCGCCCTGGTCGCCTCGATCGCAAGATTGAAATCCCGCTGCCGAATGAGGCTTCACGCATGGACATTCTCAAGATCCACTCTGGTCCCATCACGAAAAAGGGCGAGATCGACTACGAGTCGATTGTCAAGCTCACGGACGGCTTTAACGGTGCCGACATGCGCAACGTGTGCACTGAAGCAGGCATGTTTGCTATCCGTGCTGATCGCGAGTACGTGGTGGAAGAGGATTTCATGAAAGCGGCGCGGAAGCTAGCTGAGACGAAGAAGCTCGAGTCCAAGATGGACTACAGCAAAATTTAAATGTACTAGCTGTGGAAGGGGCTCTCCATTCGTCGATGCTCTGTGGTTCGCTACTTTGCGTAGAAGGTTCCAGAGTTGCAGTCATGAGTGTCAAGGACTGATTGTACCTGGTACAGTCTAAAATATAGGAAACAAACAGCGCGTGTGGACTTGTCTCTTGGTATTGATGATAAAGGTGGGTTAATGTCATTACATGGCGCGAGCATAGAAAAGAGCTGAATCGTTGCCTCGGTAATAGCAATTTGACCGATTGGAGAGGAATTGCAGTACACTTGACCAGACAGGACAGCTATATTGTCAATGGAAGCTACACGACATCTTTGACCGCCGCAATAAACGATGTAGCTGCCGTTGAGCCCTCAACAAGCAACAGGCGATATGTGCGTGAGGTCTACGTGAGATTGCGCGTTGTGGAATCGAGACAGAACACTCTATTCGTCAAAGCCACTGTCAATAGCGCCACAAATTACATGGATGGTAAACCGCAGTTCACCTAGGTAGTACTCGAACACCAATGCTTGAAAACTTTTGTCACGACATACTATGTGTGAGCCGGAATAGACGAATCCGGTATGTGCACAGCAAACTTGTTTATTGCTGGCATCAGCTGCGTGTCGTGACAAGCACATTTGATATGAAGTGAGCCCGTCACATGTCATTGACACCTAAACTGGGTCAATGTGAACATTGTCTTCATTGACAATATCCTCTGATATTTATTGTTAAGTAAATACTGACGGAATATCACCTTCGAATGTAACATCTGGCACCGCTCCACCTACTCGTCGATGGAGGCCATTATACCAACCTAACTGAACCACCAATCGCCACTCGACGAGCGCAGTGGGTTAGTGCACTTGTAGTTTTTAGCTCGCGATAGTGAAAGTAAGCAAAAAGAGAAATATTTTCGACACTTCAACTAAACTAAGATACAGTCCTCCTTCCCTTCTTGTACCAAGCGTGTTCGTTCAGTAGACGTACCTTTACTCTGCACGTACAGAACACGTGAGGTTCAAACCCTGCATACACCATGTTCAGTGTAGGTAGCATGTACTGAGTCAGTGCAGGCGTCCGGAGCCTTGTTGCAGCGATCGTGAAGAATACGCTAGAATAACGCTTGACGGACAGACATCTGACCTCTCTCTACTCTTTTCGGTGCTATCACGTAGCCTTACAAGCAGAAACAGGTTGTGAGATACATGAGGCCCATCAGTACAACCAATCGAAGATTGGCAGTGGTCGTTGTTGCTCGCTCACCTTTTCGAGCATAATCGCCTTTGACCCAAATGCACCGATGCTGAGGTTATGTAAACGCATACACGACTACGAGCGCGATTTAAAAACGTCGCATGTTCCAGCAAAGCCCCGGTAAAGTACATATAAACATGCCTGCAGCGCTGTTCTCGTTCCCAACTGCAGTATCTCATGCCTCGTTGCATGTAGCACCGGGTGAGCTGGACTGCCAGCATCGCCCTAGTGTCAAGCAGCATTCTCGACAGAGCCTGCAGCGTACTCATCAGAGGCTCGAAGACAATTGCGATCGCAATCGCTCATACAAAACGACAATGTCAACGAAGACTCATTATCACGGCGAGAGTTTGCGCACTCGGCGGTCGATTGACATGCATTACGTCAGCCCGTCTCAATGCTGGTGCCAGTTTTGTCACAACTTGGGACATCATCAACCATCCGTCCTTGCTACGTGCCGTGGATCTGTCGCAAGAGAGCATAAACGAGGATGAGCGTCTCTTCACTTAGATGCCAAAGCACACGTGCTGGGTCACGCAAACTCGGTTCGCTGTGACTCCATCAGATGCACTTCAGCATATCGGATGGAATCCGCACAAAATGGAGTAGACAAGTAGCTACGCACCGCAGCCGAGAGATCATGCCACTGCTGCAACACCAACGGCAGTTGCTGTGTCTCGCTAGTTGTGCTGTGTGGTACGTCCCTAACACCCACCGCACCATCAAACCCATCGTAGCGTCAGCAACAGTCGTGCACGTTTAGTACACTGACGCGACTGCATATAATCCACGCCTCACCACCACGTGAGCTCGTCAAAGTGATCGTCGACTTCCCAGATACGACCTTCGTCGTCCTCGTGTCGCATGCCACTATCATCGAGCACAAGACCTGTGACAACATCCACATCATCAAACAGCCATACGCATTGACATACACTTGCACGTCAAGCCTTGGAGTCTGCGACAAGGTGCTCCCATAGCATCCTACCGCACCCGTCAAGCCCAAGGGCGCCAATGACACCTTCCGACCCTGCAATTGGACACCACGGAAATCGGCCGACATCAACAACGGGTCACGACCGACTTGATCGACTTCCTCGTTCTTCTCCGCTCGATCACTGTCTCGCGTCTCTGCTTCACGACCGCTACCGTCGTCTATATCGTTCGTACGGTCGCAGTGTTTGTTCTTTGGGTGGAAGAACGTCGAGACAGCTGCGGCGCCGTCATAATGGATACGACACGGCAACGAGTGCACACGTTCCTCTGCTGACGGCAGCGGACAGCGCGTCAGACAGACGCGGACGCTCGTTGAGCCGTCGTGGCCAGTCATTTCGAAACGGCACTTGAAGTTTGAAAAGCGCTTTTGCGACTTCTCCGTATCAAAAAGTAGTCGAAGCAGTGGGGACGTGCTACTTCTGAAGTAGTGGTTACATCACGACATGTACGTAGCTCCTCTTTCTCTCTGTCTATTGCTGTGTAGCGACAGCGGATCCCGATGCTGATCGACTTGCGCTGTCTGCGTCTTGTCACAGCTTGCAGCTCATGATGGCACCGACGAAGCGCTCGTGTGACGAAGCCAGTAAGCTCTTGGGCGAGCGTATGCTGCAGGTTCGTGCGTGTGAACTGCGCTGGCGGTCTCGCAGGTGGTATCGAAGGTCCCGCTCGGTGTGTTGATCCTAAGCGGAGGAGTTGCTGCAGGGATGGACTATGCTGGGCCTGAGCTGTCCTGTGGACGACTGCTACACGCCGCTCGTGTGGAACAAACAGAGTCGCAAGGTGGGGTGGAAGACAGACACACTGGTGTGCCTATTGTTGCCGAGCTGCTCGTGCGACGAGACACTAAAGTAACAACTGGTCTGGTGGCAGATGTTCTGTGTGAGGTGCGACCAGTACGTGGTCACGGAGGAGGAACTGAAGCAGCAGCAAGCCGAGCAGAAGGCTGAAGAGATGGCAGCGAACGAGATCGAGGAAGCCGAGGCCGCAGCACGACTCGAGGCCGAGCGAAGGCACCGGATTGAGCAGCAGTTCCGCTTGGAAGAGCAAGCCAAACAGGCTAGAGGCATGCAGGAACTTGACCAAGCACAGGCACAGCGTGGCATAGCGTTGCAAGGAGCTGGTATGGTTCAGCTGCACTTTTCTTTTCCTGCCTTTTTTGTTGAGTGTTAACATGGCATGTCTACGTCGTGGGAAACAGCAAAGCGCAAGATCAATACGGCAGCAATCCACAGCAGCTTCGATAGCGGTGCGGACGTGAATGCGGTCCGTCGACAGACACTTGCTGCGCTTTATCAGGTGGAACATCCGCATCTTTTCTAGTCCGAGACTCGCTTCGTTTCTCGACGATGGCATGCGCTTTTGAGGCACGAAGCTCCAATCCGACTCACTAGCCACGGTTCTCGGACTCGTAGGTGACGTAGGCATTAACGTTTTTTGGTATGGCTGTGCCATGTGACTGTCGCTGTAGAAAATGGCAGCGTTGACGGACTCGCTGTCGCCCAGCGACCACAGTGAGCGTCTTGTCTCGGTCGCCAGAGCTGTGCGGGAGATTGCTGAAGCGACACGGCTGTTGGAGCAGTAGTTGCGTTTGCCTGTGAGAGAGCCGCTTTCGGAAGCGATAGAGGATACGCGGCAACACCGAAGTCGTTGCCAATGATAATCAATGCAATCACCTTGCTGTTTCATGGTCCAGAGCCGCTGCTGTACGTAGGAAAACTCACGCAGTGTCTTCATTATTGTGCTCAGAACATTGATACGAGACGACGGCTATAGATCGGTCATCTGGCGAAACTCTTCTTCGACTGCCTCTTGTGTTTCTTCAGCCAAAAGAGCTTGTTGATCAGTTGTGGCTGTCGCCGATGCTGTTTTGACATGTGACGTCTCGCCCACGAAGAAGTAGATGTACGCGAGGCATAGTGCCACAATACCGCTAGTCACGACAACGACAGAGCGGTGATCAGAGACAGTAAACAAGCAAATATGATCATGCCACGTACCTAAAGATCAGATACAGCTTGGCAATGCCATTCTTCTCGGGATCAGAGCCGCGGCCCAAGAAATGGATGGCAGATAACGTGTACACTGCAATCAAGATGTTGCAGATATAACTGACGATCATGTAGAGCGCGAACGCTTGCGAGCGGATGTGCACAGGCGTGATGTCTCCAAGCATGACCCTGCACATGTTTGTTAACACAGCCTTCATGAGCTTATCGGACTGCAGCAAACAAGCGAAACGAAGCATACACTTACCATACGACAGCGCCAAGGCCCACAGCAAATCCACCAACAAACGCGAGCACGGAAATCACCGCTATCACACCCTGCAGCTGAAGATCGTCTCGAAGATAGAGCAGCGAAGAGCTGAGTACCCCTAGTGCAACGATCATGATAGTCGTCCCTACGATCAACAACGGTCGTCGGCCATGCGAGTCGACAAAGCGCGCCGATAAGATCGTAACGCCCACGTTCATCAAGCCAACCACAGTGGTAGCAAAGAATGGGTTGGTCACTCCAGCAAAATGGAAAATCTTGGCCGAGTACAGCATTACACTGTTTATGCCGGACATGGCCTGGAAGAAGACGAGGATAGAGCCCGTCGCTATGACTTTTTTGTGCGCCCAGAGGTGCGACCAGGCTGCGCGATTCTCGTGTTGTCGATGCTTCATCACACGCGCGATTTCCTGCACTTCCATTTCGACCGCATCCTGGGCATTACTCGGACGTAAATAACTCAGTGTTGCACGACACTCATCGTGTCCGCGGTTTTTCATGAGCCACCACGGACTCTCCGGTACGAACGCCATGCCCAGGCACTGCATCAGTGGAGGCAACATCATGAATCCGTTGAGGTATCTCCAGCCCGAGGGTACGTTTTCAATGACCACGAAGCCCAGCAGAGCGGACGCCAACATACCAATCGTTAGACTGAGCTGATGAAGGGCCGTGATCTCCCCGCTCGAGGCAGCCGGCGAGATATCCGTCAGCAAGACAGGCACGGTGTTGGTCACGACTCCCGAGGCCAGTCCAAGGAGTAGTCGACCGACGTATAGCATGTTTTTCGACGTGCAGATTGCACAGACCGCGCTGCCAGCGATATAGAGTACATTGTTGCCCAGGATTGTCTTCTTTAGCCCCAAGCGAGCGCCTAGTCCACCAGTCGTGACTGCAGCGACCAAGCAGCCCACAACCACGAGCGCCGTTGCACGCTCTTGCTCCGCAGTCGTGAGATTGATGTCAACAAGAAGTGAGCCAACAGCATCGGGCACGATACACACATTGAGAACGGCAGCACTGAAGCCCCACATGAAAGACGAGATGGAGATTAGCCATGCGGCCAGGTGCAAGTGATTCGTGCGGCCGCAATGAACTGCCCAAGTCGCAACGGAGCTGCCGCTGCTGCTGCTACTGTGATCAATGACTTCATCAGGAACTCTAGCAGCGAGCGACATGGCGCGTGTTTGCTGGCGCTGAGGCGGAAGCAGCTCCTTTCTTGGCAACAGCTTCTCCCGGAGATCGGTCATGACGACAGTTGAGCTGCTCTTGGGTTCAAGTGTCCATCAACTGTCCCTCAAGGGCACACCAAATACACACCAATTACACACCAGCTATACACAATGTACACCTTGTCTCGGGTGGCGACCCAAGACACCGATGTCGCCGACTTTGCTCCGCGTGCATAGTCCGGGCACTTTCTGTGCGAAGTCGGTCAATAATGCGACAACTGTTCCTGTCGCCCACGTTCGAGGAACCACATCGTGGCACCTCATGCGTGGGGTCGCTATCGGCACTTGCAGATCGTGTTCTTGCACTGCAACGACATGACGAATAAGTTCCGTAGCCGCAAGCGAAAGGACTGGAAGTTGCCGCAAACCCACGACTCGTGAGCCTCGTGAAGAGCACGACCCAACGAGTCCTTCCCACGGTTATCTTTGTTCGCTCGCTCGGCTCGCATGCATCAGAAGTGAGTGCTATCAGCTCGAAGAGAGTACGTTTCTGGCAAGGGCGACAGATTACAGTGGACAGGTGTGTCGTTTTGTAAGCAGTCGCTCACTTGCTGAGCTGGTTGCAGCACTTTTCGGATCCGACCATGTGGTGGTATGTGGTCGTCAAAGCAGTTGCAGTAGAAGCAGAACGTTCGTACAGCGTACCGCCCATTCAGGCGAACGCATGTTTGTCGTTCCTGCAACTTGTTTGCGCTCTCACGCGTAGCCCACATACGCCTTGGAAGCAAAAACACGGTCGCTTGACCCGCACAACGCCACCTAATCGCGCGCGGGCCGTGCGGAATTATTCAACACTTTCTACTGTTTTTGGCGCACGCACGCCATGCTGCCGCGCAGTCTCCCCTCTTGTCTATGTTGCGACGGGCATTGAACCTTCGCAGCGCCACAGTGACTCGTGCTCAGTATCACGTCGGTGGGGCAACAAACGCGCATGAACGAGTGCTTGTCGACCAACACTCGCTATTGCACGATCTGCTTGACAAGTGTCAGACCACTCACTTCCTTAGTCCGACAAGATACTTGTTGCCACAAAGAAGACGCCAAGACGCCAAGAACTTTACAAGCTCAAGAGAGTGGAGCTAGTTACGCGAGCACACCAGGAGTAGCACCGAACTTGGCTGCGCGAAAAGATGTGTCGACCCATTGAGTCCTGCAATGCACTGGGCGTCACGGGCGCCGCTGCCGTCGCGATGCTCGCGGAGTACCAACTCGCCGCAGTCAATAACATGGCCTCGGGAAAACCGACCGCGACATTTGTCGACCGCACGGCCGCGTGGCCTTCAGCTAGAGACACGGGCATCACCGGTGCAAACGGCATGGCCATATTGAGCACGGCAGCACCGCCGCTAGCGTTCCCGTTCGTGTCGTTTCCAAAGCACAGTGGCCTGCCAACGATGCCGTGGGGCGCTACTGTCCCTGCAGAAGTTGACTTGCTGCACGTGGATGTACCGACGAGCCACTTTGAGACCACATCGGTCCCGTCAGAAGTCCCAGTGACTTCTACGATGCACACCCAGCCGAGCAGCTACAAAGCTCAAGAGTTGAAGGAGCTGCTCGAGTTCCCCATGCCGAGTGACCTGGCGGACGGTCGTCACGACAAGCTCGACGTTGATCCCCTAGACGGCGGCTTTACCGGCACCGAAATGTCGATTCTCTACAGCGTCTTGGCGGACGCGCCTGAAGACGAGTCGGAGCGAGCTGCTACCGTGCACCGCGGCATTCCAGACCTCACGACGGTGCTGATGCGATCGTCGGTCGAAGGGCTTCGAGAGCCGTCGCTCGAGAGCGACGTGACCGACTCGGAGGTCCAAAGGTCCCCGTGCGGCTCAGAGCCCCAACGGCGAGCTTCTGAAGACATCAAGAGCCCCGAAGGAGTCAAGAGTCGTCGCCTGTGCAAGCGCGAGGGTTGCTACAAGCGCTCTCGTTCAAACCGCTTGTGCATTTCGCACGGCGGTGGTCGTCGGTGCATCGTGGAGGGGTGCGACAAGTGCTCTCAAGGGGGAAACCTCTGCATCCGTCATGGCGGGGGCAAGCGGTGCAGCCACGACAACTGCGACAAAGCTGCTCAGTCCAACTTCTTGTGCAAAGCGCACGGTGGGGGCCCCCGTTGCCGCTTTACAGGCTGCACGCGCAGCTCACAGGGTGGCGGCTTTTGCCGCTCCCATGGCGGCGGGAAGCGCTGTGTGCTCGAAGGCTGCAAGAAGGGCACACAACGTGGGGACTATTGCTCCCTGCATGGCGGATCGCGCGTGTGCGAGGTACCCGGCTGTCGGCGGAACGACCGCGGAGGAGGTCTGTGCGCTACGCACGGCGGGGGCAAACGCTGCACAGTTGCGGGTTGCAGCAAGCCGTGTCGACGCAACGGTATGTGCTCGGCACATTTGCGCCGGGCAGGAGACGCGAAGGAGTAGCAACGGATTGAAACACGACGACGTGGGAGTGGCTCGGCATTGCCCGAGTGCGTGCGATTGGACCTCGTGAAGGTGCAGACAGAAGGAGGAGGCGGAGCGTATGGTCGCGGAAGGTTTTCGGCGTTGCTTGGACGTGTATGCTGAATGGTTTGATCGTCTGGAGACCCGGTCAAGACGGGGAGAGGCGGAGCTCAGAAGTGCTATTCGTTACCGGAGACGCTGTTTGTTGTTTCGTGCAGCGCACTTCGTCTGTCGGAGCGATTCTGTGCTCAATTAATTTTGCGCCAGCAACATTGAATCAACTCGACAAAATACCCCCACAACCCCTGTCATGTAATCTATTGGGTAGTTTACACCATCGCATCGCTTCGTTGTCTACTTAAGCAAGTGCGTGTGCTGCTGCTGCTGTCCACCATGGCAAGTGCCGACGAAGCCATACCTCGCGCCAAGCGACTGAAGCTGCTGCGCGAGGCCAAAGCGCGCAAGGAACGCGGTGAACCCACTAGCAATGAAGCAGCGGACCTCTCGGACGCACCACAGAAGGCCGCGGAGCCCGAGCCGCAGGCGCTGGACGCCGAGCAGTCGACAGACGACACGTCAGAAGAAGTCCACATAAACCCAGTGGCCGAAACACCGGAAGCAGAGAACGTCAGTGCTTTGAACGATAGTGAAGATGAGGTGCTGACGCTCGCGCCTAAACGTGCGAATTGGGACATTGAGCGCGACATTGCGCCTATGCTTCGCAAACTGGAGAGACGCACGCAACACGCGATTGTCGAGATATTACGTACGTTGACAGCAGTGGACGTCGTTTGGTGGAAGACAACGAGAGCTCTGATTGAGCACGTTGTGTATCGTGTGTCGTGTGTGGCGTGTGATGTGATGTGTGATGTTCGCAGGTGAGGAACTTGCAGCACAGCAGCTGGAGGAAGACAGCAGTACCGACGAGGAGGAGGAAGACGGCGAGGACGAGGAAGAGGTGGAGGAAGAAGAGGTGGACGAGTAACTGCGTCGTTGCAGCATTCGTCGTCTGGTATCGAGATGGCGTTTCGTCACGTAGTGAATTGTTATCGTGGCTTTCATGGTGTACCCCGCACTTTGCTCAAGCCTTGTCTGTCTTTTGCTTCTTCACCTTCTTCTTCTGCTTGTCATCCTTGGATCCGTCTCGGCGCTTCTTGTCCTTCTTTTTGCCGTCGCCATTCCGTGCCTTCTTGTCTTTCTTTCCCTCGTCTTCATTGTGGAACTGCTTGAGCTTCTTGTAAATGCGCTTGACCTGCTTGGCACGATCAAGCACTGCTGCTTCCCCGTCCTTTCGCTTGGCTACTGTCAGCGCGTCGTACGCCTGTGTGATCTGCTGCAGTCGACGAAACACATCGTCAACTTGTTGACCTTTCGAGAACTTGCTGCGCTGGACGTAACTTAGCACATCCTCTTTTGCGAGGCCACCGGCTTTTTCCCCCACGCTTGCAGCCACCTCGTCCGTCACGTGCCACAGAGCTGCTAGTGCCAAGTACGACGGATAGTGGAGCAGCGGCAGATCCGTGAGCAGCATCTCGTGCAGCACTGTGGTCGATTCAGCGTGGAGTTTCTGCAGCACCGTGGCCGGTAAGTCCTTGCTCAGCACTTGCTTGGCAAACGCACGAAAGTCGTCCAAAAAGCCCAAGAGCGCACGGAACGGATGGTACATGATCAACTGGAAGCGCACGCCTTCGAGCACGATCATTTCGTGGCTAATGATGAGCCGGTGGTCCACATGGAGCTGATCAGCGACTGTGTCCACCGAGATGTACTGCTCTTCGACCTTCCCCGCCACGTAAATGACTGTCGGCACGACGTACTTTGGGTGGAACTCCATCACGCTGTTGCTCAGGTAGAACCGCTTGAACAGCATCAGCGCACAGCACTTGACCTTGTCCGACGTGCGGAGGAACTGGGCACTGCAGCTCTCCTGGATCTTTTCCTCGTAGAACGTCCGGAGCAGCGTCTCCTGCTCGAGACTCAGGAACTCCACCAGCGGCGTCCGCTGCAGATTGGCCTTCTCCTCAGCTTCTTCTTGAGCGGAAACGTCCGCGTCCACGCAGTCGTTCGAGTCGAACGCATCGTGCACAGCAGTGGACGAGCGCGGCACGAGCGCTGCAAACGATCGCGCGCGGCGGCTGCTGGCGGCACTGACGGGGGCCGTCTGCGGAGCCTCTTCGCGCTCGAGACGCAGTGTGTGCTGCGCCTTCACGTGCTGCAGACGACGCACGCGCGCGAGTTCGTCCGTCGAGAAGATCCAATTGTTAAAGTGCGTCGACGTCGAGAGGTACGACATGGGGCGGCGCACTCGACTGCGGACAGTGGCAAGCGATTAAATGGATCAGAGGACGTGAAACAACATGTGGAAAGTGTCGCTTGGATAGAAAGTGTCAAGTGCCAACTGGATAAAAGACAAAGTGCCGGCTGGATAAAACACAGCACGATGCTCTTTTCACTGACAAGTCGATTTCGCGCGTATGAATGATGATACGAATACGAATACGAACAATGCAGCTGACAATCAGAATAGTTATACATCAATATAATACTATTTAGATAATTAGAACTACGACGTGGACATAGTAAGAAGAAGAAGAATACCAACATACGACGCATGCAGAGGCTGCTTTGGGCGTTTGTACACCTACAAGGAATTTGTTTGACCTGACGCGATACGTGGGGGCCGTTCGCAAGACACGCAAAGTTGTTGTAGCCAGCTGAGCGATTGAGCTTCGCAGGAATATGTGGAGATCTCTGTAGAAGACCAGCACGATACTAGCGCGATCCCACAGCGTTTTGACAAGCTCAAGACTACTACTGACTGCGACGTGCGAGATACATGGGAAGGTGTCTGTCCTACGTGCAGGTGAGACGCAGTGTGCACTCCCATTCCAACTTTCGTGTGGGCGTCAACGAGCTGCCAAAGTGGCTGGTGGCTTTTGTTGCGTGTGGTGATCGCCAGTTGCGACCGAGCGTCCACGTGACGGGACAACGTGCATCCAACCTATCGGCGTGTCGGAACGAGCACCCAGCTCCACCATCGTCGTCAATCGTGAAGCAATTGGCACTCATGCGCGTTTCTTGCTACTTTCGCAGCGCCGCAAACTCTTGGAACAGCTGGTTCGCGACGGCGTTACCGAGTAGATCATCTCGCGTGGGCTTCCGTCCATTCTCGGCCTCATAGTCCTCGCGCCACTGCGCCAAAGCTTTCTCGACCCGCTCGAGCTTTTCAGCACGCGTCTCACGCCCGATCGCCACCGGCACGCTGTCCAACATTGGCTGACAGAGCACGCTCATCAGATCACGCTTGTCCACAGTCCCATCGGCAAGCTTTGTCATCTACATACACAACAACAACCGACATCAGTAAGCTGCTTCTCATTGCATGTCCCCATCATCGGCTGCGTTTCTGCAACAATCCGCACCTTGACCAACTTCTGCTCCGTGTTTGGTCCACCGAGCGGAACGACCAGTCCCCCCCCAGGTTTGAGGTACTCGAGGAACCTCTCTGCTTCAGCTTTAGTCTCGACAGCAACGCCAACATGGATACAGTCGTAGCGACTCCCACAGGGCAGACCCAGGTCCTTCTTGCCACTACTGAGCACCACCTGTGTCTGCGTCGCTGCAACTGCTTTGCCCAAACTGCGGTGCAAATTGTCTCGTGCAAAGGCCACAAGGTCCGGGACAATGTCTACACCAGTGACCGATCCCAGAGGTCCCACCAAGTGCACCATCGCCGCCACGAGGACCCCCGAGCCACACCCCACGTCGACTGCCGTCATCCCTAACTGCAGGTGTGGCTCCAGGGCACCCAACACCTGTGCGTGGTGCTGGGGGGTCGAGATCGTCGCTTCGGTGCCGACCTTCAGCGGACGGTTTGCGTATCGCTCGCTCGAGTTCCGGAACTGGGGCGCCACAAAGTCCCCGCGGTCCACCCGTCGGAGCGCGGCCTCCAGTCGAGAACCAGCCGCGACGACGTGTGTTTGGACGAGACTGTCCACGAGTGCCGCATGCGAGTGGCCGCCAATGTGGTGGCCGAGACTGGAGCTCACGAGTAGATCGTCCGAGATGCCGCTCAAGACGCTCAAAGCGCGACGTCGAATCAGCTGCAACATAACTTCCCAAAGGGCCACGCACCACCTGTGTAATCTATCGAGAAAAGTGCGCAATAGATTACTGCACGCAAGGCAGAAACCCCACTCGTTTTGATTGGTTTTCTCGTCCTTTGACTGTTGTAATGCCAAAACCACCAAAACACAAAATCGATCAGTCACTCGGTCAGTCGGTCGGTCGGTTGGTCGGTCGGTTTGTCACACTGCAACATACTGTTCATTCTCGGTCCTTTTCGACTGCGACTCTACACGATCGGAACCGCCCAGGCACCGTGGGTCTCCATATTGTAAATGTTCACACCCCTTTCAGCAAGGAAAAAGCCTTCGTCGCCCCAGTTCGTGCCGTCGGAGTTACGGACGACCCAGTACTTGACACCCGTCTTGCTGTCGGTGCCCCACCCAACGATACTCACGACGTGCGATGTACCGTTGTATTTCGTGGAATCGCGGAGGATGTAGCCTCCCTTGTACCGTCGATACTCAGTCGAGTGCGAGTACATGCTCGCGACGATCGGACCCCGGTGGTAAATCTCGTTCATGGCCTGGAGCTGAAACTCCTCGGGGGTCGTGAAGTTGAGCGTGCCGTACTCGGAAATACGATACTTGACGGGATCTTCCACCACATAGCACGCCCCGCTTAGGTCACACGTGTGGCACTGCGTCATCGCGCACTCGCCCCCGCCCATCCACGACGGGTGAGACGCAATGTACGGATTGCACGTCCAGTCTACAATGCCGTTCTCGTGGATCCACTTGTGTGCGAACCGCGGGTCTCCGCCATGACACGAGCCAAAAGACTGCATGCCACAGTCCAAAAGCGCTTGAGGCGATAGCAGCACTTCCGATCCCAGCCTACCGGTTTGCTTGAAGCGGGCAATGCGGATGCGGTCCGAGAGTGCGCTGATGGTAGCGAAAGCCCAGCAAGAGCCACATGCCCGGGGAACCATTTGATTCAACGCAGTAGTCGTGAGGCCAATGCCTGTTCCATTGTAGTCGCGCCAGTCCCAATTCGTAGGCAGGTCGCTGATTGAGGTCACTGCTGGCAGTGACGTTACAACGTGTTCGGGGTCGTTGCCGCCGAGGAACCACCCAGTTCCCTTGTTCGTTGCTAGCTCAGTGACGTCATCCCGACGGTTTGCCTGCCTGGCATTGGCACAAGCAAACATGAAGCTGACCTGGTCATTCGTCGCGTGCATCGAAGAGCCACTATCGGCGTGGTCGGCGAACCGCTTTGGCATCAAAACCGCTGAGCTCACCAAGCTGCCAAGCGCGATCCAGCCAAGCACTGAGCCAATGGAGCGCAGCTTGTAGCGCTCTGCCCAAAGACTCTCCCACGTCGATTGTAGCAGCGATGGCGCTGCTGAAGTCGGCTGCACTTCAAACTGACTGGCACGCGGCTGGAGGAGGGGGAGGTCAGCTTTGTCGCTGAACCTCATCGTGCTGGACGTAATCTACAGACGTTCACCGAGCGACCGAAATTGCAAAGTGACGTGTTGTTGGCCCAACTCGGCAAACAATTGCGAGGACACTGTTGGAAGTGCAAGTTGCACTCAAATCGACTTTTGAGATGTAACCTACGCCAGAGCATACATGAAAATGTTCTTCAGAGTTCTATGTGCTGGATTAGGCACCACAAAGATATAGGTTGGGTTGTGCTCACTTGCGTTTTGACTAGTCCCTGAAGAGGCCCCTGGCGGGGGGGGGGCCGAAACGCGTCTCGCGCGCGTTTTGATACAGTCATTTCATTCACTTAGTGTTCACTTTCTAACAGACACGAGCTCAACATCCGATTTTGATCGGGGCAGAGTCGCTTGGTAAACAGTTGTCGTGACATAACTGACTGGTAAAGGGTCCACACACCCTCTTGTCCAATCAGCAAAACAAGAATCGATGTGTCAAGCGCAGGAGCGCCAGTCGCTTCGCCATTGTACTTAGGTCACCACGTCCGTCCCCCGCGTCCCAAGATGCTGTCACGCCGTCCAATGGGCGGCCACAACTGAATCGATGCAGCTCAATCCTTCATCTTTTCCATATCTCGATTTGCAGGAAAGTTTGGGTTGCGACACTATGTTTCCATATGCCATGTAAAAGGGCGTTCGCGTCCCATTTAGTCCTACTAGCGGCTGGTACACACCAGCTGCCTACACCCTATCGATCCCGAGCTCTATACGCGCTGTGTGAAGCTCCCTCTGCCGACGGGTAGTAAACACTGTAGTCATGCGTGGACACCATGAATGGGGACTATGTAGGTAGAGTGTATTCCGACGTAGACTGCTTCCGGCACTCGATAGTGAGAGGGTTCAGCTCCAGGTAATGGGCTAGACTTCGTACGCGATCGTAATACGTGTGAGCTTGCTGGCCCTAGTGAAGAAGGACATCATTAACGAGACAAAGTCTTGCAACAACAAGCACGAGAAGGTACTGGACACCAAATAATGTATTGTGCGCAGCTCCGTGGGTCCTTTCTTGCATAAAAGGCCATCAACACAACAATGCTACAATGCTAACAGACAATCCTGTGAAAGGTCGACCGATGTTCTGCCGATCAGACCGTCGTGTGGCAGGACATACTTACTGGAGTAGAGCATCGTATGCTGCGTTTACGTTTCGATCGTGGTGCAGCGCATTGCAAGAAAGGTCGTGGTTCATTCGGCCTTGCAGTCACGATCGATGCTCGATAGGGTTCCATAGGCCACTGTCACTTAGTTGAGTTGTGGTACCGAAATCGATGATAGGTGGTCAACTGAGAGGATGTCCGACAGGACAATCGGCGGGTTTGTTTCAGCTTCTTTCGGTTTGTAGTTGGTACATATCGAAACAGAAGCATTCACTGGGCTTTTGTAGCTGGACGGCACATGCAGTTACGATTTCCTAGCTTCAAGATGTATCAGCAGAGTTCGAGCCGTACCGAGTGCGCGCATACTGCGGTGTCGAAACACGATGCACAGAATTCCGGACGGTCTCATTCGTGTTGCTCGAGCTACATGTTGTCAAGTCATGGCCAGGGGCTCACGTCCGGCACCGTTGCCGTTTTTGCTAGCATGCCACATCATTGTTCGCTGTCTCCTTCTTTTCCTACACTGCTCGTGGCTAAGAAACGTCACGAAGACGAAGGCAGAGATCGGACTGAGAGAAGTCTGGCTGTTCGAACACATGTGGAGATATAGAGCAATCATCCGATCGCTAGGAAATCGGCAGGGAAGATGGCACTGCCAGCCTCATGATGGTCTTGCCGTCTATACGATGACATCGCCTTCAGCCACTACAGTCTTCCAGCATGCCCAAATGACACACGTTGTCTATCACGGTGAGACTTTCTGATTCGACACTGCTCGCACTGCATATGGCCATTGTCCTGAACAAACGTCCGTCAGCCAAGATCGTGCACATACCAGAAGAACGACGGACTCACTCGTTGGCGCGCAAGAGAGAAGGCATTGAAGTCTAGACAAACGTTGAAGCAGCTGCTTACCGTCATTGTCATCTGCAAGAGTGCTGCTGACATCGTAAGATGGATGAACCTGTGGCCTCGAGCTTAGCTTTGACGAGCATACGTTCGGCTCTGCCATACATGCGATCCTACCGGCTGTACAGTCCTTCTACACTACTCAATCTTCGGTGCAAATTTCGGTACAATTGAGGCTGTGGAGATGATCGTGCTACATCACACTCGAGGAACATAGCCTAGTACTGTTTGCTTTGGCCTCGAGCAAGCTGCACTCGCAGTCTCCGGTGTGGGCGCAGTGAACCGACGGGTCGCGCCAGCGGCCTCGTAGGGGTATTTTACGGCCTGGAGGCGTCCCCGCGCCACGCGTCGCCGCTGCGGCGGTCGCACAGTCCACGTCCGAGGGGTCGCGCAAGCGGTCCTCGGGGTTTCCCTGCGAACTGTGCCTTAGCTTCGGCCATTGCACATAAATTTGACCATCCGGCCGCCCGAGCGGCCGCGACAGATCAAGAAAGATCGCGTGTGTCCCTTGGCTACAGCAGCCTCGTCGGATACACCAAGCGCGTCACTTTACGTGACACGCCCCGTACATCCACCGGACTCGTATGAGCTCCGGCGTTGCCATTCGGGCTTAGGAACTTAATAGACATCTTGCAACCTTAAACAGTTAAATCGACTGGTCTGCCTCTCTCTGTTTGCTTTGTCGTCTACCAACTCGCTCCGATTCTTCGTGGTACAACATGCTGCTGCGACCACTTTTCTTCGACGATGATGCAAATTGCAAGACGAAAGACGCTTAGCTGTTTGATGTAGACACAACGTTTCAGCTGTTCGATGTAGCTTTGGTAATCAATCAATGGTCAATACACGTACCATACGCTGGTATCATCACCCTGATGCTTACCTCTCGACGTATCGATTTATCATCCTCAGCGACACGACATTCCTAGAGAACTGGCGTGCGTCGAATCTCGCGTACCCAGCTGACTGGCATAACTCACGTCCTAGTACACGTCTCGCATTGATATCAACAAGCTACACCACTAGATCGATGATTGCCACTCTTCGCAAAGGAAAGCTGCAATGTGTCGCTGTAAGATCATAGAGCCATCCGCCCCTCTTCAGGTGTATTAGCATGCTACTTTATGCATACAGCGCGTAAAGAGAGCGCAAAGAATCTCGCGCATTGGCCGTCTGTTTGCTTAGAAGATCCAATTGATCCAATGCGTTGATCCTGGTACTCCAACGCATTGCTGCGCCAGTTGCAACCAAGTATCGGCACATACATCACTACATTGAACTTCATTGTCTTCCGTGCTTGCCTGCCCGCCTTACTCGATAAGTCACGCTGCCCGGGATGAAGGACGATTACCACGGTCGTCGCCGCATCGCTTCGGATCGAATAGGTTGTCGGCATACTTCGTGGCAAACGAAACCTACCGAACACGAAGACATACAAAGCTGGTCTTTGCAGCACAATCGGACCCATGTCTTGATGGAACCTCAATCTCTGTGGTGGTGAACCCGTATTGCGATTGAGCTTGCAGCAACGGCGCACCCTCACGACGTTAACGACGTGTCCGTGGGTACGCACCTGTGCCAAGAGACTGGTGACGGCGAGGAGACCGACGTCACGGAAGTCACGATCCGCCCGCACTGCATATGTAGAGTTTCTACGAGTAAGTTTGCTGTGCTTCCGCTATCGACCGATTCTAAAATTCGAGCACGTCTGTGGAGCTGCCACAACTACATCAGGACATGGTCCGTAACGAAGCCTGTAAAACCAGCGAGTTTGTTGATGGCAACAACTACCTGAAGTTCAATCGAAACGAAAGCAAGGTGGTTGCAGCCTACGCATTGAGGTTACGTCATGCAGACGCTGCCGTATTACGGTCTTCCATCCGTCGGCTAAGGCGCGACGACACAATGGCAGGTCCCAACGCTTGTACCGACGAAGCGATTCTGTTCACTGGCTACGAACGTCCTACCCGTATCCACATTGTAGTCAACCTAGAATCCGCGTCCAAGTATTTGATGTCGAACCGGGATTCCTTGGATAACCATGACAACAGCGTGTAAGCTGCTGTACACCTTCAGCTATATCAAAGTCAATGCAGGTGAAGGATAATACAGTGAAACGTGACAAGCGGCATGCATCGCACCGTTGAGGTGTACTGTATGGCAAACGATTAGCACATATACCAATCGCGAGCAAAATCCTACCAGTTTTCAAGCTGTAGGGGCAGCAGTATGAACGTCCACGCCAGACGCTGAAATGCCGTCGAACTCACGCAGACGGTCGAGGTACACCATCGCGGTTGTATGACACCACGCCCTGAGCTGGAAGGTACCTTCGAAGAAAGCGCAATGACTGCCCTCTGCCGTGGTCAACAGCATGGCCTTGGGCTTCTTGAGAAACAAGTCGTAGGGAATGGTCTCCTTCGTGCACACAGGGTCGTCTAGTGCGTTGATGCAGAGCAGTGGCATCTGAAGGTTGTCCACGTCGCGCATGGGGTTGTTCACTTTCCAGTACGACTCCAAGCTGTCGAACCCGTGCATCTTCATGTACACGTGTTGATCGAATTCAAGAATACTCGTAGCTCGTAGAGCCCCCGCGACGTCGACAACGTCCTTCAGCTCGTTCTTGTGACGCAGTAGAAATGACTTGAGCGTGAAAGTCATGAGGAAGTTGTAGAACGGATTGATCTTGCCACCGCAAAAGAGGTCAAAGGCATTGTAACCTGGCGAGACCAGTACGCCAGCACGAAGGCGCGACTCGAGGCCTAGTTCACACAAGTAACTGCAGAGTAAACCAGCTCCAGCCGAATAGCCAATGCCGTACAGCTCGCTGTCCGGAAAGCTGCTCTCAATGTGAGCAATAGCTTCCTTCAGGTCCTGTACGCAGCCAAACTGTTGCAACTTTGGAGTAGCAAGTTTCAACCCTCCGTGGCCTCTTTTGTTAAACACCACGGGGCGATACCCATGCAGTAGAGCTTCGGCGCAGAGTGACCGCATGCTCTCACTGCAACCCACAAGTCCGTGCATGATAAGAGCAATGGGCGAGTCCAGTTTCAATGGAGATCTCATGTTGACTGAAGATTCCATTGCCCAGTCGAGAGAGGCCTGGCCTCCGTCGTTGAGACAAAGCACGTGTCTCTGATACGTGATGGCGGATTGAGGTATGATGAAGGTCAGCAAACACTGAATGTGTGAATTGGTCCACCACGTGGGAGTGTAGCTGTCCAACATGGGCTGCAGAGCCTACGTGCATGCGTTGCCATAAATAAGGTGAGATCAACATAACCGTCCCATTGACAGTATTTCAACAAGCTGCCGTATTTTACTTACTTCCACAATGAACTCGTTCAGCTTTGAGTTGCCAGCAACAATGCGTTTCGTTCGAGCCGAGCGAGGTCGGACGATACCAGTAGAAACCAGTAAGGCGTAGCCAACGACCACTGCAGCAGATGCAGAAACCAGCGTGTTGGTACTAGATTGTGTACACAACGAACAATCGGGTTAATTCCTTGTTACGAAAACCAGATTCAACTCGTAGAGCAGCGAACGTGTCGACAGAAATCTCGCCTTAGCATGTAGAAAAAGCTGAGACTGCTGGTCGTACGTACTCAATCATGGCAGCCAAGAGACTTGGGACACTCAAATCCTAGACCACCGAGGAGGGTGTTGATGACCCCCTCTTTTGGATCGTTGGTGGTGCACGCCGGTCGATAGGTGTTGGTCACATAGATACGGGCCCATAGTGGAGACAAGGGAAAAAGAAGCGGCGGCGGCACATTGTCGTCAGTGAAAAGGCCCTCGTCACGTGCCCGAAACACCGTACGCTCTGACCAATCACTGCCATGCGCGTGAAATACCGACACCTGTTTCAACCGTCTGGTTGCGAGATGTCACGGCTGAACAGGTTTTGCGCGACGGAGTTTAAACCGCCATCGCGGTAGTTTACGGTAGTCAAGAGAAGTAGCAATTGGAAAAAAGAATGCAAGAAGCGCGTTCGACTCTTCGTCCGAGTCACACGACAGCAAAGATAAATGCTTAGGCATAGGCATCTGATAATTGCAGGCACGTCTGTCTAGTCGTATCGCTTGGAACATGTGCATACAGAACGCCGAGCGCGTAATCGCTACGGTAAAAAGGTGGATACATAAAGGACGACGATCACGAGCTGGAAGACCAGTCTTTGGCAATGCTGCATAGTTGAGACCCGCTTTGCATGGGTCTGAAGGTATTCCAGAACTATTGACACGAGATCGATGCACATAGTGAGAGCGGCGTCATACAATCACATTCTCGTCGAAAGGTCAATCCCATTCGGCTATGCTACCAGGTTGGCGTGGTGCTTGCAGACAAGATAAACATCGCGGAAGATCGCTCTCGACGCAAGTGTTCCATGTGTATATTCTAGCTGTCAGAAATGAGCCCGTGATATGCGTATACGCACTGCCGAAGAGGTCAAGCATTAAGGTAGTCGACCGGTTGCTCAACGCACCATATCTCGCGTAAGCCACTTCTCGATGCCGAGCCAGTCGAGGGATACCTCGGCAAGAAGAGCAAGGACTGTATGCACGTCTGCAACCTCTTTCAAGTAGTAGCTTCTGATCCCGAGGGGATGTACGCGTGTCCATCATCGCTTTTTGCCGCTCTTGTGCTGTAGAGGCGAGGGGATCAGCCATGCTTCGACTGCTTACCTTGCTTGGGTTGCTGCCCGTTATGGATGCATGTGCTGCAGGTTGGTAGCTTCAGGATTGACGAGCGGAAACAGACAACTGTAGAGTCACTTTGCTTCCAAGCGGCTTACGTGCGGTTCACAGAACAATGAGCTGCAGACGCCACATGTCAGACTATTCCAGGATCACTTTTGATCGGATCCTGTGTACCATGAAGAGTGTGATCATTGGTATCGTATCGGTTGCTCCAGACTTCACATTTCTAGCGCTTCTTTATCGATGGTCGCAGCAGACGCTACGGCCTGGATGCTGCTGGTCAATGGGCATCCTGAGCCCTCCTATAGTCTAACAGCGTTTGGACACTCGATCAAGCGAGTGCGTCAGATTCCACCAAGAGCATTAAGAACTGTCCAACGCAAGAGATCTAGTTCGTCGTCACAGGCACTCTGCATTGCAACTTCTGAATACATTATCCGTGACTCCGAGCTGAAAACACTGACACGTGGACGCGAACTCAAGCGCTTACCTGCCTTTGCCGCACGATCGGATCGTAGAATACATGCGTGTAGTCGATCACCAAACGTATGCAATCCATCAAAGCAGGTCAATACACTCGCAAGAAAGCTCGTGGTGCACGAGACAATTGTCGATTCGTTGGTGCACAAGATTTGCCGTGGGTTGTAGCTAACAACATTACTCATCTGTCCATGTTTGTTGGCACATTGGCTCTGCCTGCGTTGTACTAAGTTTGGCTAAAACAAGCTCCATGGAATGTCGTTAGTCCATGCAGAAAAGGTGGCGCAAACTTTGTAAAGACGCTACTAAGCTGCTGAGCAGCGAGGCATCTGTCGACGAGAATGCATTGGTTCCTATCGAGATTCGGGTTCTGCATCTTTTTACCTGCACCCACATGCGCAGGTCGCTCCAGTCCAACCCAAACTGAACGAATGGCCCACTGAAATGAAATGCACGCGAAAACACTAGAAAGCAGCTACGGTAGCTTAGAGCTCTCGGGCTAATCCTCGAAGTCGAGACCAGGACACATTTTCTGCATCACAACCACATCCGGAATCGGCTTCTTGCCGACGACGAAAAACATTGGAACCGCTCGTTTGCTTTGGGCGGATACGATCGGTGTCCAGTGCCGACCAAAGTGGTCACCGGCCGTTTCCAGCGACGCTTGCACTTCCAACGTCCATGGAATCTCGTTCAACACTCCCTGCAACGGGTCATCATCGCCATAGTTAACAGCGTGGGTCCCCCACTCTTTCTCGTCAGCAAACGATTGACCCGGCATGTCCGTCCAGAACTCACTTCCTGGCGCCGAAAGGTAGTCGATCGCCTTCAGTAGCTCAACAATGCCCGAACGCTCGATATGAGGCAGCAGACCCTCCATGATCCAGAACGTCGGCATAGTCGGATTGAAGTCGTGGCCCATCAGATTTGCCTCCAGCCCGGCTGTGGCCAAATTCGAGACGATGCAGTCGACGTTCTGAGCAAGTAGTGGCGCGTGCAGTTCCTTCATCACATCGGTCTTGTGCTCGAACACAGCATTGCTTTGATCGACTTCCAGAACATGACAACCGCGGAGTGATTCCAATCGGTATGCTCGAGCATCAAGCCCGGCGCCAAGAATCACAATTTGAAGAACGCGCGGGTCACGGTGATACAAAGCTTCGTCCAGGTATCGTGTGCGGAGGGCAATGACGTGCTCTGGGGACGAGTAGAACTTGCGCAACACCTCGTCAACAAACTTTTCAATTTCCGGCTGCCGGGATCGAGTGAGCGGTGCGGCAAAAGGGTCGTGGATCAGACGGTCATCTCGAGCACTCTCAACTCCACGTAAATAGGAGGTCACAAACGCCATCCACTCTGCACTAGCATCGTCCGCGACAGGGGGGTCGTCTTGGACTAGAGGTGACGACATAGTAGCTGCTGCGTCCATATCGCTTCAACGTGGCTGTCAGCGTGAAGAAGAAACTGTGTGGGAACTTGCTGAAACGGAATCCGCACTTTCCCAAACGTGTGCGAGAACAGCAGTGTGCCTTTGATGGAGTGTCTTGGACTCTCCACGTCGCAAGAAAAAAAAACGACCACCAAACAAACTGTAGCCCTCGAAGAGTCTCGCAAGATGCACATTGGAGCCGGCATGCACTTGTGCATGTAGATTGATGTACTACCTCTCTTGACGCTTGTGATGTGATGAGCTGTCCTACATCGGTAATATGTCAACACGACTCACCTGAAATATAGACCATGTCATCGAAGCAGGTTGCCGTCTACAATGCATGAACAGTCCTACAGTACAAGCGGTGTCTCGTTGACTTTCGCAGCTCTTGCACTTGTCGCTTCGCTTTGTTTCTCTTGTCTGCTCGCCATCACTGCTCTTCTCCATCCATCGTCCATCCTCCTCCTGCTGTATCCCAATTTCCTCGTCGTTGTTGGGCGTTACGAAAAAACATGAGAAAACGGCTCCGCTGAACAGCGAAGAAGAAGGAGCAAGGGCCTGCACGTCGCGCCTCGTCGCAATGGATCATTCTTGCTTTCCCAGGCTCAAGTGTGTCGTGCAGCAAAGACAGGATGCTAGGTCTCACTGAAGGTCAACAACTTAATAGCTTGCGTGAAGGGTGTAAGCAAAAGGAGCGCAATCTCGCGGAGGTACGTCTTGGTTCAGCTCGGTACACATTGTTTGCTCTGTCTCTCTTGTTTAACTCCTCGATGGCTGCGCTGTAGAACGGTAGCAGCGGTTCAGTCGAAATGTCGACGGTGTCATCAGCGTCAATCGACGATAAAGAGGTGAGTAGTGTATTCACGGATTGCGTCGAATCTTCGGAAGTCTCACGTATTTGAACATGCACGTGGTGATTGTGGACGGGTAAAGGTTAAGACGGGGGTCAAGCGAAGCCATTCCGAAATCGCCGACAGTGCCGACATCAGTGCAACGCAAAGTGCTGGCGACCTGCACACCGACGGAGACGTTCGAAGGACAGCATCGGTGGACTCAGAGGAAGGTGAAGCTGCTGGTGACGCTGCAGTCAAGAAGAAAGATGAAGGAACAGCGTCTAAATTACCTCGTCTTGCCCAGGACGTGCTCACGAAACCAGCGGCTGTGCCTTCGAATCAGGTGATCGTGAACGCACTGTTCGACTATGCAGAACAGCAGCTTCATCAAGGACACACGGGTCAAGGTGTTACTCACTTGCGAGCAGCACGCGCTCTTCGTGATCATTCCAGCGCCGTCACGACTGGAACCGAAGCACGTGACGTTCCACTCGTGGGGACAAAGCTGGCTGCAGAGGTCGAGCAGATTTTGGAGTCGGGCACTGTGGTGGGCACAGCGGACGATGCGGACGAGAAGAAGCACACGGAGCCTCGACTGGTCCGTGAGCTGCGTGCTAGCACGGCAAAATGCCCGGAAAACCAGCCAGTCGTTGACAAACTTTTGAGCTACGGGGAGCAGCAGCTTCATGCTCGTAATGGCAGCAAAGGCACGAGTTACCTTCGCGCTGCCCGCGAGCTACAGCTCGCTGATCACGTCATAGCTTCGGGGGACCAAGCTCGTGAAGAGGTAGCACTTGTCGGGCCGGTAATTGCCGAAGCCATTGATCAAATCTTTGAGTGCGGCCGCATCGTGAAGGACACTGCAAGTCCAGCCACGACCGTTCGACCCGACGCTAGCGAGAAGGGCAAAGACGAAAACTCGGCGCTGCGTCCGGAAAACCAATTCATTGTAGATGGTCTGGTTGACTACGGTGATCGCTGTTTCCAGCTGAGCCAGTGGGGTGAAGGGGTCACCCACTTGCGAGCAGCGAAAGCAATTCGAGACGCCGATGTAGTGGTGACGTCAGGAAAGCAAGCAGCAGAAGAGATCAACGAGTGTCCTGCGGTGGATAAGATTGATAGAATCCTAGACGGACACGAAGACGCCGTCGAAAAGGAAGGGGTCGGTCGTGACGCTAGCGATGCTGTTGGTCGCGTGTCTTCCCCCACTTCATCGGGCAAGGAAGTTAGTGAAAAGTCCGATCAAGTTGATCCGGACTCGGACAGCTCAGTTTCCGAAGATGACGAGGAAGAAACTGTGCTCGACATTGCTACGAATTGCCTTCAGGATGCTGCTGAGGTAGTGGCGGATAGCAGTGTCGCAAAAGCTTTGGGATGCATTGGCGAGAAGGTGGCGACTTTCATCAGTGCGAGCGTACTGCCGACTTTAGCTGATGACGTTTCTACAGACGACGATGAAGCGGAAGACGCGGCAATGGAAGACCATGCAGAAGACTGCGAGCAATGAGTCGATCCGGTAGGTTGAAGATAAGTAGAAACAACATCTTTTGAAGCAATGCATTAACAAGCCAAGTGACGCGCTCGACGCAACGGGAGCACATTGAAAGACCGTTAACAACCCGTCCCACACTGATGTTCTCGTTGAAGCACATTTCTCGTATCTGCGCTAGCTTGTTATAGTGTATTTGCGAGCTAACTGGTGCCCACGTCTCATTCTTCAGAGCTTCCACCCGTTTCTTCATTTATCGTTTTGCAGTTCAAGCACGAAAACGAAGTTGCTGGGTCAACATGACAGATGCAAAGACTGCTAACGCGGTGTATGCGCAAATCGGGAAGTTGCGCGAGATGGCCAAGAATAAGCACATTGACATTCCTGAGGTTCGTGGTGGATAGTTCTAGCAATTTGCTTCGCGAGTTTGTGAGGCACTTATGGGAATCCACTCTTTCGTCCTAGAATCCGTACATGGCTGCGAGCGATATTGCGACGGCACTGCTTGCGTCGAATGGAGACGAGCAGGTAACGATGTCAACTACGTTGGATGATTGTGTCGCTGAACTGTGCCTGAACTCATTTGTTTTCGTAGTCTGCTTTGAAGAAAATCATGGCCAAGTTTGGTCGCAACAAGCGATCACATGCGTCTGACACGGATCAGGGCCACAAGAAAAGTAAGCGCGGTGGCGAAAACGGTGGCGACGAAGATGAGACCGTTGCAGCGGGATACGCTTATGCAGCCATGTCAAAGGAGGAGAAGGAAGCTGCAGAGGGGAAAGGTCAACATCCAGGTCAACAACAGCAGGGTCGAGAAGAATCCATGGCCCCCCACAAAACCATTCGGTTGGTTGAAGAAGTTCGCGAGCAGAAAGCTGCTAACTCTGCAAACCAGAAGATTGTAGACGCCTTTGCCAACTACGGCGAGGAACAGCTTGATCGTGGCCACACGGGCAAAGGGGTCTCCCATTTGCGAGCGGCGATTCACATTCGTGATCATCCAGACGCCATTACGTCAGCGAAAGAGGCACGTGCGGTGCCCATGGTGGGGGACAAGCTGGCATCGCAAATTGAGGAGATACTGGCCACGGGTAAGTTGAAAGACGAGACTGCAGACCAGAACGTAAGCACGAATGTGGATCGACATCAGCGACCCGAGTTGGTGAACGATATTTTCAATTCAAAAGCCAAGTGTCCTGAGAATCAGGTGTTGGTGGACGAGTTGGCAAAGTTCGGTGAGCACGAGCTCTATTTTGGTAGCTCGGGCAAAGGCACGAGTCACCTGCGAGCAGCACGTGAGATTCAGTTGGCTGACCACGTTATCAAATCGGGGTCTACAGCCCGGACGAGCGTTCCTCTGGTCGGGGATGTGATTGCTGACAAGATCGACCAGATCTTGGAGCACGGTCGCATCGTCCAGGACACTGGTGAAACGACGGGGTCAAAAAGCTATTCCCGTGGTAGTGGTGGTGGGTACACCGTCGCGCCCATAGTGCAGGACTTGCGTGACAAACCTGCCGTGTGTCCAGAGAACCAGCGCGTTGTCGATGCTTTGGTCGACTATGGTGACAGCCATTTGTACTCGGGGCATCGAGGCAAAGGCATCTCACATTTGCGAGCTGCCCAGCATATTCGGGACTCGAAGACAGTTGTGAAGTCTGGACGGCAAGCTAGCAAGGAGATCGATATGGTCGGGCGTCGCGTGGCAGCCAAGATTGACCAGATTCTCGAGCAGGGTCATGCAGACAGTGACGAAGATTACGAGTACGATCCAGAGGATGAAGAGGAAGAGGAAGACGCTGAGTATGGAGAGCGAGAACGCGATGTGGTAGTGCCTCCAATCGTGCAAGATGTGTGCAGCAAACGTGCTCAAGTCGAGAAGAATCAGATCTTGGTGGATGCGCTGGTGGAGTATGGTGAAGAAGAACTCTACAAGCGTCACACTGGTCGAGGCACGGCATTTTTGCGTGCTGCTCGCCGTCTCCGCGATGCAGATGTCGAGGTGAACAACGGCAAGGATGTGAAGTCGATCGGCATCGGGGACAAGGTTGCAGAGTACATTGATACGATCCTGGCGAGTTAGTTCGAGGTGGTGCTACGACTCGAAGACACGATCAGGATAGTAGTTCAGTAAATGGACGAGTGTGCAGAGTACATTGATACGATCCTGGCGAGGAGTTAGTTCGAGGTGGTGCTGCGACTCGAAGACACGATCAGGATAGTAGTTCAGTAAATGGAGGAGTGCTGTCCGAGGAAGCATGCATGTCGTTCGCAATCAGCGATCGATTCTTTTGTTGGTTTGATTGACGAATGGAACCGCCGAGTGATTGCTTCGCTGGATCTGAACTATTGACCTTCTTACGCATAGGCAGTACAGTACGCACTGCAACTGATTAGACCTTCTGAGTACGTGTGACCATCGAGCTGAGACGTGGTAGCAAGAGAGCATGATGGAAAGTGCTCGAAGATAGACAACGGGGTAGAACTGCGAAGGCAGCAATGACATGAAAATCGTTTTCTTCATTTGTGTAAAACAAATATATCTGTGCAAGACAACTAAGGGCAGCATCATCTATCCACGTGCGGACATTACCCATCTACACTCTCCTATCCGGAGCATAAACCTGTACTTCTGGTTAATCCATTAGAAATGCAATTTTTTACACATGTCATCCCAGACAGATACCTGGCATCCGCATGACGGACATACAAACCATTGTTTTGCCACCTTCTCATTATCAAGAATGTACGACATTGAACACCCTCACTAGCCCGTGCACGCTCTCGTAATTCTCTTGTCGAGGGCTCAAGCTACCGTGAAAGCTCACACTACGTCACAGGGCAGTGTCATCGTTGTAAAGCGTACCAAGAGAGTTTGCAGCAGGTAAAAGGCGATGTCAATGCAGAGCGTTGTTCATACTCTTGACCATACATTCCTGTCGTTTCGAGGAGCTCCAGAGGTCATTTGAGGCCAAGTGTAGCACGGCTTGTAGTGCTACACTTGCTAAATAAGATTGAAGTCGCTTGAGCTCTGGTGAGAAGAATGCAGTGTACACATTGAGTCCTACGTTGTTCACAAACTCCTCTGCTACTAAGCCACCACATCCGTCTACTCATCAGTTACTTGCGTTTCGTCAGTCCCACTTGGTTTTGCTTTTGTTGGCGCTGGTGCACGGATCCGACATATCAATAGCGCGAGCGATATTTGCTGCACGACAATACGGTAATCATCACATGTGACAACACACAACAGATCTGTATCGCCGTGTGCATTTCCTGAAGCGGATACGGGAATACCCACAGCTCAACCTATATCTTCGAACTGGATTACTGTTGCAATTGGCGAGCTCTAGAGCTTGCTTCTTTATCTACCTCGTAGATAGAATCCATAGCGATAACATCCAGCTATAATTCAGATAGGCTGTCGACGTCATGTGTCGTGCTCGTCCCTGCGACAATATCAGAGCCATAATCGATGACAATTGTGTCAAAAAGAGTCCCGTGTCGAAAAGTTCACTTGGCTGATCCGTGTCACAACACTGCCTGTCCCGACACTGACCCAACAGCCATTAGCGCTCCTCCCTGCCCGTGTTCACCTCGCGATAACGACATCGGACTTTGTCCAGCGTGCAGCTGTCCTACACAATCTGTGGACCTAAAGCAGAGACTCAGACATGTTGTCCCTGCCACGAAAGACTCTGCAGCCCGTAAGCTACGGCCAATTCGCGCAACGTGAGACGTTCCGTTGCGTGACGACGATCGCAATCGACCCGAAGCCGTCTGCACGAGAGCGTCGTCCTCTGCCTCTCAAGGGCATCCGCGTCGTGGAATGCGGCCACCTCATTGCCGGACCTTTTGCAGGGACGATCTTGAGCTACTTTGGTGCCGATGTGATCAAAGTCGAACCGCCTACGGGCGACCAAGTGCGGGACTACCGCCAGTTGGACGCGAGCAATACGTCGCTGTGGTGGTACTCGCTCGGCCGCAACAAGCGGTCGGTGGCGATCGACATGAAGGCCGACAGGGGACGGGCGCTCGTGCAAGAGCTCATTGAGCAGAGCGACGTGTTGATTGAGAACTTCCGCCCTGGCCGCATGGAACAGTGGGGACTGGGACCCGAGGATTTCGAGACAACAAACCCGAAACTCGTGTACGCGCGAGTGTCCGGCTTTGGACAAGATGGGCCCTATTCGAGCAGGGCAGGATTTGCCTCCGTGTGTGAAGCAATGGGCGGGTTTCGGTACGTCAATGGCTTTGTCGACCGTCCACCGGTTCGCCCAAACCTCAGTATCGGGGACACGATTGCTGGCATCCATGCGGCACTGGGAATTGCAATTGCTCTACTTGGACGCGAGAGAGGAGCTGCTGCTGGGCTCAGCGCCAAAGGCCAAGTTGTGGACGTTGCGATCTATGAATCCATGTTCAACCTCATGGAAGCAGTGGTGCCCGAATATGATTATTCCGGCCTGGTTCGCGAATGCTCGGGGTCTACGATCACAGGGATTGTACCGTCCAACACCTACGTCACAAAAGACAACAAGAACGTTGTCCTTGCTGCCAACACCGACTCGCTGTTTGTCAAACTCATGAAAGCTATCGGTCGAGAGGATATGGCAGCAGACTGCAAGTACCGAACGAATGCCGACCGTGTGACGCATCAAGAAACGATTGATGCTGCCGTAGTGGCGTGGACGGCTACCCAGGATCTGGACACTGTTGTCGCAGTGATGGAGAAGGCTACAGTACCTGTGGGTCTCGTGTACTCCGTCGAGGACATGGTGGCGGATCCACAATACAAGCACCGCGGGATGTTCGAGGAGGTGGAGATTCCACATGGCGATAAAACACGGACGCTAAAAGTGCCTGCGATCCTGCCCAAGCTGTCGGCTACGCCAGGTGTAACGCAGTTTGCTGGACGCAAATTGGGGCAAGACACACGTCACGTGCTGAAAGAGATTCTCGGACGATCGAATGAGACCATTGAAGAGCTGCTGGAGGAGAACGTGGTGTTCGAGCCGAAGTAGATCGAAGTGCAGGCATGCACTGCTTCACGACAAACGACACGTTGGCGTCTTGGCTTGGGTTCAGCTGACTGCACGGTTTTTGTCGTGGAACGCACGACTTGTACGCATGCGGCTGTAGGTGATGCTTCGTCTGCTTGTCACGAGCACTGCTCAACTCCATCCTTCGCGGCTGCCATCGCCATTCGTTCTGGTCTATCTGACCTACAGAGTAAGCCCACAAACTAGGCTGCATATCAGGCTTGTGGGTATGCGTGTCTGTGAACTTGTTCGACACACGCTTGGTGATGCCACGATATCGGGAGGAATCGCTGACACGAACTCCTTTTGGTTGCGCGATAGAAAGTGTAGTTGCAGGAGCGGTCCGTGATACATATTAACTCATACAGCTCTTGTCAATGCATCCGTGTAGGTAATTCTAAAAAGTCTTTGCAAACTCTTGTGCCAGTAAGCAGGATTCCTGGTATCAGCTCTCGTAGCTCTTATGGCATGTTCGATCCAGTAAGTATGACGACACGGCTTCTTTCGACTGATTGCAAAGCGAAAGTTTGTCACATGGGCGTTGATTCAGGTAAGATATCGGTGCAACAGACGTCGTGCGGCGCAATGGCCCGTGACCTGCTACTGCAAATGAGATATGAGAAGGCTCTTAGGCGACCTACATACAGGCGCATACTCAGTTGAGCGCGAAGAAACTCATCTTCGGCAGCAGCTACAAAAGGCTCAACGCCGTTGATGTTGTGGGCTGCATATCGACGCATGGGATGTGCCTTCTCGCAGGACAGCATCGCGAGTCGTTACGTCGCTGACCTTTTCTCCGGGCTTGGAAACAAGCATCGTAAAACTCACACGGGCTTGATACACATGACGTCAGAATGCGCAGAGCCCAATGACCCAGAATTGCCACAGCTTACGATTCTGGCTACAAAGGCGGCGAGACGTCTGCAACAAAAGTCGCTAGCTCGAGCTCAGCTTCATCCTGCGCCAACGCGCAGAGTACTCGAAACCCATTGCGCTCTCGGCCAGTCTGAGACTTTGACAGGGTGAGATGTCAGGCATTCTGCCGCTTTGTGGTACTTGCGGCTCGACCTTGGTCCTCTACGAGCCCACCAGCCCAGCAAAGAAGCATGCCTCAGCCGAATGGGACCCGACCAAGTCGCTTCTAGTATTGAGACCATCGCCGACAAAGAGGATGAGAATGACGAGGTAGCTCAGGGCGTCCTATGCATGATGTACCTCTGGACGATGGATTTGTCAACGCACGGTGCAAGGTTTAATGGACTCATGCTATAAAGAAGTCATTCACATGAGACAGGAGCCTCGAAGGAACCCGATGTGTATGTAGAACTCACTTGTACGCTCGCACTTGTAACGAAAGACCTGCGAAGCAAAGAGCTGTATTCAGACATTGATTTTCGTCGGTGGCAGTGGACGGACGCTCTGCATTGTAATCCATATCCTCACGAACATAAACGACTTGAGACTGCACACTTTGGAAAGACTCGACATGCACAATCGAAAATGTCATGACCGCAAGTCGACATCAATTGATACTCGACCACGTTTTCCGATCCCACAAGTTCGCCTCTTTGTTTCAGGTGATGTCACGACCTCGTTCAACCTTACCCGAAAGCGCCACCTGGTTCATGTGAGGCTATGTGCCTTTAAAATGACTGGGTCATCACACTCTAGAAATCCTACAGCATTCGACTGCGTTCATGGTGATAGGGGGCATCTCAATGGGTGACTTGACAGACTCGTGGACAAACACAAGGGGTGACGAAGGTGCAAGTACGTTAGTCTTCTGTCTTTGCGACGGACCTCTAGGCGTGTCGCCTTTCGCAATCAGAAGCAAAGAAGGAGTCTACTGACTGTCTCGACGCTCGCTACTACCCACAGAGAACGTTTGGATCGCCAGCACCGTCGCAATGCGGTGGTTCCACTCGATGAAGGTGTCCCGCCCCCTGTCGAAGGGCCAAGTTTACACTTGCCACAACGTTATATTGCCCCCGTGGCCAGTTACACCGCATTTTTGACCACTTGTGCCTTTTCGCAGTTTGTCCATGGGAGTCGTCGGATCTTTGACAGTCCCAACGAAGCTCCACAGCCAACGCACGGACCAAACGCCGAAGCGTTTGTCCCCCAAATAGTCCAACACAAAGCGCTTTTTTCGGATTTGTGTCGGATCCCATTACGAAATCGCCGGCAAAGGATATTGCGTCGCGCTAAGACGTCGATGGCTCGACGCCTCTCGACGCTCTCGTTCCGCGCGCCGCCGCCAGCCCCGAATCGCCGTGTTGTCGTGACTGGACTGGGCGCTGTCACTCCGTTTGGTGTGGGCGTACAGCGCTCGTGGGACGCGCTATTGGATTCGCAGTGTGCGATTCGAGTACGTCACTTGTGGGCTCTACTTACTGATCGATCCAATTTGCGTTCCTGGCGTTTGACTGATGCAGTACATGGCCATTAGACAGTGGAACATCTCGTTGGTACGGGTCTGCAGTGTACCATTGGCGCGTCCGTGCCCCGAGGCGAAGGAGAGGGAGCGTTCCGCACGAACGAGTGGGTCAATGCGAACAACGTGCGGTCGCAAGAGCCCGACTTTATCGCGTTCACGCTGGCAGCAGGTTCTGGTGCTGTGCAATTTGCTTTTTACTGCACTGTAGGCTGCAGCTTATTGGGATGTGGCTCTCGATGTTGATGGATGCAGCTGATGAAGCGCTGAAGGATTCAGGATGGAGCCCGCAGTCGGACGAAGAGAGCGAGCGAGCAGTAAGTGGACGATATGGTCGATATGGACGAGGTCACAGCCTGACGTGACGCCGCATGGTGGTGACTGGCTGACTTGCTAGGGCGTGGCAATCGGTGCTGGTATGGCCAACATCCAGGAGGTCATGGATGTGGGTCAACTGATCAAAGAGAAGGTACGGTGACGGCCGACACGTTTTGTAGTCTATTTCTTTCTCGCGCAAAGTATCGTTTTTTATCATCTCGTGCATGAGGTTGCAGAAATATCGCCGAGTGTCGCCATTCTTCGTCACAAGAATACTTATCAATCTTGCTGCAGGTCACGTGAGCATTGAGCACGGACTGAAGGTGCCGTTTGAGAAGGCTGAAGCCAATATGGTGACTTTCGTGGCAAGCAGAAACGTAGACTTACTATGCTTCCATCTCATTGTAGGGGCCAAACCACTCTTGTGTCACGGCGTGCGCCACGGGTAGTCACAGCATTGGCGATGCCGCGAGTCTGATACGACACGGCGACGCAGACGTGATGGTTGCTGGAGGGACTGATGCGTGCCTCAACGAGATTTCAATATGCGCCTTCTTGCGCGCGCAAGCTCTGTCCACCAAGGTAAGATAGCGCTCAGCGTTGGTAAAGTGGAAGACGGTACATTGACATCTACGCCCACGGCACGTGCTTGCGAGCAGTTCAATAGTCGCCCGCAAGAGGCATCGAGACCATTCGACTCGGACCGTGACGGTTTTGTCATGGGTGAAGGCGCTGGTGTCGTTGTGCTTGAGGTATGAGCTGATGTTGGTTTTCTGTCACGCCACAGCTACGGCTTTTGACATGTGCCTCTACATGTCCAAGTCGTTGACTCACTTGTGACGTTTTCCGCTTCTTTGTGGTTTACCTACAAGGAGTACGAGCACGCTAGAAACAGAGGTGCCAAGATCTATGCCGAGGTGCGAGGGTACGGTCTCAGTGGTGACAGCAATCACATGACGGCTCCTCCAGCAACTGGTGATGGTGCTCGACGAGCTATGCAGTCAGCAATTTCGCAATCTGGGCTTGCGCTGCACGATATTGGCTACATTAACGCGCATGCGACCTCAACACCTTTGGGAGATCGCGCTGAGAATACAGCTGTGAAGGAGCTATTTGGCGAGTATGCGAACGAGCTCGGAATATCGTCTACAAAGGTTCGTGGCTTGTGTACTTATTTGAACCGAAGTTGTCCACATTCGTCACGCCTTTGTAAACGCTTTTGCATCATCTGCCGTAGGGAGCTATCGGCCACTTGCTAGGTGCTGCTGGTGCCGTGGAGGCCATCTTTTCGATCAAGGCCCTATGTGATGTACGTCATGAGTATGCATGTATCGTGCTAGCGATAGTGTGGTGCGCGTGCAGCTGAGTGACAACGTTTGCATTGCTAGAACGTGATGCCTCCCACGCTGAATCTAACGGAGACAACGGAGGAGTTCACGCTAAACTACGTGCCGAACCAGCCACAGGAGAAAGTGTTGCGCGCAGTTCTTACGAACTCGTTTGGTTTTGGCGGAACGAACGCAAGTCTTTTGTTTGCCAAGTAGCTACCGTAAAACTTGTGGGAACAACGAACGCACTATCTTAGCGGTAAGATAGTAGGAAGACCGTCGCAAGCGAAAGTGGTAAGTGAGGGTAAGAGCGACACTGGCGCCGTATGCTCGGGAAGCGACGACAAAAGCGATCACCTGTCGTTTTGTCCGACGTCGTCTAGTCTACTCGTCCCATGACAAAGTCGCAATCAAAAACGTTTATTTGAATTGAGGAACGCTCACGAGCGTACGATGGGTATAGCTGCTACCCTTGTAGTCGTCTGCCTACTTTAACACTCTGTGTACGGCAAAGTAAGATGCCACGGAAACGCAGTTCAGCCTTACAGAATAAGTCGTGCTGTGCGCTCTACTCTCGAATACAGCTATCGCCAAAAGTGTGCACTTACTCATAGTAAGTTCTGTCTTGTAACCTAAGCACGGCTTATGCCATGTTCCAACTCAATAGATGTTGTCTAATTCACGAATTGACACGCAATGTATACCAATGCGCTCACCATGTCGTGCACATTGGTCTCAATAATAGGAGACTTGTCCTTGACCCGCGGTCTACGATTCTTCCAAACGGTCAATGTTCCAGTCAACTTACGCATGAGCGGCAACTTGTTATAATCTCAGCCTGCATCCCATCGACTTCGGCATGACATCAATACCATTCGAACACTCATCTCCATTACCCACAGCAACGTTTGCGCTTTTTCCCTCATATTCGTGGACCTTCACCTTTCGCTACGCCTTGACGCAGCGCTTGGTGGCAAAAGCTCTTTCTCAAACGGTTTTCCGTGTCGCCACCGTGTGAACGCGTACAGACCGTTCATTACATTACATTACCTGCGTAAGCCTAACGCATGAAAATTCCCCAACTTTCCGCACGCACATACTCCACCGTACTAATGGCAGTCGAATCAACCAGACGCTCGATCTGAAACTTGCAAAGCTGTTGATTGATGACATCGATGGCGGGTCGAACGAGGACGACGAGTACCTGCACGATGTGTTTTTTGGTGGAGGCGACAGTCTGATCAGTACAATACAACTTAGCGCTCTGTTCGTTCATGCTGATTTATTCTGATTGCAGGCGCGCCTTCTGCGATTGGCGTTGATTTGCTCGCAGGTTACAAGTGCTCTTTACAGCATCCCCAAAGCCTCTGTGGATCATTAAACATATATCACCACATAGTGACGGCGATAGCGTTGAGCTGGCAATGTATACTACGTAGAGGAATGCACGTGACTTTGCAGGTGAGAGGTACTGCAATTGACGGTGCTGATTGTCCGTTGGCTGCAACATCGATAAGTTCCTCGACGCTGCGGAGGTGCTGGTGAGATTCTTCAGGCAACAGATTGTTCCAAAGATCAACCAACAGCTCGTAGGAATTGGCATGGAGGCAATACACTGCTGTGCCGCGCGTTAGCGACGGTACAAATAGGACATTGATGCTCGGATATACACGAGGTCACTGGTAGGGTCGCACAAGACCAGACTCGGGAATTCGCAGGGACAAGCGATAACGGTGCCACACAAAGCGTCACCTGCACAACTTCCATGGCGTTGGAGCGCGAGAGAAGACGACATCACGTAAATGAAAACGGATACGAAGAGGCATTGACGGTTGTTAGCAAAGTCGCGTCCACCTGCACTGTCGACTTGACCGTTCTAAGCCGATCACGTTGAGCTCGTTCGTCTTGGTGGTAGTGCAGTCAATTGGTGAGCCTTGATCTCCTCGTTGAGAACAAAGCAGTGCACTCACTTGTTCACGGACGATGATCCTGTCTTGCTTGCGTGGACGGAAGTCCGGCTGCTCGAAGCTGCGTTAGTAGCTGCCACTCCATCTGCATGCACACCACAATTTTTCGTACCAGTGAGCCGAGTCTTCTTTGCTGATGCAGGTCGAGGCTTTCGAGCACTTGCCGCCACTTTCGGCGGCGCAGGCAATGCCGACCTCACTCCACGATCCACCCCCTGCCCGTTCTTCGGGGCAAAGCTCGATTCTACTGTCAACGGCGGTAATGGGCCAGTGTACGGCGTGTAGCCGCAGTGAGCTCGCGACGCTTTCTCCACGCCCGTCAATGTCGCCACCGGCGTCGACAGCCGTTCAGCTGCCGTCGGCAGGCGCTTCTTCGAGTGCAGCATCTTGCGCAGCGGTGGTGCCGCTTTCACGTGTGCCTGGTTCTCTGCGACAGCTGCTGTGCGTCGAGCAGACGATGCTGTCGGCCGGGCAAAGGCAAACTCCGTCGCTGTCTTGGCAGCTTTCGTCGGGTGCTTTCCAGTCGTCTCGGTCTGCATGAGCGACCGCGTCGGCTTTGCCTGTTTCCGCTCGGTATGTGACGACCGGCGGACGGCATCGCTCGTCTCGGGCGCGTTGCGCTTGCGCTTCGCTCCTGTGCTCGACGTGGACGTCGCTAGAGCCGGCGCCGTCTCGGCCGCTGACGCTGCCCCGTTCTCCATTGGCGCGTGCGTGTCCTGAGCCGTAGCAGCCGATCTGTCCGCGTCTTTGGCCTTCTGCACTTCCCCTGAGGGCCTTAGGCCCGTGCTCTGGTCGTAGTCCCCTCGATCTGCTTCCTCTTGTAACGGCTGCGTCTCTCCTGTCTCGACACCGCCCGTCTGCTTCTGCACCTCACACTCGTCCGGTTCTCTGTCGTGCACTCGCTCCTCCTGTCGCTCCTCCTGAGCCACTGCAGCTGCAGCCGCTCCCTCCTCGTCCTTCGGCTGCGGCTCGGGAGTCATGGAACGAAAAACGGCGCGCTGGAAACACTGGCGCGGGGTTGGAAGGGTTCAAGTTGCGGGTATGTTGCGCGGCGACCTGGAAAGACGGCGGCACTGTGACTTCCGCAACTCAAGCGATCGAGATCGACTCGGGCGAATGAATCGGTCTCTCGAATGTAGACGAAAAGAGCGGCGCTGTTTGTAACAGTATCACGATTTCTGCTACTGTAGTAATGCTAGTAGTAGTAAAGTAGTAGTAGTAGTAGGAGGAGTAGTTGTAGTAGTAGTAGTAGTAGTAGTAGGAGTAGTAGTAGTAATGCTAGTAGAAGTAGTAGTAGTAGTAGTAGTAGTAGTAGGAGTAGTAGTAGTAGTAGTAGTAGTAGTAGGAGTAGTAGTAGTAGTAGTAGTAGTAGTAGTAGTAGTAGTAGTAGTAAAGTAGTAGTAGTAGGAGGAGGAGTAGGATTAGTAGTAGTACACCTCTGCAGCAAACGCCGTTTGCGTGTCACTCGTGCGTCATGCAGCAAAGCTCTACTAGCAGCGCCATCAAAAGTTATTGTGTTTGTCGTCGACACTTAGCACTGTTTCTGTATTAATTTTCGTACCGGACACTTCCAAGTCGTGCGAGTATGTGCGCGACTTGAGACTGGACTCGAGAAGCAAAGACTAAGCAATTTGCTTGTCAGCGAATGCGTGCGATACTGTGACGCTGCATTAGCTAGGAGCTCAACGGGTGCAAGCGAAAGGGCATAGTGCTAGCTACAACGCGCCTTCGCCACAGTAGACCTTGACGTTCAATCCGAATGCGAGCACGTTGCACTCAGTCAGCAGCTTTTAGCTTCGGATTTGGGATGCTGACGCCAATACGACACGGGAGCCATGGGAATGGGTGTGACCGTGCGTGGAGATGCCGCTGCGAGAACGTTCACGTACAAAGTCACTGCGGTACATGTGAGACAGACAGGTGCACTTTCCACCTCGGAAGCTGCAACTTGACGGGCGGAAGGGAGCAGATATGCGTGCCGAAGGCCAAAGCACGTTCTTTGCGATCGACGCGTGCAGATTTGACACGCCCTTTATACACGCAGTGGGTGTTATGTGCACTGTGTCTGTGACAATCAAAGTCGCATGAACGGACGTCGCGTGATCAGTGTGTGTTTCATTGTCAAAGAACCGCAGTGTTTGCTTGTTCGCGGTAGACGCCGTGGCCATCAATGGATGGTGACATGCTGCCCTTTCTTCCTTAATCTGCGAAACAGTCGGTCGATTGCTCCAGTGAGCTCGACGGACGAGCCCGCGTCTATCTGCTTCTTTGCCTGCTCCGAGTGTAGCGCAAAACAGAGTCCACGCTCTTTTCAAACTACTTCGCTCAAACACTGCGTAGAACGAGACTGGTGTACCGATCCCGTCGTTTCTCGCATACGCGAATGTTGTTGCCGTTGATGTCCGACGAGATCAGGTGCTTGTGAGATGCCTCAGATGGTCCACGTGTCAGGTGATCGTGGCGGTCCAATGCCCGCATCTTCGCTCATCGCAGCATCCACAGCTCCGGTCGTCGTCGGTACCGCCACCATCCGACTGATAAAGTCGACGACAGAAAGTGTCGCAAGCTGCTGCCCGCCCAGGCCATACATCCCATTATGTTGTGGTAAGTTGGCATTGATAATGACAACGTTTGGAAGTCGTGCCTGAGATTGGTGACAAACGGGTTCTGTGCTAAGAGCATACAACCGTTGTGGCGCTAGCCGATCGCTCCTCACAAGGAGAGATGTAGTTGTGGATCATCGACGTAAGTATGCCAAAAACCGATGGCACATTTTCGACAGACTTGAGCATCTCGCATAGCGACGCATGTGTACATTCTTTCGTGCGTGTTTTGGCACGCGAATAGCAAGTCACAGTAGAGCGTGCCAAAGCTCGTAGTGCTTTAGCCGAAGATCTTTTCAGTCTGCGAGACATTTCTCAGCTCCGACCGTTCCACGCTCCTCTTCGTCAGGAACTCGTTTGACGGATCGCTACTGTTCTCGAACAGCTTTACTCCCTCCGAAGCTGTTTCGCGGCAGGTTCTTCTGTAGCACGTTCAGTTTGTCTCGGAACAGTAAAAATTGCTAGAATAAGATCTGATGCAGCAATCTGATCCATTTTTCGGGCGCCTCTACTGACTGACTTTGTCCACTGACTTGATGTGCTGACTCGATTTCCGTCCAGAAGGTTTAGATCGATAGTTCCACTCGTCGAGCGCTGTGGTTTGTAGCCAGTTCTGGTCAAGCGCAACACGCCTTGCTATGTCCATCGGCCACAAGTGTAGACAAAAACTGCAGCCATCACGTGTGCTCTCCCCGCATTGCGCGTGTTCCTTTCCTGTGTCTAACGTAGAGTGAACGAATAAACACGCACGCAACACTACGGACTGGCCGCGCTCGTTCCTCAACGGGTCAATTATCCTCTAGTGACAACTCGCGTTTGACCCCGCAGCTTCATTGTAGTTCACATGCCATTTCGCTCTCGCTTTCCTTCCCTCACATTGTACATACCAAACTATCCGCAAATCACCAAATGAACACTGGTCGCTCCCACTTCGCCTACAACATGCCATCTAGCGCCACAACCCAACGACGAAGCGAGGCCGAGGCTGACCCGTTGCACTCGAACAGGCAGGAGACTTCTTCATCGTTGGGTGTTGCGGTCCGAGAACATTTTAATTTCCTCAAAAATACGGGCTGCAAGTTTCACAGCACACACACACATCAATTTAGTACTGTATCCTACCGGCACAAACACCAAACAGTCAAACTACATACCTTTCAGAGCTTCCTTGTTCAGCGGAACGTTCTCAAACTCCATGCCAAACGGATTGGATTCTACGGTCTCGGACTGGACCCGTCGTACTGACTCCAGAAAAGGGTGCGCCAGTGCTTTGTCCACCTTCAGCACAAGTCACATCGTCACATACCGATACAGGACCATGCAAAACGAAGTGCCACATCGACATGCTCACTTACCGAAATTCGACACTCGGGGTTAAATGACAACATTTGCTTCAGCAAGTCGAGCGAGTCAGCCGGGGCGCCCGGATACATCTGCAAATACGTAACAACAAAGTTAATCTCGCGTCGCTGCAAACTGCAACGAGGCACAACATACCTCGCGAAGATCCCGAGGCTGCTTTTTTGGCAGCTTCCGCAAATACTGCTTCACTTCACCCAAGCTGCCAATGTCATCCTCGCCCGGCGTGCCAATCACGTTGAAGATCACATTGAGCTGATCCAGCTTGTCCGAGTAGGTCGTGGGGCGATCGGCGCTCAGCGGAAAGCACGATCGGCCGGGAAAGAGCGGAACGCGCTCCTGGTACCGCGGGCAGCTCTCAACTTGCATGCTGAGCAGCTCTGCAAAAATGCACCCGATACTCCACATATCGACGGAAAAGTCGTAATCCTGAAGCAGAATGAGCTCTGGGGCACGGTACCACCGCGTGACAACGTGCTTCGTCAGCTGTCGTCGCATCTTTGGAAACTCTCCCGATGATGATGGCGTCGAAGAGGCACTGCCGGGGGACGGTGCCGACGTGGTTCCGCCATCGGACGTCGTAGGCGACTTGGAGTCCTTGGGCGAATACAAGTGCTTGCTCAGTTCCTCCATCGACATGTCGCTCTCCATCACACGCGACAGACCAAAGTCGCAGATCTACAATGGCAAATGAGACACCACCAGTCAGTCAATGCCGCTTTCCACACACAACACTGGACCACGAATAGCAGCTACGTACCATGAGGGTGCAGTCTTCGTTCAGCAAGATGTTGGCCGGTTTCATGTCGCGATGGATCACATTGGCAGAGTGAATGTACTTCAAGCCGCACAGAAGCTGGTACAGAAAGACCTGGATGTGCCGAATGGTCAGGTACTGCGGGCTCATGATGAGCTTGTGCAGGTCCGTGTCCACAAAGTCAAACACGAGGTACAAGTCTGTAAACGTGTCATAGTTTTCCGGCGGAATCACGTCAATCAGATTGATCACTTGCGAGTGGCTAATCACCAAAACAACCGCACGCACACACACAAAACAGAGACAAACAACAAGTGAGCACAAAAGAGCTCCGACACACACACCACAAGACGCAAACACACACACACACACCTCAGACGGCGCAGGATGTAAATCTCGCGGTACAACCGCTTGCAGTCGATCTCCTGGTCAAAGACGTTGATGATCTTCTTGATCGCCACTTTCTTCTGGCGCTCGGCATCGAATGCCTCGGCGACCTGCACAAACACAACAAACAGCAACAAATACGTCAGTACGTCGACAAAAAAGGTCCTCTCCCACCACCAGTGCGACACAACGGTATCGACACAGGTAACGCTGTCGGCATCAACAGGCAGTACCTGTCCATACGATCCCTTGCCCAGCAGCCGCACGAGCGTATACCGCGTGCCAACGTCCCAATTGGAAAAGTTGCGCAAGTTCAACGGCGCGGCCCGCGGTACGGGAGACGGCGTCGGCGCGTACGACGAGTGGCCGGTCGAGTCGCCCGTTGCCAAGTTGGTGTCGTCCGCGGGCGTTGTGGTCGCTGCGCCTTGCGCCAGCGCGCTATTGGACGGGAACCCGTCGCTCGGCGTCGACGAGAAGCCGTCGGGCGTGTGGCTAAAGCCGTTGCGGTTCACGAACGCGGGCGTGGGCGGCATGTGCTCAATGGGGCCGTGCGGCGTCGGGGCCACCGCTGCGCTCAGCATCGCGCGCTGGTGGTCGATGAACGCGTCGGACGTGTAGATCGAGTTCCGCGGCGTGACGACGGGCGGCGTCACGCCATTGGAAATGCTGGCGACGGTGGCCGCGGTCGGGCGCGAGAGTTTGCTTCCGCGCTTGAGACTGGACGGCGGCGTCGTGGCCGTCATCTTGCGCTTGCGGTTGCTCGCGTCGCTCGCGTCGGTCGCGTCTTTGCTGGCGGTCTCCATTCGGCAAATGAAAGCAAGAGTGATGGTCACAGGGGCAACACGAGGCGTGGACCGGTAGTCGAGTGGTAAAGAGAGAGAGCGCGCGCGCGCGGAGCGACAGGGGGGAGCGGAAAGATATGTGACGGCCCTGCGGCAAGAGTGAAGGTCAACAACGCGTGGCTCGCTCCAGATCTCGCTTTCCTTTTCTTTCCTTTCCGCACGGGCTGTGTTTGCGTTGTGTTTGCAACTTCGGGGGCGATGCGGTTCTGCCCTCGCTCTCTCAGAACTCAGACGGGGCTCGTTTTCAGCCAACAAAAACACGGTCAGCGTCTATTTGACCAATCACAGCCATGTGGTAGTTTCGACCAATGCCACGCCGCTTCACATCCCGCGGCACGGCCTTGGCATAAGATGTGCACGCAAAAGCAGGACCCGTGGGGCTGTCCCGCCTCGATGCACTGGCGTCAGCGGCTCTGTTGAAGACACGCGGGAACGCCGCAGCGACGACAAGGGAACGCGCCTTTCGATGGCAGAGCTGCTGGCACCACTTTCGGCGGCTGGCAACCCGCTCTTTGGCTGCAACCTGCCGACAGTCGACTCGTAGCCACAGCGGTCACGAGCGACGTCGTGACTACCGTCACGCTACTCGCGATGGGTCTGCTGCCTTACGACGTTGAATGTCGAGCCAGCCGCGGTTCAAGCGGCTTTCCAAGTCCCACTGGTAGTCACCGCCATTGCAGGTACACACTGGTAGTCATCGCCATTGCGGGTGCACACTGGTAGTCATCGCCATTGCAGGTACACACATACATACACACAGATATATATATGTATAAATACGTGTACATGCAAGCACACGTATACGTATACATACAAACACCTGTATCCACCTTTAGACCATGTCAATAATGGGCAGCGTCCTCGACCAAAAAGGCGTCCAGGTCGTCCAAGGCCTTGTCGTCGGTCTCGATTGCGTACTCCCGACGGCGCTCGGCCGCCTCGGCCCCGTCCTTGACGATCTGCTCCGCACGTCCGCGCTGGGCCTCTGCCGCTGCCAGACGCACGCGCTCGTCTGCCTGCAGCTGAAGCATCCGCGCAGTGGCTGCGCCAGCGTCGCGTCGGTCGTGGTGCCGGTGCAGCCGCCGCTGTTGCTGCGCCAAGCGCTGGTGGTCCTGCAGCAGCTCCTCGATGCGCTGCCGCGTCTGTAGCTTGAGCGTCTGCACCGTTTGTAGCTCGTGCTCGAGGTCCGCGAGCAGCTGCTCGTCGTCGAACTCGTCGTCGGTCTCTTCGCGCCGCTTCGTTGCTGCTGTCGTCGCCATGGAATTCGCCAAATGGCTACATTTTCGATTCGGCCGCCGCGCGTTGACGAAAAATGCGGCAGTTGGTGTGTCGCACACCAATTTGCCACGACCATCGAGTACGGTTGAAAATGACGACCGACCAGAGGCTCTACGCGCTGAACGCGCTGCAGGTCGTCGGCGACTGGTCCGTGCACGGCGACGGCGACGGGAGGCTGTTCTACTACGACCGCCGGAAGGATGTGTCGCAATGGACGGCGCCGGACGCGCTCGCGCCGCTCGAGACGGCGTTCATGATGAAGTTTATGCTGCAGGAGGCCGTGGCGCGCTCGGGCGTGTGGACGGCGCACGATGCGGGCAACGGCACGTTGTACTACTTTAACGCGTCGACGAAAGTGTCGTCGTGGGAACGTCCGAGCGAGTGGGGCGAGACGGGGGCGGACGAGGCTGAAGAGACGCGCGGGGGGGGGCGAAGAAGTAGGGAGAGAACTGGTACAGAGCGACAAGGAGATGGAAGAAGAGGCGGGACAAAAGGAGAAAAAGGGGGCAGCGAGGGAGGAGCGGGAGAAGCTGAAGGAAGAGAGGAGGGAGAAGAAGAAGAGGAAGGAGCGTGAGCGGCATCACAAGGACAAGGAGATGTTGGCCGAGGAGAAGGATGAGCAGACGGAGAAAGGAGCAGCCGAAGAGGAGAGGGAGGAGAAAGAGCCACTGACGGCTGAGGAAGTGCAGGCAGCACAGGAGCGGGAGGTACGTGACAAGAGGCGGGTCGAGCAGTTTCGTACCATGCTGCGCGAGAAGAACATCATGCCTTTGTGCAAGTGGTCCGTGGCTCTACCGCAGATCGCTGGCGACCCTCGCTTCGTTGGCGTACCGACGATGGACGAGAGGCGTGCAATTTTCGAGCATTTCGTCGAACACCGTCGAGAAGATCTGAAGGCAGAGAAGAAGGGCGAGCTGAAGCGTGCGAGGCAGTTGTTTTCGCAGTTCTTGCGCGAGCAGTTTGAGCTGGATTCGTGGGCGCTGGGCACGACGTTGAGTGTGTTTTTATCGACACTGGAAGACAAGATTGAGCCTGCACGATACAAGGACGTCCAAGATAATGCACTGGCCTTGTTGACGCTGTCGACGCAAGAAAAGATATATGCCAAGGCGGTAGCAGCATTCAAGTCGGACGCGCTGAAGCGTGATGGAGAGCAACTGCGGCTGACAAGATTTCTCGAGGACAGGCTATCTACTACGGAGGGCAAGTCACTGTTGTTACAACGGGAAGAAAACAGAGTCCAAACGCTTCTTCGTGAGTTCTACAGCTCCGCTGATACGGGTGGCGCACTGCTGTCGGAGCAAAAGCAGCGACAGGTGTTTGATGAAGTGGCCGCGCGAATAGCTCACAGTCAAGCTAGGGAGCGCGACGTGGCGAACGAAAAGCAGTCAGGAGGCTCACGGGCGAACCATCGATTGCAGTCGCGGGACCACTCGACGGGCAGCGTGAGGAAGGCAAGTCCACGGCAACAACGCAGTGCCTTGGACCGCAATCGTCATCGCTCTCGCTCTCGATCCAGTCGTCGACGCAGCCATAGCGACAGCCGGTCACACTCTCGCGAGCGCACGAGCAGATACCGTCGGCGCAGCCATAGCGGCAGCCGCTCACAGTCCCGCGAGCGTACAAGCGGACAACGTCGGCGACGCTCGCCAACCCGGTCGCGCTCCCGAGTGCGATCGCGTCGAAAAGCATCCAACCGTCGTCGTCACTACTCTTCCTCGCTTTCCAGGTCTCGCTCACGCGAGCGTTGACAGTCGGGCCTGCAGAAACAGCAACGTAGGAGCAACAAGTGAGCAACAAAGGAATCGGGCAGTCATGAGTCCGAACAAACGCAAACCGCTGACGTACTAATAGATTTTTCCCTTCGGCGCCGAGCCTGGCAACGGGGAGAAATCCACAGTGCGCAGCACGTATTTCGGTCCATCGTCGATCTTCATCACCGCCTGAACGCCGTAGTCTAACGGCACCGAGTAGATGCCATCGATGTTGACTCTCATATCCCATCCGAGTGATCGCATCGATACCCGGCGGGCTTTACCGCTGCAGGAAGCAAAACAACTAGGATCAGCATACACTCGCACTCACAAGGATCCGTTCCGTGCAAGCTAGACTGCTCACCGCCTGAATCGGATATCACCAAACGTGGCATTAATGATCGGCTCGCGCACGACGTAGCCCATGTCCCGTGAATCTTCAGAGAAAACGTTCTGCTTGTTTATTCTGTGAAAACGCAACCACAACGATCGACGAGGCGTTAGCTTCGAGCACGCTTTCTCGGCTACGACTCGGGCCAAACGAGCTACAAAACGCACGACTCTGTCAGCTCCGTTACAGTCTCGTTGGTGTGTGTGTGGTTCATCGCGCTGAGAACATTTGCGACCTGCTCTCGATAGACTTGGCACTGAAAACACGCCGTTCGTCAGTTTGTGGTCGACCAAATACACGCGCAGGCATATGTATACGCGTACCGCGCTCGAGTACCACGCGCTCGAACCTGTGCCCGTACACATGAGAATGCCACTACTGCGATGCGACTCGCGCTGGTGTTGGTCGATGCCAATGTTATAGTGCGATGGCCGCGATGCGTCACCTTCTGCGATAAACACTTCGTTCAGCGCGTAGCGAGGCAGCTCGTACCAGAACCCGTCTTGGTTCACCATTCCCACACGAATCCGCTGGCGCAACCGCCATTTGAAATCTCCCTCCAGCAAGCGGTCCAGCGCTGTGCTGAATCGATGGGTGACGTTGTCAATCTTGTAGCAGCATAAATTACCCTCGCTTCGTTTCGGGTCCGTGTTCAAACCTGCGACAGGAATTGGAGTGTTCACGAAGCTCGCTGTCTTCAGAAACGTCCCATCACCGCCAGCGGAAAATATCATGTCCGTCCCTTCTACTGCCTCGTGCGTGAGCTGATTAGCAGATACGACGTTCACCTGAATGTCGCGCTCCTTGAAACTGTGTATCCGACAAACAAGTAGTGAGGATAGTCCGTCGCGAGACGATCGGCATGAACGATAGCTGATATCGACAAACCTGTTGGTGATTTCATCGACGGCCTCGACATGATGCTCGTGGCTTGCTTTCAAGCGGTCGTGAATAAATCCTCGCATCGACATTTGCTTCCTCAATGCTTCCCTAAGTGTCGGAACAAGCACAGAATCAAGCGACACGACACAGCATATCAGGAATGCAGCATGCAACAAAGCAAGCGCTGTCAAACGTACCCAGTGTTGCCGTACAACTCTGCTTCATGCTGAAACCGCGACATCTTCTTCACCACCACCACGTTTTTCAAATTCAGCATAGGCTTTCCTGGAATCAAGAGCGGTATCTGTCGTTCGTCCTTTTTCGCTGGGGGCTTCGCAGATCTGTCTGTCGCTTCCGCAGCGGATGGTGAAGCCCTAATCAAGCTCGTCGAAGGAGCCACACCGTCCGCGATGCCGTCGCCCTTCGACAGCGACTTGGCGCCATTGTACGTCTGCTCCAGGTACTCCTCCGAAATGATCATCCGAGGCACGCGTTCTGCAGTTGCCAGCAGCAGCTCATTGTCGTACACGGGTCGGTCAATCTTCATCCATCCTTTCGGACTGAGCTTCTCATTCCACGGGCACACAGACCGCACGTGCGTGAAGTACGGCGCCATGGTACCAGTCAGCGGGTCTTTCCGCGTATAGTGCAGCACATGGCCGTTGTGGATCTGGTCCACCATGCGGCCCGACTCTTGGAGCTCCATGAACGTATCCTGCGACATCCTCTCGAGCCGCGTCCGCATGGCCCAGATCACTTCTCCATGGGCAACAACAATCGCGCGCTTGTCGCGGCACTCGTGGTTCAGAATGCCCAGCAACCGGTCGGCACGTTGCGCTACGGCCGCCAAAGACTCGCCGCCCGGCGGCGCATAGTAGAACCGATTGAGTTCGCGCCGCTTGAGCTCGTCCTGCATGTTGATGAAGCGCTCCTGCTCACTCATGAGGTCCATAGCGCCCCAGTCGCGCTCCCGAATGAGCATCTCGGCGTACCAGCGAGCGTCCACGAGCCCCATGCGGCCAGCAGTCTCCATCGCGCGCAGGTACTCCGACACGAGGTAGCGGTCAAAGCGCGCCAAGTCGTTGCGGCGCAGCCAATCACCGGCCGCTGCTGCCTGTCGTCGTCCTCTATCCGTCAGGCGCCAGTTCGAGCTATGCCGGTGCTTGAACTCGCCGGCGAAGAGACTGTGGTCGCCGGCCAATGACCGCTGGCGAGCGATGTTGCCCTCGCTCTCGCCGTGGCGGATGAGCACGAGGTCCGTGAGCCGCGGGAGGCGGTCGCTGCTGCTCGTGCTGCTGCAGTTACGTGCGGTGGGGGTGGCGCGCCGTACGCGCGTCGCGCGTGAGAGGACGCGGCGCGACGGGGCCGCGACTCTTCCGCGCATTATTGTGCTATGGTCGGGAGGAAGAGAGGACGAGGAGGCTATGGGTGTGACGGGGGGCGGGCCGAACTTAAGGTGGCGCACCCAACATTCGGACCTGCTGCGCCGCCTGGTCGAGAGAGAGAAACAGACGAAGAGACGGCGAAAAGGGGGTGGAATCAGGGGGAATCAGAACATTTATAAGTACGTGTGACGGAGAAACCGGCGAGCGAGCGAGAGCAGTGCGGCTACCGGTCGTGCGTGACGAGGGATTGTGGTGCTTTCCAGCTACTTGGCTAGACGAGAGGAGCAGCAACGTGCAAGAAGACCCTGTCCCCTCCTTCGGCTTCGTCCAAGTCTTCCAGTAGGTACGCCATTTCGTTGCCAGGGCTTCCAGATGAGATGCTGTCGCTTTGACAGGTGCTGCTCGACTGGAAGCACGACGAAGAAGGAGGCACGGGTTCGTCTGTGACGACCAAAGACTCGGAGACGGTATCCGTCGTCCTCGAGCTTTTGGCCTTCTTGGTACGTGTCCCCTCATCAGATGCCCTCTCGCTCGAGTCCTGGCTCGAAACTGGCCGCTTGGAATTGGCCGTCAGGCTGTCAGTCACAGTGCTAGACACGCGCACTTCTCCATCAATGCCATCATCGTGACTTGGCGCTACGGGACAACCACGTGTGTTTGTGTACAGAGGTTGACGACGACGCTGTCGCTGTCGCTTCACTTGTGCGCTTTCCAGTCGTTGCTGGTACTCCGTCTGGATGCCAAACTTCTGCAGCAGTTCCTCTTGTGCATCGTTCAAGTTTGGCTACAACACCATATGAAACACTGGTCAGTGTCCTCTCCAACCGGCTGCAGATACGTTCAGGATACTGCAATACCTTTTCATTTCTCAACGAGTGGATGATGGCTTCCACGGCCTCAGCCCGCGCCTCGAGAGCGTCCTGAGGTCAACAAGCAGCCAGCAGAACGGGTCAACACATACGTATATCAACTGGTACCTCCCGTCGCCTCTTTTTCATGCGCAAACCTCAGGAAGTCGAATGTGTGCAGCTTCGCACTTGGAGATCAGGTCGGCTAGAGAGCGCTGCGCCTGACGGAGATTCATCTTTTGAGGTATGTGGGCTCGCGACGAAGTTCAGTTGACGGTACATGGGACGTGGTCAGTCTTCTTTGGTGTCATCTCACAACTGCTGCTATGGTCTCGTACTGTTCGCAAACGTTGCAACACGCGCATTCCAGCAATGAGCAGTCATTGTTATGAGGTCGACACCAACAAGAGCTGCTATGTCTTCCCGACGCACGTCTTTCCAGTCGGTAGGTAGCGCCTTTGTCCGCCTGTGCCGTCATTTTAACACCTGCCAAGCCTCGCCGTCTCCTTCGTACTCGCCCAGAGCTGCCTCTAGTCCTACATCCAACAACTGATTGATCTTCGTGGCCAGCGCAGCACCGACGCTATCGAGCTGTTTCGCTTGAGCCCCAGACGTGACCACCATCTCCGAGTCCCGAATCGACTTTGCCGCCCGCATGCGCGAAATGCCTCGCTGCGCATGGCCATGATGCATCTCAAACTCGCCCAGCTGCACGAGCTGATCCACGAGAGCTTGATTCTCCACTCGCAAAGCAGGTGCGGCCTCCACGTCTTCCTGGGTGCGGCTCTTCTTCGCCTCCTTCTGCCGCTTCTTTCTGCTCGCCACGGGACCCATAGCATCACTGTCCATCGATTGACCGAGTGCACGTACGTCACCACCAGCAACAGCAATAGCGCTGTCAGTAATCGACATGTCCTGTTCGTTCTCGAACACTTCGTGCCCAAACGTGCGCTGTTGGCGTCGCACTCGACGAGCCGATGGCCTTACTGCGACTGGAACTGCCCCCTCAGCCCCCTCACGACCAGTGACATTGCTCTTGAGCTGCTCAAGTGCCTTGGCCACTTGCAGGTACCCCATCGTATGGTGCCGAGTGCGTCGTAGGGCTGCAATAACCTCTCGCAACGCCTGCCACGGGTTCTATGCATTGCAGTGGTCAACAAAAACAGTGCCATTACCACTATACCACGAACGGAACAGTGCACCTACTGACCTCTGGCAGCTGAACACTCTCCTCGTCGCACTTCACCACGAAGTCGGAGATCGCGACGTCTGCTTTCATCGCTGTGCCGCGTCTTCGTAGGAGGAGAAGAAGCAGAAGCTGAAGATATTTCAACTGGACCACCTGCCACTTCAACTTGGTCGCGTGCCACGAGGACTTCACACACACACCACAAATCATCGGTATTTTTTCGGTAGTATCCGAAATCGCATCGCTGACTTGTATGCGATAAAATCCAGCACTTGTGTCGACAACAGTCGGCATCTCGTTTTCCACCCACCCACCCACCCACCCGACGACCGACAAAGCAAACCCTACCAACACGTCGCTCTTTTTACATCGTCTCTTTTGCTCAGCCTCAACAAAGCACTTTGTACAGACCGTCGCACCCCAAAAAAAGCAACAACCAACAAACTTGGCACCCCAAAACAGCAAAACAGCAAAACACCACTTTTTTACCTTCGGCTGTCTCGCAGCGACTTTCTCGCCGTCTCGGCGCCTGCTCCCGTATTCCCCCACAGAGGGATCCACGTCCCCCTCTCGCCGCCACGCGCTCTTTCCAGCCCTCGTCGCACACTGGGTTTGCCCCTCCACCGTCCACCACCCGCCCTCTATAATCCTATACCCCGTCCCGCATCCGGTCACCACCCCATCGCACCCGCCGTGCTACTTCACGCGTTCCGTCCCACACGACTCTGTCGACCATGCAGGACGCCACGCCCGCCGCCCGCCTCTTCCTCCTGTCCCCCATGGACGCCGCGGGCGAAGAGCGCCTGCGCCAAGTGCGCGCGCACATCCGCTGCGCGTTCGGACCCGCTGGCCGCGGCCGCCGCACGAAGCGCGCGCTCGAGCTCTCAAGCGCCGCGCCGCCGCCGGCCAAGACGCCGCGCACGAAGCTGCGCCAGCGCATCCACCAGGCGTCGCAGCTGAGCGCGGACCAGATCTTCTCGCAGCACTTTGGCCGGCGCGACGCCATTCGCTTGGACAGCAGCGACGTGGCGCTCTTGCGGCCCGCAGGCCGACGCGCGGGAGCGGCTGAAGCAGTAGCCGCCGCCGCCGCCGCTACGTCGGCTGAAGTAGTAGCAGCAGCAACGGCAGCTGCTGGGCGTCCGTGGGCCCGGCCGAGTGGGATCCGCTCGCCGCGCAAAGCACTGGTCAAGAGAGGACGGAGCGGCGAGAGCAGTGACGAGCAGGCGCGTGTGCTGCGGAAGCTGCGGCTCGGAGGGGACGCGGTGGCGCAGCCGCGTGGAGAGCCTCGACGGGCGCTGGCGACGGCCGTTGCTCCAGTGCAGGCGGCGGCGTACGTGCCATTCGCTTTAAAGTCGCCGAGCAAGTTCCAGTTCTCGTCGAGTGCCACGCGGCTGTTTACGCAGCGCCAGGCGCCTCTCCGGTAAGTTGTGCTGCGTCGGTTGGAAGCTGTCTCGAGACACGACACGACACGACACGACGTGATACGAGACGAGATGAGATGGCATGGAGCATGCTATTGAGGTTGGCTGGAAGAGAGAGAGAGAGAGAGAGAGAGAGAGAGAGAGAGAGAGAGATGTGAGTGAGCAGAGCGGTTGGCCAAGTGTAGGCGGTGTAGCTCAAGCGAGAGAGACTCAGACTGGTTGTTGAAGTGCACGTACGTACGTTCTGAATCTTTGTCTGTCTCGTGGGGTAGCTCGCTGTTTGTTGGGATGTGGGCGTCCGTGCACCGCTACACAGCGTTGGCGGCATGCACCTCTCGCCTTCGTTCGTTCGTTCGTTGGCTAGTAGATCATGGACTCCATGCGGTTGAGCCGCTCGTTGATGCCGGTCGGGAGGCGGTACTTGATCATGCCTGCAAACGTGACGACGAGCTCGGCCTTACCCCGCAGAGCAGCGATACCAACGCGTCGCACTTCACCGGAGAGCTGCGCCTTGAGTCGGTCTGCATCGCGCACGAGGCACTCCATGTACCCCATGAGCAGGATGTGAAAGTTCTGCCGCACGCTCTCGTCAAAGGCGAGGAAGCGGTCCACACACAGACTGAGGTTGTCCGAGTTCTGCGTCGGCACCACTCCCAGTTCGTCGACAAACGCAATGGCGTCTTCGTACCGCTGCTTCTCAAACACCTCGAGGAAAATGCTCATGTTCAAGAGCGTCTGGAAGGCAATGGCGACCGTGCGCGCATGGCGGTTCGCAATGGTCTGGACCCACGGCGAGCGCATCCACAGCTCGGAAAACTCCTTTGCCTCACGGAACCACTCCTCACGCTCTGGTCGCGTGGCCGACAACGTCGAGCTCAATTGTGAATTGAGCAACACGATAGCGCCTTCAATGTCCCCAGCAGCCTTTAGCAGCGTGAACGCGTCGTGCAGACGGCCACGAGCTTCCGCTTTGCGGGCAGCAGCGAGAATAAGCTCCTTGACCTCGTCTTCGGGTTCGTCCTTGAGGAGCTGGTCGTACAGTCCACGAGTGCGCGAGCCGTCTGCGTGGTTCGTAAACCCAGCCAGCACGTCGAACTTGCGCGTGTCAAGCAGCAGCTCTGCGAGGAGCTCCTTCTTTGCTGCCAAGTCCGGAACGCAAGCGACGTAGTCTGCAGCCTCCGCAGCATTGGCACGCTGGAAACTGTGGATGTACTGGCGAATCAGGCGCACCAAGTCGACGGTCGTCTCGTCCTCCTCGTCCACAGCGAACGGCGCGCACTCGAGCATACCGTAGTGATTCAGCGCGATGGCAAAGTGAACGGCTTCGAGCAGGAACCCCTTCGACGCCAAGTACTTGACTGCCTTTTCAAACTCCTGTGTAATGAGCAAGATCTCAAAGTACAGGAAGGCCGAGAAGTTGCCACCACCAGGTTGTGCGCCGCTTTCAAAGTAGGCCGAGCCAAAGCGCTGGATGTTCTGAGACAATGTCGTGATCGTGTACGGCCTGCCCGGTGTCGATCCACTCACTGCTGCACGCTGAATGAAACAGAGGCGCTGCCACAAGTAGTCCTCCACGGTCGTCATGATGCGCTGCTCGTTGGCGTTCACGTTGCCGAGACACAGCAGATTGACCACACAGCGCTCGAACGGATTCACCACAGAAACTGCGTCGATTGAAGAACTCACCAGGCGGTGATACCGGTCCACCAAGCGCTGGCACTCTGCAGGATACTGCTGTGCAAAGGCATTGAGCGAGTCAGCGTTTCGGTCCGCATACAAGCGCTTCTGGTCGGCACGATACCGCAGAGCACAGATGATGTCTGCGTCAATAGGAGAGTCGTCACCACTTGCAACGCTGTCCGCGACAGCAACAGCCTCCTGGTCGCCGCCGCACCGAAGGCAATAGTACACAATGGCCCATATGTTGTCCACGTCGGTGGTACTGCCACTGCCGTTGGTAGCATAGCGCGAGCTGTGCAAGTGCTTGATGAACGCGCGAATGGTCGAGACCAAGTCTGGGATCCCACCCGTGGCAACGCCGTTCTTCTGCACCGCCTCCTGCACAAACACACGAAACTGCTGCTCGAGGAACACGCGTGCGCCAAACACAAAGCGGTGCTGCAGTACCGTGCGCTGCGCTGCGTCGCGCGTGGCAGCAAACGCACGCTCCAATACATTCGGCGCGTTCGCCGCGGTGGCATCTCCACCCGCCACCATATTGTTCACGAGCTGCCAGCACTTGAGCACCGCTTTCCACTTCGATCCAGTCGTTGACACGGACACATTGGCCGCACACACGCGCTCAAAGCGCCGAGCGACGTCCAACTGGCTGCGCGTATGCGGCACGCGGCTGCTGTTGAGTGCCTTAATGACCGCGTAGTACTGCTGCATCTCTTCCGTCATAGCATTGTCCACGTGCCGCTGCGACAAGTGCAGCAGCAGCGACGACGACGCCGTCGACGTCTCAAAGTGCGGCTGGCCCGCAAACGACCCGCCCGCGAGCCCGAGCCCGGATCCCGCGGCCAGCATCTGGTGCTTCTCCCGGTTGGCAGCCGTCATAAAGACGCTCTGGGCGTCGTTTTCGGCTGCGACCCGCGGGTAATGGCCGACCCCGAGTTGCTTCGAGCCGCTGCTGCCCAACTGCTCGAGCAGCTGCTGCTTGTCGCGCTCAAAGTCGTCAATCAGCGCGCGGTTCATGCGGTCGTGCACTGCTTCGGCCGTGCGTCGCGTGCCTTCTTCAACGGCCGTGAGCACAATCATCTCGTGGTGGTGCGCCAAATAGCCCTCGAGGTCCGTCTCGCCCAGCAGCGTCTCGGGCGCGCGCTCGGGCGCCGCCCGTCCAAAGTGCTCGAGCGCCTGGCGCAGCTTCTCGGCGTCAATGCCTTTAGCGGCCAAGAGGAAGTGCGCCTTGTCGCTGCCTGTGGCCGTTGCTGGGCGCTTGCGGCTCGGGTTCGGTGCAACGGCCGCTGGCCGCGACGCGTCGTCGAGCTGCGCCAGGCGCTTCTCGAGGCGCGGGAGTCCGAGCGCTTCGGGCGACGCGGTCGTGAGCTGGAGAGAGCTCTGGTACAGCGCGCGGAAGTCCACGTGGGGCGCTGCCATCGCGTCAGAGGGACTGGCGGGCGAGCGGTGGACGAAGAGCGCGGGGGAGTGGAGGAAGGAGTGGATGTGGCTACCCACTCGAGTGGGTGAATGAGAGTGGGTGAATGAGAGTGGGTGAATGGGTGGGTGAATGGGTACAGACAGGGGGGTCGCGGTAGACGCGAGGGAAACGTGGGGTTCGTGTGGTGGACACTACCCACTTCCATAACGTACTACTGCGAAGTCTCACTGCAGTGTGCGGATTATCTATCTTTTTCCTCGGTGTTGCGTCCAATATGGTACCTTTGCAGCACATAGCTCGTTGAACATTTCCACTATTCGTTATCCTCCTGTGGCGTTTTGTACACAAAAGGTCGAAGAGGTGTGTGTGTGTGTGGAAATTCATATTTCCCTCGGCGAAGGACTTGTCTATCGCTAGTACTTGTTCACGTGGCAGTTGCCACTGCGTCATGATGCAGTTCTCCAAGCTCGGTCTCATCTCGATCTCATGTCAAGTGCCTCTGTCATTTGGCAACTCGCTTGGTACTGAAGCGTCGATTATTTCGTGAGACATATTGTTGACAATAAAGCGCAGCCATGTTAATGACAATAGCCACAACGGCTATTACTTTCCCGAACAAGACAATGCATAATTAACACTAACCATAAGATCCACTTGACAGGTCTTGTGTCAATCCAGGTGATAGCGTCACCACGTCACATCGAAGAGCATCCGAGTCGCGGCATACGTCCAGCTCATTGCTGGAACCTCTGTACAGTACTAACATTAGCTTCTTTGATGCCGATTTGGTAAGAGTCGAACCTCCTGCCGGCGACTAAGGGCGGAAATATTGCGAGTTGGGCGCGACCCAGACGTTTTTTAGTTGTGGTACTCAATTAAACGCAACTAGTTGTTGGCGGCACTTGTCCTGAAAAAAGGCCAAGTAAGGAAGGTCGTTCAAGCGCAAATTGAGCAGAGCGACGACTTGATAGTACAGTCGGTGTTCACGTAGGACAATGATGAACAGGCGGATCGCTTAGAAGTGCTGCGTAAACAGTCACGTGCGCATGCTCGAAACAGGCAGTCAAATGCAGACTTGACACCTTTTGACAATGATTTGACACCGATTGGGACTACTTCGTATGTAGTGACCATTTTGTAACGTTGTCGCAGCACAAGCCCTTCTCTTTGTGAGTAGTCGTCCCGTCCGGGCGGCTGTCCGGTTGCTTTCTAGCCGGTCATTTTGTTCCGAAGTTGTGCATTGAACGATGCAGGTGTGTAGATTATCTCTTCTTCTTTCAGCATATGTGCTCTTCGGCGAGAGATTATCGACACGTGACCTGATTGTCAGCATCGCGACGTTCTGTTTCGTGCTTGTTTACGTTACGACCCTCTCGCATATGAGTAAACCAACCAACAGCATCTCCACAGTCTGCGTACTTGGCTTGACGCTTCACGGTAGGAATACCAACCCACAAGCCATGCGGCATTTCGCTACCATTGACGAACCGTCGTCACCTTGTTACGAGACACCGCCGTCAGGATGTAATGACCTTTTTTCATTTTGTGGCCATGTCAAGCAATAGGCTAAACAATTGCCGTAATTGACGTGTAACCCCGCTACACCGCTCCGTCACGTCATCTCCGAGCAGCATAGAAGAAGCCTGTGCAGTGAGCAGCTTATAACTCACGTATGACCGGACGTACAGCATCAATCGTCGCGCACGTGACCGCCAAACGACGACTACGTGAGACTACACGTGCTACCCCGATCGAACCTTGCTGGGCGCTGTATTCTGTTGTTGTTTATGTACGTTTGCAAGCCCGTGTGCGAGCCAAACTGCCGGTACGAGCCGCACATTGCAGCGCTACCTGAACAACGATCGACCGCTCGTTGCCGTTGTTGTTGCATCGTTGCGACATTCTGTGGCACTGGGCCGGACCATAAACACGGCCCGTGTGGTCGGTCGCCGCTTCCATCGATCGAGTTGGTGCTAGAAAAAGAGCAGCAGACGTATATTTTCCGGCGACTTGGTCCCCTTCGCGTCGCCAGCCCTTGCGTCGGGTTGTCCCATCGCCTTCGCTCAGCCAATCACGTCTCGCTGTCGTCCTCCCTCTCGCTCGTTCGTTCGTTCGTTCGTTCGCTCGCTCGCTCGCTCTCTTCCGCAGTGCAAAGAACAGACAGGTTTTACTACACCGCACGCAGCGGCTCGCGCCACCAAACATACCGCAGCGCGTTTTTTGGCCCCGACCGACTCGCGAGCCCTAGCCCGCATGCAGAGGGAGGGAGTGATGGTCTAATATCATCGTCGATCGCCAAAAGGGAAACGCGCCAGATCGGAGCGACAGGGATTGAGGAAACGCGCAATCCGTGCGGAGGGAGGTCACGTCAGGAGCGACAGACCGGTCGGGACGCCAGTGCTTCCAGCTGTGCTCGCGCAAGCCCCAGCGTCTGGTCCTTCGAGCGCCTGTTGCGTCGAGACCACAAGACGTCGAGGTGGCCGCCACGTTTGTGTCGTCCCCGTCGAACGTACGTCCGTGTTTCCCCTCTCCCGTGTTATACACGGCCTCTCTCTCAGTAGTGATACAGCACCCCTTGCCTGGTGTAACTCACACTAACTTGTGCGGGTCCCGTTGTGGTGTGGCATTGTTGCTTCTACTAGGTACGAATCGCCGCCCGTCGCGCAATCGCCCGCATTGCCCGCGACAGCAGATGACGTGGACCTGCACGGCGTGCGAGTTCACGGCCAACGAAGATGGCCAAGAGGCGTGCGTGGCCTGTGGCTCGGAGCGGCCGGAAGAGGAAGAGCCGCCGCTCGCGTTGGCCGCGGATCCGACCGCCGAGAGCCCTAGCGACGACGCTGTCGTGCCAGAGGTTGTGGTGATTGAGCTGCCGGCCAAGGAGAAGCTCGGGGTGAAGCTCATGCCGCCCAAAGACGGCGTGATCCACCACGGGCTGGCGATCGACAACATTAACAATCCGCTGCTGGAGAACAAAGTGCAGGCCGGTGACCTGATCGTCGCCATTGGCGGCCAGAACGTGGACGGCATGGGGTTCTCAGACGCCATTGATCTGATCCGGAAGATGCCGCGGCCGCTGGCGATTTCGTTTGAGATTGACGAAGTGCGTCGACAAGAAGTCGTGCGGGAGAAGTTCCAGCTGAACAAGGACGACGACCTGGACACGCAGCTGACGACGTACGCCGTCGTGTTTGACAATGGGCCCATGGGACTGAACCTCGAAGAAGCTGTGCGGTACGGCATTGACGGCGCCGTGGTGCGCGCGCTCAAGGGCCAAGCCAAGACGAGCGGCATGATTACGATTGGCGACATTGTGTACAAGGTGAACGAGACGGACGTGCTGTGTATGCCGTACCTGGAGGTGATGAACGTCCTGCGCAACGCCACGGCCCCCAAGACGTTGCAGTTTGTGCCGAAAGACAAGCTGGCGGATGTCCAGCGTGTGAATTCGCGCCACTCAGAGTCGTTCCGACTTCGAGAGTCGACGTCGAACGTGAAACAAAAGCTGATGAACAACCCACGCATTGTCAAGGACGATGGCAACGACGGGGACGACAATCAGTCGATTGCACAGCTGATTCTCGATAACAAAGCAGCGACGATCAAGAAGGGACGTATGTACAAACAGGGACGTGTGATGCGCAACTGGAAGTCACGGTACTTTGTGCTGAGTGTGTCGAAAGTAGAGTATTTCAAGAGTCCGAGCTCGACGGCAGCACGTGGCGAAATGAGTTTCCTCGATCACCGATGTACCGTGCGGTCACTACCTCGAACGGGCGACGTGGTGTGCCGATCGCCAAACGTGACAGCAGAGTATTTGCTCGAGCTCCGTGTAGATGATCGTCGCATGGTCATGGCCTGTACGTCGGAGTCGGACAAGAAAGGCTGGATGGATGCGATCAAGTTGGCTATCGATGCCTCCAAGACAGTCAATCGCACCCAGAGTCTTGGGGAGTCGCTACGCGAGGCCAAAGCTTTACGTACGCACCGCACTGAGAGTGTTTCCATGGACGGGACATTCTTGGACCGCAATGCCGGTGGACGCCTGTCGCAGTTCAATTACGACGCGTTTTCGACCCCTGTCATCCACGTCGGTGTTTTATCTGCGACAAACCTGACAAAGTCCGGCAGTTCTGTGAACGCGCTTTGTGAGGTCACGGTAGGCGCAGAGACGTTTAAGACTTCGGTGGTGAAGAATCAGCGCTCGCCTGTATGGAAGCAGGACAATTCTGCTTCATTCGAAGTCCCGAGCGATGAGATGGTGGTAGAGGTCCGCATTTTCAACGAGCACTTGTTCCGCACAACTGAGCTCATCGCGACACTTTCGATTCCGTTGAAGTCGCTGCCGAACATGCAAAAGACGGCAAAGAAATACCCACTGGCACTCGGCAGCCGTTCCGCCGGCGCGGTGCTGACCTTGTCACTGGAGTACGTGAACAAACAAAAGGCTTATGAAGAAGACCAAGAGCGTGGCCGTCTCGGTCATGACCTAGACAACAACGGCATGATGAATGAGCGTGACGAAATGGTCAAGATCAAGGCCGAGGCTCAGATGGCTGCTGATGAAGCTACACATCACGCTGCTCGAGCCCAGGAAGAAGCACACATGCTGCTCGAGCAATCCCGACAGAAGGCAGAAGCAGCTATGGCAGCAGCTCGCGAAGAGCAGCGTGAAGGCAAGGCCGCTGTGGAGAAGGCCATGGCAGAAGCAGCTCGCGCAAAAGAAGAAGCAGAAAAGCAGCTTGCGGAAGCCAGGCGAGCACAGGAAGAGGCTCAAAAGCTGATCGAAGCAAACCGTCGTATTCAGGAGTCTGACGTCCAGGGACCGTCGATTTATGGTGCGTACCGGCGCATGATCCAAGACGGAGAGTCAAATGAGACCGTCAAGAAGAAAATGCAAGAGGATGGCGTTGATGAGATGGGTATCCAGGCATTCTTTGACGGCATCAACGCGTACGACGAGAAGATTCGAGCGTTACAGGCAGAAGTGGAAAAACTGAAGCGAAACCGTTCCGGTCGACAGAAAGAGGAGCCGAGAGCACAGGATATGCTAGCCAACCTGGATATCTCTAGCGACCAAGTGAAGTTGCTCCGTCGCCTACTGAAGCTGGAGAAGCAGTTGCAACAAGCTGGTATTGCTGTTGCTGCCGACATTCCTTACGAAGAAGCCATGGCAAAGGTGCAAGAGATCTCTAGGCGAATGCAAGAGATTGGTTCTGCTGATGTGACGCATCCGGATCCAGCAATCCAGAAGCAGCTTCGTGAAGAATACTACCGCTTGGAGCAGGATATGGAGAAGTACAACACTGCCCTGATGCTGACCGACGAGTATGCCGCAGAAGAAGCGCGAAAGGAGCGTGAGTGGGAGGAGGAAAACTACGAAGAGAACGTAAAGGCCCTGAAGGCTGTACGGCGGATGATGCCGGTTGACGTGAAGAAGATGTCGGAAGCTGATTTGCAGACAGTGAAATCACCGAACGGCAGGGTACTTCCTCGTGAAGTAGCTCGCAAGTTCAAGCGAACGAATGTCCTGGAACTGATTCGTATGGACCCAGCAGACATTGCAAAGAATCACCCTTCGCTTCTGGAGAATCTCCGTGTGACTGGTCTGACAGTGACTGAACGCCGGGCGATGCACATGCACTTGCGCGATGTAGCAAAGACCTGGAAGACCCAACAGGGTGAAGAAATGACGAAGAAGAAGTACGAGTGGTTCAAGGCGCTCAAAGAGACGTTCAAGACCGTTGTGAACTCATACAACAAACACGTGAAGCAGTACGGGCCAGAGGACAACCATCCGTATGCCACGCGCGACGACCCGGACATTGGCTGCCCCATGATTGGCAAGCAATGCCCGATCAAGGCAAACAAAAACCCTGCATACGACCAGGACCTCGGCTATCCCGACGGCGACGTGTACATGGAATCGACGGTACAAAAGGGCAACCCCGACGATGCTGGTGCGCGAGCTTTGGCAGAAGCGCAAGAACTGGCTCGAGCAAAGCTTGCTAACTCGCGCGCTGACGCATTGAAAAAGCATTACCGCAACGTGCGAATGGTGGCTGAAGCCAATGGTGCATGCGAGTTAATCGACACATCGCTGGATCAAATAGAGAATCGACAGTTGCAGTGGTTCCAAGCTAGACTGAAGCGCCGGCTCGAGCGAACCGAGACTGCGGCCACAATCAAGATGGAGCTGGCCGAGTTTGGTGAAGTAGTGAACGAGATCCGTTTGGTGAGTCTGAAGTTCGCCGAGCGGTCGGGCATGAACCTGTCCGGCAAGCGGAATGTGGCGCTTGATGCCAAAGATACGCGTTCCTGTATTGAATGCAACCTGATCTTGATGTACTGCGAAGCGGTGGTGGACTGTTTCGACGGTATGGATGAGCGCATGGATGAGGTGAAAGCAAGCGACAAGCGCTTGCGATCGGCGATTCCCGTCATTCGGGGGTTGATGAAGGATCTGGGCGAAAAGAGTCAAAACACGCTCGACTCGATGAAGGACAAGGGTCCACCGATGACTCGTCGCGTGAAGACGCGAGTGGAGATCATGAAGGAAGCAAAGGAGAAGAACAAGAGTGAGGCGCCGCCGCCGGCCGAAACGAAACCGGCCGAGGAAGCGCCTGGCCCCAGTCGGGCGCCGCATCCGCTGATGGCTGGCCGAGGGAGGGGACGTAGTGGTCGCGGTGGCGGTCGTGACAACCTGTTTGCAGCGCTCAAGGGACGCGGCGGCGGTGGCGACGATGGCGACAATCCGCCAGGCCCGCCTGTCAACTTTCTGGCGTCCATTCGCGGTCGTGGCCGCGGTGCTCCGGGTGGTCCAGGGCGTGGCGATTTGTTTTCTGCCATCAAGGGACGTGGTGGCGGTGACGGTGACGGTGGCGGTGGGCCACGAGGTGGTCTCATGGCTGCTATTGCTGCGCGAAAGAAGGAGTAGAGAGAGGTAGGGCAGCGACTGCTGGATCGGTTGTGGTAGAAAGAACAAAATGGCGTAACGCGACAAGTGATATGGTGATGTGTGTGCGTGTGTGTGTGTGTGTGTGTGTGTGGGATGTCAAGTGCCATGAAGCAGCACGAGACAGTGCCGACCGAGCGGCAGCTCAGGCGACGAGACGAGACACACATCTGCGGAGCTATTGGCACACGAGGCAGTCCGTCCGTCGCTAGTCGTCACGGAACGTCGGCGCAGTCCCTTTCCTCGTCGCACGTACCGCCTGCGTCAAGTCGTCACTGTACAGCACCGCCGCGTTGTGGTAGCGCACCTGCAGCAGTGCGTCCGCCGTCGAGTGGTCCCGTTGGTAGTGGATCGTCCGCTTGATGCCGCGCACGGCAAGCGGACTTTTGGCAGCAATTGCAGTCGCGACGTCCCGGACGTGGCCCAAGAGCGCGTCGTGGTCCGGCAGTGCCTTGAGCACAAGGCCGAGTGTCTCTGCTTCCCGGCCGCTGACCGAGCGGCCCGTGTACGCGAGTTCCTTGGCGCGTTGCTCGCCAATGAGCTTCGGCAGCCGCTGCAACGTGCCGAGGTCGGCCACGATCGCGAGGTCCACTTCTTTCACGGCGAAGCGCGCACTGACGTCTGCGTAGCGCAAGTCACAGGCCGTGACAAAGTCCACAGCGGCGCCAATGCAGGGGCCGTGCACGGCCGCAATGACCGGCACGCGGCACTGTTCCGGGGCCGACACGACGCGCTGGAACTGGTCAATCACGTGCAAGAGCCGCTCGCGTTTGCGTCCGTCGCACGGCTCGTCGGCCGCAATGGTCTGCATCTGCTGGAACACGTCGAGGTCCATGCCGCTCGAGAAGCCGCGTCCGGCGCCCGAGACGATCACCGCTGCAACGCGCGGCGTGCGCTCGACGAGCTCAAAGACGCGCGCGAGCTCGACCCACATGGCCATGTTCATGGCATTGACAGCCTGCGGGCGATGGAGCTGCAGGTGGAGGACGTTTGCGTCGGCGAGGAGCTCGAGCGACAGCGTCTCAAAGGTCGTGGCCGTGATGTCGAGGGGCGTAAGGGGCGGAGAGTTTGTCCAGTTTCTCAAGTGGTCGTAGTTGCTCGGGCGGGTGACGCTGCGGTAAGAGCATGTGGCGAATGGCCGCAGACGCGCTGAGCGGAGAGAGAACATGCGATGGAGGGGCAAAGAGCGAAAGTGACGAGAAGAGCTGTTGACGTGCGACGAGAGATGGGCGGAAGACCGGAGTAGTGGTGGATCGCACGTAGGTCGACTGGGATTGGTCGAGCACGTTGAAGTGTGTCCTGACGCCATGGGGGAGGGGCTAAGGGGCGGGATACAAACGGGACTTGTTACGCGTCGAGCGTGCGCTTGAGCAGCTCCGACGACTTTTCGTAGGCGTAAAACGTCACTGCGTTGCACGGGAATGCCCGCACACAAGCTGTGCCCAGACCGGTAAAGAAGATACGCCAGCCGCCGAGACGATAGAGTTGCCGGGCCTGGTAGGCGATCGTGTGCTCGCCTGGCTTGTGGTCCACGGGGAGCGTCTGGATGGCCGACTTGATGACTACAGGGCAGCAAACAACACGTGGGGATGTCGATTCGTGTCAGCCAGTCAGTTGTTGTTGTTCAGAACCAAAGTGTCCCGAGCAGCTACGCGTGCGCAGGACAGGCAGGAATGCACGTACCGTCAAAGGGGTAGGACACTACCCACGAAGCTACACCAGCGACTCCGCCGGCAGTCAGCATGGAAGAAGTGGGGTTGATGCCACTGTCCATCATCCTGCGCTTCGTGTACTCGTAGAGCCAAAAGTAGACGGCAAATGAAGGCACTTCACGCCATTGCGTGCACGTAAACCCGAGGAAGAGTCCACGTGTGCCTCGGACCTTGAGAATGTGTCGGATGCAGTCCATCGGTCCTCGGTACTGAGTGCCCGAGCGTCCATCTTGAACCTGAAGTCGGCACTTGATGAGCTCTGCAGGGGCCAGTGGAATCGTCTGCCAGAATCCTCCCACTGCTCCCGCCAGGAACACTGACGTCAACGTCGGCGTCTGCAGCACGCCATTGTCAATCATCTTGAGCGTCTGCTCATAGACCGCAAACATGACGGCATTCGTGGCGGCGCTGCCCACGACCGGCGACGTCATGCCCTTGAAGAAGCCGAACGTCCCTTCATGTTTGAACTATACACAGTGTGCACGTTGTCAGGTCGTTGCCAGGCTTTCTCGCACGCTTTTTGCACAGTAACTGCAACTACAACTACACACAACTGCCACTGGTACAGCAATAGCAATCCAACACTGCACACATACCGTCTGACGGGCACAGTCGAGTGCCCCGTTGTAGTAGCTGCTATGGGTCTGCAGTCGCACTTTGACCTGCGAAAAGAGAGAGAGACACACACAGACACCACACACAGACAGACCACACACACACACACAGACCACACACACACACACGCGACAACAAGTCCAAAAAAAGAGCGTCAGGAGTCTCACTGGCCATTGCCCAACACCGTCCAACGGCATGCACTAAAACACGACGCACTGTATCAAATGGCTGCCCAACGACAACACCGCCGATGCCGCCTACAGTACCGGCGACTAAGTCGACCAACACCGAGGACTTGTCCGTGTCAATCGCCATTGGCGATAGGCCGCTTTGTGACCAATCACTCACCCGCACGGCCGTCATCGGCGCCAACTGCGGGGCGGGGGGGTCTTCCCGGCCAGCGATTGGCTGTAACTCGATATCGAGCGTAATTACGCCCACGGCGAGCCGCCCTACGCGTTCGCTGACCCAGTGCGTAAATACTCGAGACCCCCCACCCCGCCCCATCCCCTCAGATGACTGGCTGAGCGCCGTCGACGCCCTTATTGGTATTCTGGTTTTCGTCCACCCGTAGCCGCCGCTCGTATTCCTGTGAAGATCCGCACTCGCCGGCAAGTTTCCTAGACAGACACTCGTCTCTCTCTCGTCTCTCTCTCTCTCTCTGTTCATCATGTTGGTCTCCAAGTCGAACCGCATTGCAGTGTACTCGTACCTGTTCAAAGAAGGGGTGATGGTCGCCAAGAAGGACTTTGCGCTGCCCAAGCACGAGGCCGTCGATGTGCCCAACCTGCAGGTGATCAAGCTCATGCAGTCGCTCAAGTCGCGTGGCTACGTGAAAGAGACGTTCAACTGGCAGTGGTTCTACTGGTACCTCACGAACGAAGGCATTGAGTACCTGCGCTCGTACTTGCACCTGCCTGCGGAGATTGTGCCGGCGACGCTCAAGAAGCAGGCGGCGCGTTTGACGCAGCCGCAAGGCCCGTCGTCGGGCGGCTTTGGCCGTGGCAACCGCTTTGACAAGGACAAGGGCATGGGCCCGTCGGGCGACTTCAACCCGGAATTCCGCCGTGGTGGCCAGGACGGACCTCGTCGTGGAGGGCCCGACGGCTACCGTCGCGAGGCGTCGAACTAAGCGGACGGCAGACAGCACTCGAAGAGGAACAAGCGAGACGGGAGTATTTAATCAATGAATTATTCTCCTGACTACGGGATGGCTTTGCCATGTCAATTCATCGCTTTGTGTGAGCTCTACATTGTCACTGGGCAGGACCCGTAGGTGCTGTCTACAGGTGTGAACTTTACAGTGACGTTGTGCAGGACTCGTAGGTGTTCGGTGTGTTTCATGTGTGTATGCGGTGCATGTCAGCTACCAGTTTTCGGACGGTACAGAGGTTTTGTACTGCAAGTTGGTGTCATAGATAGCGTGTGTATCAGTTGCGGGCAGTAAGGCGTTCTGTGGTGAGGCGGATAGGCGCTGGAAGGGGAGGCAAAGGTGGAGCCTTTGCGTCGGTGGGCTGCAGTCTGAACGCATTCGTGGCGAGAACGTTCCTGAGCACCACGAAAGGATTTGGATCCGCTGGCGTCAGAGTGTTCGATCTGAACGGGTCGTGCGGCCAATGTGCTTGTACGGGAACTGGGAGAGATCGATCTTCACAGGGCAAGCACGAACACTTGCACGAACACCGCGAGGTCAGCGAGACGTGGCAAGCTGTCTGTAGCGCTACCGACATCGATGCTTTGGATCGATCGTCCGGCACAGCTACTTGGCCGTCGCGCTGGAGTTGGCCTACGACAATCAATTGGCGAACACATATTCCAACGAGATGGGCGTCGCGATAGTGTCGGGAGACGCGAATGTGCGTTTGCATGGCACAGATGCGATCCATCCTGAGATATGCTGTCCTACTTACACAGAAGAGGCTGTAGCTCGTAGATTGCGATCGGCACCAATAAGCTCCAGTGGCATTCGATGGACGTCAACAGTCTCGTCTCTGCAGGACACACACACACACACGTGCTCTGCGTCAGTGCGTGTCCAGATTACTGTACAAGATTGAGTCCGACACTGGGTTGTGATGGTAGTAGTCCTACCACGTGCAACACTGCTGGACACTTTTGGTGGAGGGTGCGTGTTGCAAGTGAGAAGATTACTGCCACCGCCAGTAAACGATCTTTGCGTTTCGATACGCACAAGCCCTTCCGCGTACGATGGACGGGCCGCTACTCCGCGTACGAGGGCAACACCAGTTGCACCTGGGAACTTGAATATGTGGAATGGGCTCCGGCCAGAGATTAGCCGAGAGAGACAGAGCCGTATGGTTTTCAATTCGGACGGTCAGCACATCAGCGACGACTCGCCGGGACGTGTTCGAGCTATGCCTCACCAGATCTACTGACGCGGCCGATTCACTGCTTTACGTCGATCACGATTGTCTGTGCAACAACTGACTCATGTGTGTGTGTGTGTCGTATCCACACGATAATGACCAACAACAACGAAGAAGACTTAGGAACCGCTTCTTTTTATTTCTCATCACTGTTAAATGGGGCTTTATTACACTACATTGACGCTCATGACGCGTTGACGCATACATGTACACAACTTGCTCAAGAATGTCTGCCCCATGGTTAGTCTCCAGCATTATCGTCCAATAGACTAGCAAAAAAGAATGGGAATATGGAGCCGTCGACCGGCTGGAGCAAGTTTTCCAGCGAGGTGACCAAAGTCACCAGGCGGTCCAGATGCTCAACAGCCGAGACTTTACTATTCAACTGTTTGCTTCGCTTGTCCCTCACAAGTAACGCAGCCTGGCGCACGCTCTCCGCCGTCAATGACAGCAGACAACACACGCACACTACTGCTTCGGGGCGAATTGCTTGACCCTGGGATCTCCACTGTGAAAGAGAGATCTCGCCAGAATCCAGTTGAGACAATCGACTATACAAACCAACGGCGTACACTCACGGGCGCATAGCCAGTCAATCACAAACCTACACACACACACGCGCGCACACGCTTCGGTTTCGTTGTATCTACTCGCTCTCGTTTCACTAAATGACCCGGTCACGAGTCCACGCGCGCTCTCTTCCACACGCGTTGGCAGCCAGTCGTTTGCCGAACCAACCAACGAGAAACGCCAACCGTACCTATCGAGCGGGTGCCGGGAGGGGACCCTTAAGTACGAGCCAATCCTTGAAGACCGACGACAAGTCCTTCTTACCTGACCACTGAAAAATTGAGAGCTGATCAGAAAAAGGTGTCGCCAAGCCACAAAGCGCGAGGCCCACGAGGCAACGCCGAAGGGGATCCGTAGAGTCTGCACCAGCCGATCCGTTCGATCAGCTGCCGCGTGTCCCCAAAAATCTGCCGCCGCGCGACGACACATTGCAAACGGTAATTCAAAAACGTGTGCTTTGCAGCCGTAGGACAGACAGACGGAATGAGTATCTCACGAGCCATCAGGTGGTGGTGGTGCTTGCAACTGCAGTGGGTCATTGCGCACGATCCCACGCGCTTTGCGCAAGTGGCAACAAGTCGCTGCGTGCGATGGTGTGTAGGAAGGAATCCCACTGTCCCACAGTCGTGCAGGCGGCGTCAGGGGCGACAATGAAAACCTCCAGTCAGGGGGCGCCGCGGTACGTGATTACTTACGTATGAATTAAATACTTATCCGGTACGACCCGCGTCCGTAGTACTACGTTTGCGCCGTCGACCCGTCCACTGCCTTTTCTGGCCCGTGCCGTGGGTTCACACACACACACACTGTCCGACCGGCTTTCCGCCGCTTCCCACAACTGAACGGTTTCCCTTGACGCGCTTCCCATTGGTCGAAAAGACGCGTCCGCGCCGACGAGTGGGCGTTCGGACGGGCAGAAACCGTCTCCGGGCCGCCGCCCGCGGGTTTGCTCGCAACCCACGTGCACGGACCCTCTGCGGCTGCCCCACGGGTTTCGTTGCCGCGCGCTTTTCTATTGGTCGGCCAAAACGGCTTTTGTAGTATCAGACGCAAAACTTCTGGACGTGGCCGCGCCGCCCGCGAGCGTCCCGTGCGTCCGTCTCTTTCTCTCTCTCTCGCTGTGTGTCTCACGCAGTTCCCCTCTCTCTTGTGCTGCCACTTGGCCTTTCTCGCTCGCCCTCAGTCGCTCCGTTGCCGAGTCGCTCGCTCTCAGCGCCGCCGTAGCCACTTTCTGTACAGAGCGCCGCCCACCGCAGTCGGTGCATTACATTAGTTTTTGGTTGCCATGGCGACGGCCCATCCCACGGACGAGTCGGCGTGTCCACGTGCAGTGTACGAGCCGCGTCTCGACCTCATGCAGCGGCGCTGTTCGCTGCCCAAAATCACCGGCCGGAAGCTCCGCACGCCGCGCAAGTTTGTCGTGACGGACGTCTCGGACGACGAGCTCGAGCAGCACGAGCCGCGGACCACAAGGGGACCCTGTGCGGGTGCAGACGCGTCGGGCGTCGCGCGAGACGAGCTGGACGAGCACCGGAGCCAGGGACTGCACCGTGACGAGCTGTCGGCGTGTAGCGCGTCGCTTCGCAAAGGCAAGACACAGGTCCGAGGGCGGTTTACCATCACCGACTTGTCGCCCGAGTCGCCGGACGAGCCGCTCGGCGGCTGCAGAAACTTGGCGGCGTCGACGGGGCCCATGCCGTTGCAGACAACTAATGGCACGTCCCGACGTCCGTCGAAGCGGATGGTCAGTCGCAAACCGTTCCAGTCCGCGGGCGACGTGCGTCCGTTGGTCGGGTTGACCACAGCACCAAATCAATTGCAGCAGCAGCAGCCACAGCAGCAGCCACAGCAGCAGCAGACTGACGGCACGCACTTGTTTGCATCGTTCCAGTGCACTGGAGCTTCGTCGCCGTCGTCGCGCTCGACGCGCACGTCGTCCGTAGCGTGTCCCGTGAGTAGTCAGGTCAGCTGCAGCGACGGTCCAACTCCGACAGTGTTTGATCATCATTTCGAGTTCCTAGAGCGAGAGACGTTTGAAATGAAGTCGGCGCTCGAGACAATGGTGGCAACAAACGCGCAGTGGATTGAAACGCTGACTTCAGCGGGTCTCGTGCGTCGTGGCGAAGGCCGGAGTGAGGTCGCTGTTCCTGAGCCGATTGCTCCAGCAGCGCCTTCGTTTGAACAGAGATATTGTGACATGGAGAAGGCGTACACGGAGCTGCAGATCAAGTACGAAGCCGTGTGCCAAAAGAGCGAGCGGATGGAAGTGAAGAACGCAATGCTGGAGATTCGACTGCAGCAGCAGAGCAACCACTCGACGATGCTACGGTCGCAGCTGGACAAGTTGACTGAGTACACGGAGAAGCTACTCGGCGAGTCGTCCGAGCCTACGCTGCACGACTATAGCTCGGACCTGACCTCGATCTTTGGCGAACACTCTGAAACGCACTCGCCCACTGCAGATAAGTTGGCGGGTGGTGGTAGCTCTGGATTCACTTACGATGTCGTCAAGTCTCGGCGACAGCATCGGCGCGGAATGGATGAGGAGTGTATGTCGGACTCGGGCACTGAAGACGAGTCGTTTCGAAAGACGTCCTCGCTTCCGCCATTCCATCAGAGTAATGGAAGCTGCCGGTATTTCAGCGACATGGATCTCACGACTGCTGACCTCTCGTCCGAGAACGAGCGTGGCAGTCCTGCCGCATTGGACTCACTGCTGAATGACCAAGTGGACCAGTTGCGCCAGTCGCTACGCTTACGAAACAAGACGGACGCTGATGAGCCAGTCTCCGTGATTGGCTCGCTCGATTCCATGGCCGTGTGCCCGTCAGTCACGAACGTCGTGGGGTCGTACGGCGACGACGAGTACCATGGAACCGGCCAGGTCGATTACTCCCGTCCGGTATCGAGCGAAGGGAAGGAGGACGGCATGCTCAAGCACCGAAACTCGGTGTCTTCCCTCAACTATTTAACTGTTTCGTCGACTTCGTCGTTGGCCGGCTATGGACTGCACCTGGCCACGATGGCGCAGTCGAAAGCTAGCTACTACGCCAGCATTGCCGCCACGAGCCTGTTTGGTCCGCATCCAGAGCCGTACCCGAGCGCGGCACACCAGCAGCCAACTGGTCCTCAAGACGACGAGACGAAGTACAATGTGCTTAGCCCGGAGAACCTGCTGTTCCACGACTGCCAGTCTTTGCTTCAAGCTGCCGAAGAGAGGAGAGTTCAGAACTCGAGCTCGCGACGCGGCTTCCTCTTCGCACCCAGCAAAAAGGCGACGTCTTCGCTGGGGGCGAAGGAAGTCCCCGGACCGACAGAGTCGGGTGGCGGTTTGTTCCAGCGACTGACTGTGCGGCGGCGGTAGCCTCGTCGTCCCGAATCAGTCAGTCAGTAAGCCCGTCCGTCCGTCAGTCAGCCCGTCCGTCAGTCAGCCCGTCCGTCGTCTTCCCGTTCGCTGTCTCCTGCGTCTATCACGGAGATGCAGGACGCACGTTAGTTTCCATAGTGTACTCGGTACCAGTAGAGTGACAGTGGCCAGACCACCGCCGTGCGAGTTTTGTTTAAAACACGAGACAAGAATAGTCGTAGAGGGGTTACGAAGTGGCGCAACGAGCGAAGACAGGGTAGAAAAGTAGTAGGAAACTCAATAGAAATCGGACTGTCAGTAGTAAACGATCGATCACGTCGTGCTCTTGCTCGCTCGTCGATCACGTCGTGCTCTTTGTGTTTCGGTGGTGTGTTGTGTTTTAAACCCTCTGTCCGAGAATCGCCATTCGCAACAGCTGCCGTCCTGAAGTGTCGAAACACAAACGCTCTCGACAAGTTACTTGTTCGTTTTCGCCCCCTCTCGACAGGAATAAAACCTCGGGACCGTCGCCTCCTGGACGATAGAACCCACTTCACCGCCTTTTTTCAAATTCAAAACGCGAATGCCGCAATGGCAGCGCGAGTACGAACGCGACTGGCGCGACGTCACGCGGCGGGAGATCGCCCACCACTTTGGCGCGTACGCACTGCAGTGCGCTCCATCAGTCACTCCATCCGACGAGCAGCTCCTGCAGGACGTTCTGATGGCCGCCGGCGTTGCCCACGTACCGCTAAGTCCGAGTCACTGGACAGCGACGCGTCCTCTCTGGTCGCCGTCACTTGTGGACGACGCGTCGTACGTCTTTAGCACTCCACCGCCTGTCGATGAGATTGACGAGTTCCCAGCGTTCAGCTCGGCGGACTTTCGAGCGCACGCGGCGTCGAAACGTCGCAAAAGCGCCTCGCAGCGACTGCAGCTGCGATTGGCTGACGTGTCGCCTCTTGTTGGGAACACCAGGCGGTCGTCTATGGAACGTGCAGCAACGATTTCGCCTCTTGCAGCAGTGACGTCGCCCTGGACGTCGGGACAGTGGTCGACGGCTGGAAAGACGCGACAAAAGACGCGTCGAGTGTCGCTCGAGTCGAGTTTTCGGGACAAGGAGTTGGATCTGTCCATGCATTCGATGCACCTGAGTGACGAAGAAGGATGTGGTGATGATGAAGTTGATGGCGTTTGTGTTGAGGACGAAGGGAGCGTAGAGGCTACACAGGTGATCGAAGTGCTGGTAGATGATGATAATGAGGAAAAGGGTGTGGCGATGCCGGGACGGGACGGCGACAAAGAGGTCGAGCGAGTGCAAAAGGTCAGGGGTGTTGATGTGGACGTTGATGCAGGCGACTTAAGTGCCTCTCGATGGCTCGAACTTTGCAAGTACAACGAAGATAAAGATATGGTACAAAAGGATGTCGAGGAAAAGAACAAGCAAGTTTATGCCAACGCTGTGGTTGAGGAACGAGACGGAAACACCGACGCACCGTTTGATGTTAGCAGTCAAGGTGATTTAGTGGCGTCAGGAGAGTTGGTCGAGGAGCCAGTCTGGCATGCAGAAGCTGACATTGAGTTTGGAACGGGCGATGAGTACGACAACGACTCCCAACGATTTGCAAATGGAGTACGAGATGCAGAGATGCGTCAACTATCACAACGCACAGTTAAAGGTCTGTCGTATACCGTCGATGCACTTCAGACTGTTGCAGAGCCAGAACGAGAAGATACCTGTGACCGAGTTAGGCAGCAAGACATAGCTGCGACGTCAAAACCAGTCGATAGTCCCAGTTCAACGAAAAACATGTGTGCAGCACGGCAACATGATCCTGTGCTGACAGGTCAGTCAACTAGCGCTTTATCGGAAGATTCGGTGACGAAAAAAGCAGTGTATGTATCCACCACTGCGCCGTCGGCAAGTGAAGGGTCGTGCACAACAACTACAGCTTTGTCGACTGATCAAAGCCCTACTGCGTTGCCTCTGGCGTCATTGGGGAACGATACAGCGCCTGCGACGTCTTCAGCTTTGCCAGCGACAAGAGCTTTACACACACCCGCTGTCCGCTCGTCGGCAAATGAAGCAGCACAACGTTCCTCGACTACCACTCCAGCACTTCGTAGATCGGTGGTATCGCGAAAGCGTGCAACTCGAGGTGCGCTGCTGCACACGAAGCTGCCGCTACAGATGGAATACCGCTTTGCTAGCGACCGGCGTCGGCGCCACAAACGCCGAAAATCATCAGCGATGATGCCAGGCGTGTTCCCATTCGTTGTGCCGGAACTTGCGATTGAACTGAAGTCGTATCAAAAGGAGGCGCTACGATGGATGCTGGAAAGAGAGCAGGAACCTGGTGATACCATCACCGTCGATCGTCAACAGCACGGTGCAACAACAGCTGTCGACGCTTTAGTAGCGAAGGTGCGCGGTGGGATATTGGCGGATGAAATGGGTCTTGGCAAGACGGTATGCTGTCTTGCTCTCATATGTGCATCGTTGCGCCAGGCTCGAACGGCAGATGCGCAGTCGAGCAATGAGACTGGTAGCACTGTGCCCCGGATCACTCCTCCGACGCTTATTGTAACGCCATTGTCTATCTTGTCACAGTGGGAACAAGAGATCCGAGCGAAGACGAATTTGAGTGTGGTGACATACCAAGGTGCTGCGCGCAAGAACTTTCGCTCGTCCACGCAGTTCATGGGAACCGACATTGTCCTGTCAACATACGACACCCTTCGGCTTTCGGAGTGTAAAGTACGCGGCAAAGGCAGTGAAGGTAGTGGACGCAATGGCTGCGGTGCCGAGGATGGATGGCACCAAGCACCACGTCTTGTTCCACGGCTCCAGAAATCTGTAGCAACCTCGAGACTGCACCAATTGGAATGGTTTCGAGTCATTCTAGATGAAAGCCATCTGATTGCCAACGCAGGATGTGGACGAGCGCGAGCTGCATTCACACTCAACGGTCGGCGTCGTTGGTGCGTGACTGGAACGCCAATACAAAATCGAACGGCGGATCTAGCGGCGCTGCTGCAATTTGTTGGACTTGGTGCACGGGCCCATGCTCTCTCAGAGCGAGAACTTGGATTGATGGTACCTCGTGTTGTTTTGCGTCGACTGAAGTCCACGGTGGATATGTGGTCAAAAGCTCCTATCCTGGAGCTACCAGGAAAGTCTGAGACGACGATCGAGCTCGACTTTGCCTCAGATATTGAGCGTGCGTTGTACATGCTGTTGTATCGCTCCACGAAACGGCAAGTGCTGCGGTATCTGCAGTCAAAGGAGGCGAAACAAAAAACTCGTCAAGCTTCTTGTACAGGTCCAGCCAACATCGACAAGGAACGACCTTTGTTTATGCACGTGTTTGAGCTCATCTTGCGGCTGCGGCAAGTGTGCAATTCCTGTGCTCTGGTGACCGCAGACCCATGGACCGACGTTCGAATGCGAGTAGAAAAGCTAGCTGGAAACGAAGGACCCGATGGCATGTCTTCGTTCTCACATGCAGATGCTGAATTGCTCAAACGATTTCAAAAGCAGCGCTCAGGTGCGAATGGTGATTTCGGACACGGTTCTTTGGAATCTACAAAACTGACAGCATTGATAAAGGAGCTGAAGCGGGTACGAGCTAATCGAGAGCGAGCGTTGGTGATTTCGCAGTGGACAAGTTTTCTCGACATAATAGGCGAACGCTTGGATGTCCACAACGCGGAGTGCGAGACCCGATACTTTGGCGATGCGCAAGAAGCTGACCATGAGGCTATCACGTTCGCCAAACTAGATGGCAGGATGTCCGCCAAGGATCGAGAGCAAGTGGTGCGGAATTTCCAGCAACAGGAAGACAGTTTCGACGGAGGATCAAGTATTGGTCCACCGCTTGACGTGCTCTTGCTGTCGTTGCGTACTGGTGGTCTTGGATTGAACCTCACGGCTGCAGCACACGTTTTCATCATGGAACCTAGCTGGAACCCGAGTCTTGAGCACCAAGCCATCGATCGCGCCCACCGTTTCGGCCAGACAAAGCAGGTGCGCGTTATTCGCTTTGTCGTCAAAGGCTCCATTGAAGAGCGTGTCATGGCGTTGCAAACAAAGAAGTGTCAGCTCACGGCTGCTTTCTTGGGTGATGGCGAAACTGCCTCCAGCGCCAAACCGAACGGCAGGCTGTGCAAGACAAGACTGTCGACGAGAGATATCCGCACACTCTTCTTGACGCAGCAGGAACAAGTTGAAGTGGTAGATCTGCACCATCTCGACGGCATCCGTGGTCACGCACGCGATGACGAGGCCGAAAGCAGCGACAGAAGCGTGACATGCATCGAGATCAGTGACTGACGAGAGGCTGGAGCAAGTGGGTGGGAGTATAACTTAGTTTGTGTGGCTTTTTGCGTTCTACACCGCTGGTGGTTCCTATCGCGTGTCTACATGCTCAGCTTGCGCTGACGCTTGTTAGGTCGCTCGGTGTCGGACACGTCGGACCGCGCAGGTGATGACGCAGTCCGAGGGACACCAATAGTCGACGAAGTCGATGAGGTCGACGCAGTCCGAGGGACACCAATAGTCGACGAAGTCGATGAGGTCGACGCAGCCGATCGCACGGGCGCAGGAGGTGCTTGGGACGGCGACGGAGACAGCGTCTCGGTGCAAACGAGATCCGAGTCGACCAGGCCACTGACGGTGGCAAATGACGACGCTACTCCGTCATCGTGGAAGTGCGGCACTTGTTCGATCGCCGTAGGGCTTTGCGTGAGAGACTTAATGGGCTCCAACACCTCGGGGTTCGTGACAATTCGTGGCGTCGGAGGCTTTGGCGAGACGACAGACGTGCCAAAGTAGGCGCCCCGCACAATTTTGAAGGCTGTGCGGTAAGCGTCTTCCTCGACCTTCACGAGCTTGAGCGCCTTGAGCAGCTGTGCGATCGAGAGGTTGTACTCGGACTTGGCCACGAGCTGCACTGCGGCTTTGGCAAGACTAGAGACAGAGCAGTCGAGCAGCGACATGTCCTCCGCCACGCGCTCGAGGACGTTGAAGACGGAGGCGACGCAGTTGGCCCGTCGGTCCTTGTCGTCCCCGAACGGGAGCTCCGAGACAAAGTCCCTCGCCATGGTGAAGACGTTTGGCGGGTTGAACTGGAACTGGACAAGCCGCACGAGCTGCGCTTCGGCGTCGACCATTTGGCCTCGAGAGAACTTGCGCTCGCACATGAGCGCCATCTCTTCGAGGAGAATGGGTCGGCCCTCGTGCATCTTGCTGGCTGTCCACATGCAGATCATGCTCAGGAGCTGCAGCGTGACGCGGTCGACCGAGTGGACACTGAGGTACTGGTCGAGGAAGTGCAGCGCTGTGAACACTGTGTCCATTTGCAGGTCAAACTCCCGCGCGGTCTCAAACATCCAGCGACAGACCCGGAGCCGCCACGTGGCCGTCATGCCGTCGTGCTGGATCTGCGACAAGTAGCGCGGATTGCGCACGGCCGTGTAGTGCTTCTCCTTGAGGAGCGCCCACTGAATGGTCTCGTGCGCGGCCGTGTCGCACGACATGGGCAGTGTGGAGGGCATCCGCGACGGCGGACGGACGTGCAGCGACATGGCGACGAGAGCGGGCGGGCGGGGGGCGCACACTGGAGGGACGCGACACACGGCGCTTGCTGAGCCCAGGGCAAACCTCTGAATGGACGATGGGGGGAGGACGAGGCGAAGAGGAGGAGGAGGAGGAGGAAGAGGGGTGACCACTACTACTGCATCGGAGACTGCCGGGCATATGGGCCGCCCGGGCTGCTGCCGCGAGCCACCGAACCCGGGCACGGCGGAAGCCGATGATTCGCTAATAGTCGACAAATAGCGCTGCGCGAATGAGCGCGGGCAGGGGGCGGCTTTTGGACCACTCACGGCAGCGGAGACCGCGATCCGGGTGGGTCGAGGAGCTCAACTGATTCGTCAAAGACGCGCTGCAGGCTGCGCGGACTGCACGCACCAATCACAATGACGTGCGGTGGCTCTCTCGCCCCCCCCCCCTCGGCCGTCGCCCAGACGAGCGTAAAAAGGACGCGGCTAATCAGAAGGATGTGCGACGACGACTGCGCGCGCTCGCAGGCCCCGACTCGGCTGCGAGCGTAGTAGTACGAGCAGGACGTGGCTGCTGATACGGCCGCTGGACGGCCCTCGTGGACCACGCCACTTTTTTTCCCGGGGAGGTCTGGACAGGACCAGCTGCACCTGCGCCAAAGAATCGAAAGGTGGCTCTTGAGGGACCAGTAAGATCGCGGGCACTGGCCCGATGGAAGCTCGCGGCGCTACAGACGGACCGTCGAGCAGCAAGTTGCGCGAGCGAGCGAGGCGCGACACCTGTCGGTGCTGGCCGCTGGTCTGCGTGAGTGGAGAGTGGTGATCATATTGTTGTGGCTGTTGTGGCTGCTGTATGTGTTGTTGTGCTGGTATTGTTCGCCCATCAGATGCAGGTCAGTCAGTCAGTGCCGTGCAAGTGAGACAGCAGTGACTGGCGCGATGACGACATTGTCGCGTCCCACGTAGCAATCGTCACGCGGCGTCCGTATCAGCGACTGTACCGGCGGCTGGAGGGAGAGAGAGAGGGGGGAGGGATACTGCCGGACGTCGACCATACTTGTTGCGATACCGGTATGCGTTTCGTGTCGATTCGGTATGAGGCAGACGACACGAGCGGGAAGGGGCGACAGCGTCTCCGTCGGTTTGACGACGTTATCTCACCGACGCGGCAACCGCTGCGTGGAATGTCGAATGACGTCAAAACGTGGTGATGATACGCATCGAAGTAGTAGCAGTAGTAGTGATAGTCGCAGTTGTAGGAGTAGTATTCGTCGAAGTAGTAGTAGTAGTATCAGTGGTAGTTGGTACTGTATACGGTCGTGCGACTTTCCCGAGCATGGGGCAGTCCAAGCCAGCAGACATTACAGCGCTCGTGCCCTTTCTTCAGTGCACTATCCCCGCCCAACGACGACGACGCTGCGTGGTGACGACAGCCGTCTCGCTGCTGTTGACAGAGACATTTCGTACCTGTCAAAGGTGTGATCGGCCCGACCGTTGGCTTTGCGGCCACTGCTTTGAGGCCAATGGCGATGGCAATCACTTGACCACGACGACGACAACTGCTGCTGCTGCAGTTGCTCTCGCGCTCGCTCCTCCTCCGCCTCGTGCAACGACGGAAACGGTAGTCCACGAGACAACTTTGTCTCGTCGCGTGCTTGTAACCCGTCAGTGGGACACGACCAGCTGGCGCTGCGCTCAATGGCCCAACGATTTCTCACAACGAGCGCTCGGGCAACTGCAGCGTTGGCACACCCGATGCGACAACCGCACGAAACGCTCGCGGGGTTTGTGGTCGGTGCCTCACAGGCCTTAAGCGGTGGACACTCCCGCGACTTTTTCCTGCCGGATCGAGAAAAAAAAACTACGCAGATATCCGACCAACGACGCGTCCGTACCGCAGTGGACTGCGCCCGACCGTGCTTCTCCTGACGAAAAAGTAACTCAAACCGTGTCGCACGCACACACGCGCACGTCATCTCGACGTGTACGAGAGAGCAAACCCCACACGCACATACCCACAATTGCGACTGTAAATAGCGCCCGCCATGGCTTTCAACTCGTCTCCTGAGCACGACCAAATAACCTCAGGACAGTCGACTCATCGCTCTCTCTCTCTGGTCGGCTGCATAATCATGCGCTCCGTCCCTGCCCTTTCTCTCCCTCTGTCTCTTCCGCTCTTCTGTCCTCCCTCTCGCTCGCCCCCGCCTCGCCCGTGTCTTTTTTGCTCCCCCCCCTCTCCACGTGTGAATAAAACCTCAAGCGGAAACCGTCGGCACGACGTACCAACTCTCACAGGTCCTCTTGATAACTCATACACTGGCTCCTTTTATCGGCCACGCCATTCCTCAATTTGAAGACCGACCCACAAGCGCATCCGCCCACACTTCCGCCCACACTCTCTCTCTCTCTCTCACTCTCTCTCCCTCTCTGTCGCCCGCTCCCGCCGTCCCACTGCCGCTCGAAGAGAGACGTCAACGTCGTCGCTGTCGTCGTCGTTGTCTCTCGCTCTCTCTCGCCCGCTCTCTCGTTCTCTCGTTCTCGTTCTTCGGCCGCTTCGCTTCCGACCTCCATCCGACTACGCACGTCGCCTGAAGACGGCCGACCAGACGGATTACCAGCAGAGCGCACGAGAGAGCACGACGAATGGGTGCGACGGACTGGTTCACTCATCGTGGGAGCGCGGCGACCGCCGGGCGAGAGACGTCGCGGGCCATTGAGGACGGACCGAAGCGCGTCGCGAGTCGCTTTGGCCGCATGCGGCTCCACGGATCCGCTATGCTCAACGCCAAAGGGCTCTTGCAGCAGACAGTCGTCAAGAAGCTGTACCCGATCGTGCAGCTCCGTCTGCTGCCAGTGCGGTGCACGTCGCCATTCAGACACGACCGTGTACCGCTATGGAGTACTGCAGCGACGGCTACTAAGGCTGCAGCTAATGCTACTGCTACTGCTGTTGGCTCACGGGAGACGACGTGGAAGCACGTGGAGCCAGAGACAGAGCCGGTTTGTGCGGTGAAAGCCTCGTGGTTCAACTCGGAGGCGTGCGAGCGGTTTGCGGAGCAGGTCGAGTGCCTCGTGCGGGACCAGAGCAGTACGTTCGAGATGACGAGTGACGGCTGTGGCGGCGTGTACTACTTGACGACCGACGGGACGCCCAAAGCGACTCCAATGGGTGTGTTCAAGCCGAGAGATGAAGAGTACATGGCGCCGAAGAACCCGAGAGGATACGTGAAGGACAATGCGGTCGTCGGCGTGACGGAACACCCGGTGAACAAGGGCTTTCGCATTGGCAATGGCGCTCTGCGCGAACGTGCGGCCTATTTGCTGGACGACGCGTATGGCAATTTTAGTGGTGTACCTGTGACGAATTTGATGGTGTTGAGTGTGGGTGGAGAAGCAAAGGAGGGATCGATGCAGCAGTTTGTAGCCTCGCAGTGCTCAGCGGAAGACATTGGCACGCTGAAGTTTGCGATCCCCGAGGTGCACAAGATTGGCATTCTCGACGTGCGTCTTTTTAACACGGACCGCCATGCTGGCAACATTTTGCTGCAAGCGCGGGCCCACGACCAGACATTTGGCATGGTCCCGATCGACCACGGCTTTTGTTTGCCGTCGTACAAGCACTTGGACGGCGCGACGTTTGACTGGCTGCAGTGGCCGCAAGCCGAGTTTCCGTTTACGTGTGCTGAGCTCGAGCACATTGCGTCGCTCATCGAAGAGCGCGACGCGGCCGTGCTGCGTGCTGTTGGAATCGAGGAGGAGTGTGTGACGACGATGCGTGTGTGCACGGCGGTGCTGAAGCGTGGGGCAGAGGCTGGGTTTTCGTTGTTCGAGATTGGCAGTCTGTTGCAACGCGACGGGGACTTTTCGTCGCCGTCGCAGCTGGAGCTGGTCGTTGCCAAGGCGGTGACGCGTGTAGAGGAGGACATGGGCTTGAGCGCGGACAAGGACGGTATTGTTTTTTTCGATGCCGTCGTAGCTGCATCCACGTGCCAAGCCGAGAGTATGTTTGAGGGCCAGACGAAGAAGAAGGTGCGCAGCATCAGCTGCTTCAGTTAGGAAGCAAGGCACATCATGTGGCTCGATAGAGCAGCCCATGTGTGTGCGTGTGTGTGTTGTGGTGAGTAAAGTGAGTGTTTTGATGGAAGAAACATGACGAGAAAAAACGGATAGAAGAAGAGCGAGGAAGGAACGAGCGGCGCGACCAGGCAGAGGTAATGCACGGCGATGATGGCTTTGTAAGTTAATGTACGAAATAGGGATAGCGACAGCGCGCGAGACGAGGAGAGAATACACGCACGAGCCAAATGCAGGTGTTGCAACATGTAAACGAACAATCCCAACGAAAACTATCGGTTGTTTTCTGATGCTTTTCTATCGGCTGTAGGTGTGCACACTGTACGCAATTCGCAACTTGCATCGACTCGGCTGTGTGTATGTGCGTGCGTGTGTGGACCAAACATCCGTGTGACGCTCGGACTCCGATGTCGACTATGGGCTCAAAGAGTCGAGGTCGAGTCTACTGGCACATGCCGATCGCGCTTCACTGACGCCTTCCGCTACGTTCATTACCGTGAGATCTCTGTCCAGCCCAATGCAGTTTGCCGGACGCCTCGTCTCGCAAGTTATGCCATGTGCCAACTCGCTACCTTCACGCGAACATCGCACAGTGCATCGAAGCCATGATGAGCTGTCCGATAGCAGAGCGACGATCATGAGGAAGAGCACATGAGCCGTCCGACCCGAAATCACAAAGTGTTGCACACTGCTCGCGTTGACGCCCGATCCACTGGAGTACAGCTGCTCTCTTTGCACGACATGCCACCCGATGCGTTCGTTACGAACGGCCACACGCGCAGCATTCATTACAGCTCCCAGCCATCCGGCACCAATCAATACTTGCTCGAGCGATCCACAATCGTAAACTTCATCGCAATCAGCGTCTTGAGGGTCTCCTTGGCGATATTGATATCGTACTCTTTCTCGTCGTCCGTAAGGAACACGTACGGCACCAGGCACGGATGCTTCCTCGTGCCGTCATCGCGCTGCGGGCCAAAAGTCCAGCCTTCGTCCATCCGACCCTTCGCCCAGACCTCGTGCGCGTTTTCAGCCAAGAGGTCCACAAGACGCAGTAGTCGTGGCGGTAGCTCCACCGTCGTCGTGTCGATGGGGAGCGGGCGATACACTTCAATGTTATCCTCTCCGTATGTCGTGAAGTACGGGGAGTCGCTCATCAGACTGTTGCGACGGAAGCTCATGGCTTCGCGCAGCAAAGACGGCACGGCTCTTGCTGGCGCGCCCGGGTGAAACGCAGTGCCCAACTCCTCAAAGACAGCCGAGTCCTGAGCGCGTGGACTCGTCGTGTCAGACCCACAGCTAACAATTGAGCTGTTGCTGCCGCCGAGGCCATCACCAATGTCGGACATCATGGACGTTGACCGGGAGATAGAGTCGTGGAAAGAACCGCTGAGAGAGCGCTGGTGACTCGAGCGCGTGATCGTGTAGTTCATGAGGACAATCGTCTTGATCGTTTCAATGGACGACCGGTAGTCGAACGCTTGTTCTTCCACAGACAGCAACTTGTACGGAACGAGGTTCGGATGCTTCTTGCTCTCGTCGTCGCGCTCAATACCGTATCGCCAGCCTTGCTTGAGACGTTCCAGTGCCCACATGTCGTGGCAATTGCGAGCCAGGACATCACCGAGATACTCAAGCGGGCCTAGCTCCACCTTGGACGTGTCGACGGGCTTCGGGTGGTAGTTGTGGCCTTCCTTTTCGCGAGACGGCATGTCAATCAGACACTTGCGGAAACGATACATCACGTGAAGGGCTTCGCGCTGCACGTCTGATTGCGAGCACATGGCCTTGCGTCTGTCCTTGCGCAGGAACAGATCCAACATGCGCGAGATCTCATCAAGCCGTAAGCTCGTGCGGCCGTCTTCACGGACTCGATCGAATAGCAGCCCGAGGTGATAGTCGTCCACCATGTGGTCCTTCGAGTACTTCCACAGCTTTGTTGCACGCAAGAGACCCATCTTGAGCTCCTGCAACAGCGTGCGACACAAGTGCACCGCAAGCCGCCGTCTCGGGATTCGCAGCTTCTCGCCGCCCATGAGCTCCAGCACACGTACGCGCGAGGCGCCATCGTCGGAATCGTACTCAAACGAACCCGACGACGAGTCAGAGCGAGAAAGTGAGACTGCTTTCGGCGCACCACTCATCTTCTCGGTCCAGCTCGCTCCAATGCCACCACCCTCTGTCTCCGTGGGTCCCAAAACGATGCACTCCACTGACAGCTTGCTATGATGAACAACCTTCAGCGCAAGCCCTTCGCCAAGAATGGAGTCTGTCTGGAGGCGGATCGTAATGCCAATCGGTATCATCTCCTTGATGGTCTTGTGGTCAAAGTTCTCAGACAACCGAATGTGCGACACCAGCTCCCGGTCGTCCCTGTCATTGCTGGAGCCGCTGCCAGTGCTGTTGTGTGCAAGTCCATCGTGCGCCTTGCGATCGCCGAAATTGATGCGGCGGTCAAACTTCATGCCAAAGCGCAAAAGGGCGACAACGCGCCACACAGCACCGCGGAACAGCTTCCGCACACGCTGGCGGGTCTCTTCTTGGTCGACAAGGTTCGTCGAGATAAGACGTACTTGCTGCCACGGAATGAGGCGAATCACACCATGGTCTTTCGGCACAACAACTGTCGGGGAACAGGCACTCACAAAGCTGCGAATGCGCGCGAGCACATCGTACTCGACATCGTCATGACTGCCAGTCTCATCGTTCTTTGCGACTTCGTAGTACTCTGACAGAATCGCCACAAACATGTTGACGAGGATCTGAAATACCAAGACCACAAAAGTGCCAATGAAAATCGGTGCAATACGAGGATTCGCTTGACGCAGTCGCGCGTAGTCCATTTCGCCAGCCAGCATCTGGAAACAGGTACCATATGACTTGCTGATCGTCGAGTACTCTTCCAGAGCAAAGCCAAAGGCATAGCTGCCCATGGCTGAGTACCCCAAAAAAATCAGGTTGAAAATGACCAGAAAGCCCATGAGGTCGCTCATGGCCATGCCCAGCACACGCCAGAGCAAGTTCAGCGTAGCGTTCATGCGTAGAAACTTGAACACCTTGAGCAAACTGATAGCAGATCCCAGCGATGCAAGGTCCGAGAGCTGCTGGAATCCGGTCAAGAGCTCCAACGAACTAGAGTGGCTAAGCTCTTCCACGCCACGGCCTTCCTGCAAGTCTGCCAAGTGCACGGCAAAGGTACTGGACGCTATGCGGTAATGCACCATGTAGCTCAACATTGCAGCTAGTACCGCCAAGTGGGTGAGCTCAAACAGATTCCACATGTCCGATCCCAAGTATGTTGCTACGCCCATTGAGCTCATCTCTGTTGCCTCGCCGATGCAGTACGTGATGAAGAATAGAACCAGTGCGACCCAAAGCAAGATGCGTGCGTCAACAGCTTCTTGCACCACCGACACGAACCGATCCATGGCACTCAGAATCCGGTAAAGAAGACGTGGCTCTGACGATGCGTGGTTGTCCTCGTAGTCATCGTTCGTCAACTGCTTTGGCTTCTCATGGCCAATAACTCGAACATGGGAACTGTGCACGTAGTGATCGAGGTGACCAGACGGATCGACTTTGATCACGTGCATCCCAATAGTGAACACACGAGTCAGCGGGTTTAGCAAAACGAACTTGAACGCCGCTGCACGCGTATGTTCGGACAGAAAGTTGTCACGCCGAAGCTCATTGACGTTGTCCAGACCGCACAAATCTACTGCGTAGCCACCTGTGCCGTACGACTCAACCGGTGCGAAGAACAGCCAGTCGATCGAGGATTGGTACACCTCAGGAGACAAGTCACCGAGACCGTCTCTCCACTCGTAAGCACGTCCTGAGCCGTTTTCTCCAACCAAACGATCTTTCTGCTCCACCTCAGGACTGTAAAACGGGTAGCAAGGCGCTTCCCATCGGTCGTACACTCGACAGCGCTCTTCCTTGACGCGTACTTGTCGAAACCCGACGCCACCGACACGAACCCACTGTGCTGTAACCTCTTTCCGGTCACACACAATGTCGCTGAGTTTACCGGCAAAGTCGTAGATGTCAGCAAACGTCTTGATGTCGCACTCGCCCTCTTCTCGACAAGTGAGAGACCCCACGACGTCGTTCTGGTGGAAACTATCGCGCACCGGTAGCCACGACAGCAGCGAGAAGAGCAGTGTGAGGAACACAAAGTACACCACGAGCTCTTGGTAAAACTGCCGACGCTTGATCTCCTTGTACTCGGACGCGACACCCAATAGATCGAGCTTCTTTTTTTCCATGTGGATCCCGCGGTACACGTGCACTGTGTCGGCAGAATCTTTTGTCCACAAGGACAAGAACCCTTTCGCTGCACGTCTGGTTGTCACCACGCGCTTCGCCACGCCTGCAAACGACGAGTTGCTGCGCTCCAGCTCTCTCCTCTTGTGAACAGCAGCAGTGTCGTCACCGTCACTAGTTGTAGTAGCACCAGAAACAGCATCAGCGTCGACTACAGCGTGCTTCTCCGCGTCTCGACCCTCCCCATCTGCGTCCTCAGCCCTGTCACTTGCACTTCCATTGCAGCTCCCGCTGGGACTCGTCGAGCTGCAGAGATGCGAGCGCACGAGCGACGCCATGTTGCGTAAACTCGGCTGTCGCTTGTTCCGTCGAGGGGCCAACGACGGCGTGCGCCGCGCCGGCGCCAGCACCGCGTCTTCCGGATCATCGTCCGAGATCGAGCTCGTCCGTGGGCCCATGCGGTTCCGACGGCGCATGGTGCCCACGACGATCCCCAAATTGGTACTCGGTACCGCACGGGCGTCCATCGACTCGCGGGGAGCGCCACTGGGACTCGTATTGCTGCCGCTGCCGCTGCGCAGTCTTCGAGGCGGAGTACGCAGTCGGGGCTTGAAATGCGGCTTCAGCGGCACGCGCGCCTTCTCGAGCGGGCGCGCAGTGTCGACGTTGTTCGAAGCCGTGGGGCGGAGCTCCTCAGAGCCTTCTAGCGACGGCGGGAGCGGCGCTGCGGGTGCCGTAGAAGCTGCAGCAGACGGACGAGACGCAGGAGGAGCATCTGGTGCTGCTGCTGGAGGACGTGCGGCGCTGGCGGTGTCGGTAGCGGCCATGGAGCGGCCGCGGAGGGGCGGAAGGGCGGCGATCGTGGACTGCTGCTGACCTGGCCGTCGCGGGCGCACTTAAGACGGACAGGGGACGTGATTGGCAACGTAAGCGTATGGTGCAGTAGCACACGTCACTGGTTCGACACTGAACACACGGAATCAGACGAGGCGAACGTCGACGCTACGGGAACGGGACACCGTGTGTTTGTAGGAGACTGTCGGCCGACGAGATTGACGTTCGAAACAGAAATAGAAGAGAAGAAGAAGAAGAGGAGAAGAAAAAAAACGAAAAAGAAGAGGAAAAGAACGTGCGTGGAAATGAATATGGTCTGTCCCGACTGCTCTCGCGTTGTGACACTCTCCTCGTCTGTCGGCCTGTCTGTCGGCCTGTCTGTCGGCCTGTCTATGTTCCGTCACTTGTTCTTTATTTCCGCCCACTTTCGCTCTCTCCCTACCGGTATCGCTCTCGGTATCTCGGCACGACACGAAGCCACTTGAAGCAGTGGACAAGGAGCTTGTGGCAGTAGCCACGACCAGCGCGACGATTCGTCCGTGCATCTAGTGGCGTCACACTTGCGCCACCACTACGTACACCAAACGGGCCAGAAGAGCCCGAGCGGACCCGACCGACTGCCAAAGATCCGATCATGGCGACCATTGACGTCTCTGTGCGACTGCTACCGCTGCTGCTGCTCCTCGCGTCGTCGGCCGTCCCCGTCCTCAGCCACAACAATGCGCTCGACGCGTCGGTCTACGATGGCCGCGTCACGAGCTTCACGGCCTTTCTACGGCCGTCGACTCGACCGTCTCAGCTTCACGTCGCGTTTGCCAGTGAAGTGAATGTGAAGACGCGCGACGCGACTGTCCAAACGTCTGCGTCTGCACGACAAGAGACGCGATTGGGGATGACCGTCTCGTGGGCCACAACGCACGAGACGTTGACGTCCCGCGTGCGCTTTGGCCGATCGCGTGACGACCTGTCGATGGTGCAACAGGCGGACGGACGCGGGGAGCAGTACGACTTTTGCTCGTACACGTCGCCGTATTTCCATCACGTGACGATCCCGGGTGACAAGCTCGAGCCAGCAACGACATACTACTGTAAGTGCTCTGTCGTGGCCCAGTGGACGCTGTCGAGCTGTGTTTCGCTGTCAAGCTTTGTTTGATGTCGTGGTGCCCTTTGTGGTTGTGTGCCATGTAGACCAATGCGGAGACGACAGTGGAGCGTGGAGTCGTGTGTACTCGTTCAGGACCGCTGTTCTAGTGGGGAGCGAGAAGCCACAACTGTTTGGCATCATTGGCGACCTCGGGTACGTAGCATTGCTGCTGCTGCTGCAACATGCTGACGTTTGTGTTGACGGGTGCTTGGCTGACCTTGTCTCGCTGTATCTGGCGCAGCCAAACCGTGTACTCAAAAGTGACGCTCGACAACCTCGCTAGCTACGGCTCAACGATCAGTGCCATCGTGTGCGCCGGCGACTTGTCGTATGCTGACAGCGACCAGAACCGATGGGATCGATGGGGCGCTCTTGTCGAACCGTTGATTGCTCAGATGCCGTGGATGGTCGCGTCTGGCAACCACGAAGTCGAGCATCCCTGCCAGTCAAACGCGAGCGAGTTTGTCGCATACCAGACCCGGTTCCGTATGCCGTACGATCGTTCGGACCGGCTGCAGCGTCGCAACTTGTACTACGGGTTCCGTGTCGGCCTCGTGCACTTTATCGTGTTGACGCCGTATGTCGACTCTCGCCCGACGTCGCTCCAGTACAAATGGCTGCAGCAAGAACTCGCGCGCGTTGACCGCAGTGTCTGTCCATGGGTCGTGGTGATCATGCATGGGCCGTGGTACAACAGCAACACGGCGCATCAGGGGATGGAGCCGCACGTGACGATGAAAGCGAACATGGAGGAGACGCTGTACCGGCACAAGGTGGATGTGGTGATTGCAGGGCACGTCCACGCCTACGAGCGCAGTCATCCCGTCTACAAGGAACAAGTCGTAGCAGACGCACCAATGTACATTGTACTCGGCGATGCCGGCAATCGTGAAGGGCTGGCGCCAACGTACTACGATCCGCAGCCAAAGTGGTCTGCGTACCGTCAGGCCGACTATGGCTTTGCACTGCTGAGTGTGGCAAACCGCACCCACGCGAACTTGCAGTGGTTTGAAGATCGCGGAGAAGACGACGCGAGTCTGCGGGATACTGTTGAGCTCACGACGTCCGCGTATCGATCTGGATAGCAGTACGGCACCGTATTGTGCAGGCATCATTCTTGGACGCTACAACAGTGATTCAGCCGGGCCACCCTTCTTGTGCATGAGTGCATTGATGAGAAGGATGGTCTGGTAGATCACTTGCACCCGAAACACACAAAACACGCAAAACACACACAAGACACAAAAAGGCACAGAACACACAATAGACACAAAAAGACGCAAAAGACACACAAAAAACACAAAAGACACAAACGACACACAAAAGACACAGTAGACACACAAAACCACCAAGAATTACAAAAGACACAAAAGCACAAAAAGTCACACAAAACACACACAAGACACTATAGACGCGAAAAGACCCAAAAGACACACAAAACCACCACACAATGACACGAAAGACACAAAAGACACACAAAACCACCACCAAGGACACAGAAACGCACAAACCACCACCAAGGACACAAAAGACAGAAAAACGTGATTGCACAAAAGACACGACGATGGGACCCAAATCGCGACCCATATCCCGTGTCCTCGTTGCGATCTCTTTCTGTCCTCGAAAATAGAATTCCGTACCACGACAAGACGTCGACATGGCGGTCAAAGTGAGTGTCAAGTGGGGCAAGCAGCTGTTCGCGGACGTCGAGGTGGACAAGGCCGCGCCCGTGGCCGTGCTCAAGGCGCAGCTCTATGCCCTCACGTCCGTGCCCGTGGACCGCCAGAAACTCATGTCGAAGGCCTGGAAAGGCATGCTCAAGGACGACGTGGACCTCTCGACGCTGGGCAAGTTGGTAGACGGGACGGGGGTCATGCTCATGGGTTCAGCTGAAGTGGTCCACAAACCACCACAGCCCACTGTCTTCCTGGAAGACATGACGACGGCAGATGTAGCCATGACCGGCACCCTGTACCCCGCCGGGCTCGTGAACCTGGGCAATACGTGCTACATGAACGCGACGCTGCAGTGTCTACGGCCCGTGACAGAGCTACGGGAAGCGCTGGCCTCGCAGCCCAGCGCTGCATCGGCCGACTTGACCTCGAGCTTCTCGACGGCGTTACGCGACATGTATAGCCACTTGGACCGCAGCGTCGAGAGCGTCACGCCGTCGATGTTTGTGTCGGTGCTGCGTCGAGCGTACCCGCAGTTTGCCCAGCAAGCGCCGCGAAGTGGCGGGTACATGCAACAAGACAGTGACGAGTTCCTCTCGACGCTCTTTTCGACGCTGCAGCAGACGCTGACGCGTGCCGCAGGAGGACTCGCGTCGCTCGGCCCGGCGTCGAACGTTGTCGACGCGCTGTTTGGGCTGGAGATGGATGAGACAATCGAGTGCACGGAAAGTGACGTCGAGGCGGTCATTGCAAAGAAGGAGAAGGCGCTGAAGCTCGTGTGCAATATCACGATCGAGACGAACCATCTCGCGGAAGGCATTAAGATTGTACGTGGACGTGCAGTGCAGCAACAAGGTGTGGTTGGATGTGGATTCTCATGTGAGTGTGCGTGGATGTGTGTGTGTATGTGTGTGTGTGGTGGTGGTGCAGGGACTGGAAGGCACGATTGAGAAACACTCGGAGGTGCTTGGTCGCAATGCAGTGTGGAAGAAAACACTGCGGATAAACCGCTTGCCCAAGTACCTGTGTGTGCAGTTTATGCGCTTCTACTGGAAGACAACGCCCGAGAGTCGCGACCACACTGGTGTCAAGTGCAAGATGCTGAGGGTGCGTACACTGTGCTGTGAGTATTGCGAGCGATTAGTGCACGTGTTTACTGACAGATATACGCTGATGCGATGTAGCCCATCGGTTTTCCCACGACTTTGGACGTCTACGATTTCTGCTCCGATGAGCTCAAGGCGACCTTGAAGATCTCGCGTGATAGGAATGCCGAGAAGCTGCTGAATGAGTTCAAGGACGTACGTTTGCGTATGCGCCGGCAGCTTGCTGAAAAGAAGACTCATGTTTGGCATGGCTTGTTTGCAGAAGGAGGAAGAAGGCGAGGAGAAAAAGGAGGCCGATGAGGATGATGGCATGGACGACATGTCTCAGGAAGAGAAGGATGCTCTAGAGGCTGCTTGCGCTCTTTCGATGGGCGCCAAGTCGCCCGGCATTGAACTTCCTGCTAATTTCCAAGTAAGCTGGTCGTAATGCACTGCTTTGTATGTGCTCGCTGACTCATGCGCGGCTGCTGCAATGTTCGTGTTTGCCAGGGCAACTACGAGCTGTACGCGATTCTGACGCACAAAGGCCGTTCCGCCGACTCGGGGCATTACATGGCATGGGTACGCCACGAAGGAGGTACGCTCGAGTCGCTCTCTCTGTGCTAGGGTGTACAGCATGGTTGATCACGTGTTTGGCGCCATGACAGATGACTGGTATTGCTACGATGACGACGATGTCTCGCCGTGCAAGACCGAGGACATAATGAAACTCAAGGGCGGGGGTGACTGGCACATGGCGTACCTCGCTTTTTACCGTGCCAAGAACTAGGGTGATGGCACGCGTCATGACGAAGAGCACGAAAGGGAACAGATATGTGGTAGAAGATGCGAGCGAGCGAGAGGTCTGCGTGTAGAGTTGTGACACCTGCGTGCTTGGCGTCTGCTCACGAGGGCAACGCACGAGACAGTATCTCTTTTCAATATACTTTGCGTGACCACCGACCGCACTCGAGAAACACGACTGAAGTACAATAATGCAAACTCTTGTTACAGTTCGAGTGCGAAACGAAATGAAAATAACAAAATGAAGGAGACCCGTACTATGTCTACCGCTGCTAAGGCCGCCTGGTCACGCCGCGCTCGCCGAGTTCTCGGGCTTCTCACTTCTTCTTCTTCTTCTTCTTCTTCTTCTTCTTCTTCTTACATCTCAATGCCTTCCAGTCGATGACCAGAAGATGGAGAGAGACTGTCCACTTTCCGCGGCTCAATATCGCTCTTGACCGAGTCCGACATGTAGTCGTCGTCGTCCTCGTCGTTGTCGTAACTGTAGTCCGCCGTCTTGTCGGCAAGGGATAGCGCGTCGAGACGCGGGGGAGAGGGCTGTGACGAAGACTCTGACGTCGTTGACGTTGCTCCCGTCGATTCGCAATGTGCGCCCAAAGGCGACGGCGGCGGCGTCGTGTACGGCGACTCAGACACTGGACTGGCCGGGCCTGGCGAGCCCATGATGTCGCCGCCAGCGCCTGTCGACGACACGTCCGAGTCGGTGTCTTCATCCTTGAGACTCCCCTTTGCAGCAAACGGCGACTTCTGCTCCTTGTCCGTGGCCACCCAAATACGAATGGTCTCCAATCGACGCTGCACACCCGGAAGCTCCATATTGTTGGCATCCTAAGCACGTCGTAAACACATACACCACACCACACAGTCGTCAGTCCTACGCGTCAACACTGCAAAGCTTGTCTCGATCGGCACCACCAACGCACGCGAGGCAAACGAGCACAAAAAGACGCACCGGACAGAACCATTCCATGCACACTTCCAAGTCCGTGCGGTCAGCCAGCACAGGCGTCAAGAGCTGGACCAGGATCCCTCGCGTCTCGACGTCCAGGTGCGGGATCTCAATGCCCCGCACCTCAAGCGTATGGATCGGCTGGTCGAGCACGACGGCCGTGATCCACTTGGCGAGAAAGTTAAATTTGTCCACTTGGCCGCGGCACACGGTCTTGAGCAGCACCGTGAACACTGCTTCCGGCACTTTGTTCCGCGACACGTCCATGACGTTGCGCAAGGCAAAGTCCTCGCGCACGTCGAGCAGCAGCTTCGACTCTTCAAAGCCGTGCATGCCCAAGTGGTAGCAGCTCTCGCACAGGTGGTAGTTGACGCACTTGGAGCACGAGTACATGTTGCCGACAATAGGGTCCATGCCGCAGCCGTCGCAGAACGAGTCGTCGTTCACGTGCGACGGCGGGAACTTGAGCTGCGCGACTTTCTGGCCAATGAAGCGCGTGGCGGCCGACACTTTGCTGCCGAGGCCGCTCGCCCGCAGCTCGGGCGACGTGGGGAAGCCAATGAGCGACGTCGTGCTGTCGCGCTCCATGCAGAGCGGCTCGGACACGAGCCAGAAGCGCTTGGCGGTCTTCTGGATCTTGCGCTCGCCGTGGATCACGCGCTGGCGCTCGCCGTCAAAGACCGTCAGCTGCGGCCCAAAGAACAAGTGCTGCTCGACGTGCTGCGCTTCGGCCACGAGCTGCGCGTTGAGGTGCTCTGTGCTGATGACGGACGGCCGCACGACGGCGCACGCCGCGTGGTCGCTGCCGTCGGACGGGACGCTCCGGCGCAGGACGTTGGGCAGCGAGAAGAGCGACATGGGCGAGCGAGAGACAGAGAGAGAGAGAGAGAGAGAGAGCGAGAGACAGAGAGAGAGAGAGAGAGAGAGAAGTAGTCAGTCAGTCAGTCAGTCGGTCGGTTGGTCGTCTTGCGGACGGCGGATGGCGTAATGCGAGTGGGGGCGCGGGTCAGTGGATCCCGCGATACCTGTTGCGAATGCACGCGGAGGACTCTGTATAACGATAGTTGCGCTCGCAAAAGTGTTTTGTAGCGAGACGGTAGATACCGTACGCGTGATCGGGAAAGCGAGTGAAAGATCCGCAGGTCGCGAAACGAGATGATGGGGTTTGCCAGTCACTCGCCGTGGGTGGAATCAGTTTCTCGAGCAGGGGAAGGGTTGTCCGACCGACCATCTGCGAAAGTCGCTGCTGTCCTAAGAAAGAGTAACGAATGCCCTCCAAACCCCTTCTCGGGACGTTTTTACATCCTCTGAGCGACAGAGACGAGCCAGCGGGGCACCAAAACGCGCCCTCTCGCGCGGGACTCGCAAAGTGGGTGGGTGTCGTACCCACTGTGACGCGCTCTGTCGTGTTGTTGTTTGACGTCGTGGGACGTGCGCCATATGTAGCCACTTCGTGCGCATCCCCCGAGCAAAGCGACCGGAAGGCGAGCGGCGACTATAGCGCTTACCCAACTGACTGACCGACTGACTGTTAATGCAAAACGACAGCGATTTTCAACTCGAGTGAGACCTCATATCGACTTAACCGAACCACACGCAACGCCGAGGGAATCGATCGTGCGGTCTGCGTGCGACATGAACGAGACGCCCGTGAGAAAAAAACGACATGTCGGCGTGGGATAACCGCCACGCGCGTCACTGTTTGTTGCTCGCGTGAGAGTGTTTCGCTTCTGCTGCTGCTGCTGCTGCTGTTGCTGTTGTTGCTACTTTGGCTTCGCGGAGAGACTCTTGCAACAGACTGTGCCACGAGGTCGTCGTCAGCAGTCTCAGTCAGGTCCGTTATCAACAGCCGCTCTGCCTATCGCCTGTCCTCATGTCCCTTTGTCTCGTGCCGCTCGTGATTCATATAGGAGGCGGACGATAGCTGCTGCAGGTACTGCTGTTGCTGCTCAACGTGCTGCTCAAAGTGCCGCTCGTAGTACGGCGTCACGAGTGTGAGCACGAGGGAGCCAAACTACAGTAGAAAACGCCACAAGGAGTGGAAAGCACCGACAGCACAGAGCGCACACGTTAGTTGCCGAGTTAGCTGTCTTTGCCACCTCTGGCGAAAGCGGCGGCCAATGTGTGCTTGAGCCCGTCCATCGAGAGCACGTCACGTCACGTTACGCACCTGGAGATATCCGATGGTCTGGAAGTCGCCGATCGCTGCAATTGGCGTCTGCAAGAGTCCCACGACGCCGCCGATGCAGAATGCAGTGCCCGACAGCGCGCCATAGTGCTGGAAGCCGAAGCGATGCCCCACGTACGCAAACAGCAGCGAGAACAGGACGGTCCGGAAGAACGCGTAGGTCACAAAGCCCGCCACGATCCATTCGGTTGACGTGCTGGTCAGCATTGCAGTAAACGATAGCGCGGCGGCGGTGCAGATCAACGACGAGTACGTGTAGCCGCACATTTCGAGGAGGTACCCGACAAGCGGAATGAAGACGACGCTGCCTGGCAACACGATGGCCAGCGCTGATAGCAGACTGTCAATCGTGGTGTCCGTCAGCCCCTTCGATCGCAACAATGCTGTGATGCTGCCGAGAAAGACGTTGCACCACAAGCACTGAATGGAGAAGAAGAAGACGATGAGCAGGAATGGCTTGGACAGCACTTGCGTCCGGAACGAGCGATGGCGCAGATGTCCGTCGGAAAAGAGCTCGTCAGCCGGCAAGTGATGCCGTGTGCAGTACGTGTCCAGTTCTGGTGTCGACAACAGTCGCGCCGTCTCGTCTTCCTTGATCGCGTGCGGTGGACGCATCGGCGAGAGCACCTCGTGTTCGACACTGGCGGCAGCGTCAAACGGCGTATCCGGCTCTGTCATCAGAGTGCCGACCAGTGCAAGAAACAACACGCCTGCGTATATCGCAAAAACCGCGGTCATGGACAGACCGAGGCGCATGTACGCGAGGTCCAAGAGCGTGAAGATGAAGAAGCTAAATTGAAGACCGCCGACGATGAAACACGCTACGATTGCTGTTGTTTCGGGAAACAGATTGGACACGTGAATCGAAGAGAGCTGGATCCCGGGACCCGAGAACCCCACCAGCATCATACCATACAACAGCAGGTCAGGTTCAGCAGCATCCGTCCTGACGAGCACACACACACACATCAACGGCACAATCGCGTCAAGACACTATGCGGGATCGATGTGACACCAAGACGGTCAGCAGGCGATCCCGCACCTATAGTGCGCGTTGCCCACGAGCAAAGCCCCAGCAATTAGCAGTACCAACGACACGGCCTTTGTCACGCGAGGTCCGAATCTGCAACGTCCAAGCAGCACAGCGGAAGTATCAGCGTGGCAACAGACAGGACTTTGGATGCCGTGCTGAGCTGTGTTTTACGTACTTGTCAAGGACGAGACCAAGCGGCAGATTGGACCACATGCTGCTGGACACTGCCATAGTGAACGCGTACTGCAGACGATCGCTCTGCTCGTTGCAAACTATTGCTGCACAGCAACGAAATACACACACACAGACACGCACACAATTGTCCACTTCTCCCTCGTCTTTGAATCCCTTTCGGTTGCGCTGGTGGCGTCAAGTGCCCAAGTACGTGCGTACCCGTCTCGCTCGCTTTTCCACACAACTCGTTGTAGATCCGCTCTTTTTCCAGCATCGGCACGAGGGACGTCCTGCAGACGCCATCAGTTACAGACACGAGCACAACGTATGCCACACACACATACACACACACACGTCACGAACGAAAGTCACACTCCTGGGATGCAATACGCGTCGTTTGTACCAGCCAAAGATAACACCTGAGCCTAGAAAGCACTGCACGATGGCAAAGGCCACCAGTAGAGCACGATGCAAGTGGTACTTGTTGTTTGCCATCGCGTACGTCAATGTCGATGTTGTGGTCGGTCGGTCAGTCGGTCGGTCGGTCTCGTGGTGTCTCGGGCGCTTTTGAGGCGCGCGATGTGAAATAAGTACTGAGATAGAGATATTTGTAAATGTAGCTGCATCTTTGTAGCTTCGCAGCTGGAGACCAGAATACATGTGACGAGGCAACTCGGGTTTCCGCTGCGGCGTGGAGAGCAATGTGTGTCCACTTATCGATGTCGGAATCGGTTGATGTCGAGGAAGTCACTGTAAAACGACGCAAATCGAACAGAGAGTGAGTGTCGCGGAAGACGCCAAAAGCAAACGGGATCGAAGAAAGCATCGCCTTGCCGTGATTCGCCTTGATCTTGGCCTTGATCTTGACGCGCGAGCAACTTGTGCTTGCACGCCTCGTTAATGGTCGAAACCTCATCTTTTGACGCAAACTCATGGAGATGCAGATGTAGGAGATGGAACGAGCGGGTTTGATCAAATAGTGCCTGGCTGCTAACATTGAGAGTCATCTCACTCACTATCCATCGTGTTGAAATCGGTAGGCTAATGTGTGTAGGACTTTTCATTGTTTGATTCACGATCGGCAAATCTCGATAAAAAGACGAGCTACATCAACCCACGGGGCTTAAAGTCAGCTCTAACGGGTAGCAACTCCCTTTCTAGTCGAAGTCGTCAAGGTCACCAAAAGCGTAGAAGAGCTCCTCACTGTATATTGTATCCAAAGAATGTCATCGAAGCAATGACAAGCTCCACCTCGCATATTGATCATGAGCACGTGACGTCAAGCACGCTGTCCAGCTCTAATGGAAACGAGCGCCGAGCACGTCGTACGGGAACAGTGGCCACTAGTCATAGGTCATCATATGATGTTGCCACTCTGATTGAGATGTCGATCTGTCACTGTGGCCCATGCACTGCTATCCGCGGCCTTGTCAATTTTCTGTTCCAGTGTGACGATGATGCTGTCGACTGGTGTATCTCCTAGTCCGTACATGACTGTCATTGCTGTGGGCACGTTAGCGGATGCCAAGTAGATGTGCAACGAAGCAGAAGATCCCTCGATGATACAGAACATACTTCGCAAATCGTATCAATGCTTCGCAACAACGTCGGGTCGGCGTCCTCGGCCCTTCTTGTCGGAAGGATGATCACTCTGCTTAGTGTTCAAAGCACTTAGCGCGGAACACTACACCCATAGGCGTAGTGTTTGTCATGCTCGTCACGGAGATCGCTTCGTCTAGCGTCTCCAGGTCCAGGCGTAACACGTGTGTTCCGACGAGACCACCCGCAAGACACTTGGCTAACACAGCAATCTGTGTTTGCTCATCAATATGCTTACTTACACACACGATACAACTTACGAGGTAGCGTGCGCGTTGAGCGGAAGCGTGCATACCACGCTTACCCTGGGTCAAACTCAGAAGCTCAGCTCGAGGCTTGAGTTCACCACGTGACGGCTCAGACGTTTGTCTGGGTCTCATCTTGAACATATTACCGTACAGATCGAGCACATATGGGGTCGTGCCCTAAAGCCCAGACTTTGGCACGTCCACCCAAGTCGGACATGCTCAACTTCACCATCGCGTATACTACGATACGACAAGCATCGATGGTGTCGTCGAATTCGACGATCATCGTAGCAAAGAGTCCCTTTCGAGCTATTGTGATCCTACTTAGGTCAAACGTCGAGCTTTCAAGTCGGTGCACATGCGTCAGCACACCAACAGCAGCATTAGCTCGCTGGTGTGACAATATTTTGAGCTGTTGAGCACCCTGTTCACGGCGTGCATCTGTCAGGCGGACAACGTGGCGAGTATAAAAGGTGGGGACATCAGGCGACGGTTCATCGTCGTGCTGGTGTGACAGTCACAGTCACGAAGGACACAAGAAGAAGAGCATGAGAGGTTACATTAGTTTAGCCCGGTACATTTGCTAAACTTTTATACCAGTAATTATACACTCTATTTTCCCTTGTACAGAAGTTCCCCTAAGTGTGTTGTCAACCCGCAACAGCGATTACACTCAAGCCATCGACGGTCAAAATTTTGACCGCGTCCCATTCGATATCGCGTGAAAGGGAAAGCCTTGGCGGAAAAGTCCGTGATTTGTGTGCGAACCACGAAGTGCTACCGGGTGTAACGGCGCACCGCGCTTACATTGTATACAGTGTAAGACAACCTGCACTGACAATAGTGTAGGAAAGTGCCTCGAGACGTCGTGTACACGTAGGTGCAGAGGAAGCTGGACGACTAACTGACACTCTGTCGACTGAAAAAAAGAGAGCTGTACTTACTGTAGTTCACCACATCAAAGAAAACCTGCTTTATCCAGCGTTAACGATATCAAAATACAAAAGGAACGGTAAGTGTCTGCTCACTACACAATGCGCGCATTCATCACATACTGGATGCTTGGTTGATTGATCGGATGTGTAACGGGACACCGACGACTACGTACTGGACTACCAGTACGGAGTATACCTTTCACTGACAACAGTGAAGGTCAGTGCCCAACTAGGTGTAAACACTTACACAGAGGAAGGTAACGACTAAGGTAAATGCTCTGCTCGTAGTGAAAAAAAGTTATTTAACACAATTAAGTCCTATCAATCTTGTTTCTCTTGTTCGTCCTGACTTAATTATGTTAATCTAACTGAACGTATGATGACGTCTACTCACCACCCATTGCGCGCGTCTAGCAGCTATTGGTGGGTTGACATCATCACGATATCAACCAATGAGTAGACCCTTCGGTCATCTTCATCAATATCATCATGCTCCGTGATATTGTTGAAAGAATATTAAACGTAATATTCTATATTGTCATTTTAGCCTTAGTGTCAATATCATGTAACGGGCTACCCCGTTACAATCCTCTACATCGGTAGATTTCTTCGTCCTTATCACTAAACGCAGTGCCAGTATACCATCGAAATCGATCCGCAATGGACATCGGGTGACTAAAGTATGCATCGCCTTTGCTTTTGTGTCACTTACTGAGTGAAATTGTTGATAGCTCTAGTCCATCTATTCGCAAAGGGCGCTTGACTATGACAAGGACTCGGCGTTTGACTGCTGAGCCTACCTCGATCGTCGTAGCTACCTACAGAAGATCACATGTAGCGTTATTGCATCAAATACTGGCTTTATCGGATGCGTACGCCCACGTGCTGATGTAAGTGGCAGCTATCTTTGTCTGATATCGAGTGATGAACCGACATCGTATCTGAATCGACACATATGCGTATCACCGAACACGTCCGAATCCTGGCGGTTCATCTCGGGCTCACTTTCATGTGGACACTTGATGTACTCAATCGAATCATAATATATATCGATCACGTCCGTGAACTCCAAGTAGTGAATGAAGATATCGCATGCAGTGGGCACTGCGCGCGGAGCCAACACCACCAGTCAGAGCGTTTGACCTGCTGCACAATGGGGCAAGCCCGTATGAAGAATATCGCGGCCACGTCGATGCGAAGCACCTTTGAGTACGAAACAGTCTATGGACCCGCAAACTTAACGAGCCGCGCGAACCGGCCATCATATGTGATCTTGGTGATCTTTGACCGCACTAAAGTCGATGACCGTGGCTCGTTTCTTGATGAGCGGGCCCCAACTTTGGTTGAGATGAGTCCGCGCTATACCGTCGCACAAGGAAATGGTTTAGTAGAGAAGCTGATCGTTGTGCCATATCATCTTGCCGCCACCTAAAAAGTCTTGATGCATCACTGGGTGTTTCGGAAGTCGACAAGTATACTGCTTGCCCACGACTACCAACGTATCGACATCAACATTGCCAACATCGCCAGCGTCACCATCACTTTAATCAGCCGACATATTCTGAACCATATCTTCCTTTTGATCCGCTTCCCACTTGCTCGTCGTCGTGAACCTTGCCATATCGGGCCGTTGCCATCGTAAAGTGTGGCACAATGTTGCTCTTGATGTTGCTAGCGAAGGTCCCCTTCTCTCGAGAAACTCGTTCGCAAGAGCTTCGACCATTGTCGTGATTTAGCTGCTAAGAATGGTCGAATTCCATGTTAAGCACACGAAAGCAAACATGCATTCGATAGGGGCAACGTTTGCGGCAGCCAAAAGATGGAGTGAGGACAAAGGCTGCAAACGAAACACCTCGGGGACGCAACCCAATTCGATGTGGTGTCCGTGACACATGACACTCCGATGCGTTGCAAGGAGCACCTATAAACAACACCATCACAACGTCAATGCAACAGAATACAATAAAGTTGCGACAAGTTTCTGGATTCCGTGTTGTTACTCAACGTTTTTCCACAATCTAGCGTGAGCCTGTAGCGTCATTTGTCGACACACCGTATCAGCTCTACATTCATTCTAGCGTTAGCGTTCAAGATGCAACGGCAGCTCGCACATGACATGGACCAATACACGGTGACCCAAAAGCTTAGTTTAATCGCAGATGGATAAGCACAAGAAGTGAATTGCTATATAATTGTTTGCGGCTCATTGCGGACGATCAGTACGTTGGCTACGAGTGTTCAAGCTTAGACCCAAATCGGCAGATAGTTTAGTCAGACGTAGCTCCACCAGACCTATCTACTTGCTGGTAAGCCATACTAGCCTAATGCCAACGATCCTGGCAACTTCAACATGTGCATAACTGGATGGCGAAAAGTTGTCAAGCGATGATTCTCTCGTCTACTGTTGCTGCTTGCTCACGCACCACAAGCGTAGACTATTAGATCCTGGTGTCGTTGAGCGTTTGCTTCGTATACGGTTTGTACTCCACTCGAAAAAGTACTTACTGTGCACTGGGCGCAATGATTACCACATCTGCTTGTTCGTTGCAAAGCGCTCAGCGTATGATCAACATTCTAACGATGAACCGCCACGCCAGACTGACAAGTGTTCGATGGTCGTATCTGTTGTCATCGCAAAGACATTGCTCAATTTCGTCAGCATTTACTAGTCATACTCACATGCACCGATTCCCATGCGCTTAACGTATAGGTGGCATATTCCAGCAGCGTAGACACCTACTCGACAGAGTGCAGTTCTTCGAAACTAATCAACTGGTCATATGTAAGCCGCGTATAGTATAGAAGTGAGTTTATGACCGCACGACGGACAGCTAGCACCGTAAACTTGGCAGATCCCTGTCCCCTCACAAAAGCACGTAATCATCGTCATCGTCTCCGCCTGCAACGAAGCTGTTGGAGCTTTCAAGCTCGTCGTCGTTCATGTCGTCGCCTGAAAGGCAATCTGGTATCAAGAAATCGTTGCCGTTTGCTGCGTAGTCAGGCCTACAAGCGGCAACTGAAAAGGGGCACATGTCACCATTAGCTTTTACTTCGTCGTGGAGAATGCGGACACGACGCTCAAAGTCTTCGTAATCAGCGCGATTCTCGCACAAAAACCCAAGCGCCAGCGACGGATCGATCGAGTGCACGTCCATTACCAGCGGGCGTGAGGAATGAACCGTGCGCAAATGAGTCTGCGTGCACAATCAACATTCCACAGAAAGAACCACACAAGATACAAGTCAGCTCTTTTTCGACTCACACAAAGAACTCATGCAGTTACTAAAAACAGTCGTACCGCAGTAGGAAATGCAGCATTGAGCTCCGGCGCAGGGTGAACATCATGAGGGTCTAACAAATGCAGCTGATTTTGCTGCGTACCAACAAAGTAAACCGAGTGCCCCTTTTTGCCGCCGATAATCCCTACACTCTGCGGGAACGTAAACGTTTTCTCCAACGCCGGCACGTAACGCTCGTTCAACTGGTCCAGTCCCAGTCGTAGTGGAATCAAAATTAGCAACGCTGTGCTCCACTCTCGACAGTCGTCAACTGTTGGCGGATGGAGCAACGGGTCAAAAAACGCCGGCCCGTCATGCGATTCTATCTCTCTTGTCGCCACAGATTCCTCTTCCAAGTGCGACACACAGAGTCGCGTCACGTCGTCCCGATACACGACACCTTCTTGCGGCACATACATGACCACGGTCTCGCCACAATCCTTTCGATACCGATTCACCAAATCTCGTAGCACTTGCGCTGCGGTAGTCGGTCCGTACCACTCGCCCGGAAGCTTGTCGTAGTGCATTCCCATCTGTACCATACGATGAATCGAGTAGCGACACGCAGCATCGGGAGCATCAGCAAACCACGTCAACAGTTGCACATATGTTTTCGGCAACTTTCCGCTCTCTGTCGACAGTCTATCGACGTCCGCCTCTGCTGCCATCGGCGCTGGCAGTCGTCCATTATAGTGCCGCTGCAGCGCCTGGCCCAGCAACATTTGCGCCGAGCGCAGCATACACCCCCACCCCGCATCGCTAGAGAACTCATAGGGCGTCATGGGTACAAAATCCCGGCGGTAGGTGAACCACAGAATGGATTCAAACGCGCGTTTGTACGCGTCGAAATCCGTTGCGGCCACGTCGTTAAAGCGACGGCCCAGTAGCCACACGGGCGCACTGAGCGCCGACGCTGGCGTCACGTCCAGCGCGGAAATGCCGTGCGTGAACTGAGCCATGCGGCCGACAAGCCGACCCCCGAGTCCCCACGCCGAGGGCCCAAGCACGTCCCAGATCGCGCTGGCGTCAAGTGTTGTCGCCAGCGTGGACACGCAGCGGGACGAGGCACAGGACCCGATGCGAGCGACGTGTCCAGTGTAGAACACGACGACGACGACGAGGACGAACAGGAGCACGCGCACGAGGAGGACAAGAGGCGGTACGAGCCGTCGCGTGGGCTAAGTTTGGGTGTCGCCGACGCCGCGGCGTATACGATTTGAGAGGTCGCGAGCGCACTTGATCACTTTCGACAGGGAGCGGGAGAAAAGTGGATTGTGTGTGGTACACGCGAGAAAGCCACCGGTTGGGTGGTGTGGTGGACCCAAATTGGCTTTTGCCACAAATCTTTTTACTGGCACGAAAGCGCCCACGCAGTGCGCACGATGGCGACGTCGCCCCGCTCGATTCTGTCGTGGCTACGCCGCTGCCGGCGCGACGAGCTGCCGGTGGAGCGCACGTTGACCGCGATCCGATCCGTGCATGGACTGGTACCTCTGGGCGGGCGCGTGGGTGGCACAGACGGTGCCACGCCGCCGACAACGCCCCAAAGCGCTGCGTTCTCGCTGTTTTCTACGTCCCAGGACGCCACGTGTGCGGCCGATGTGGAACGTGACGAGCCGATTGAGGCAGTGCGATGGGAGCTGCTGCTTGCGAGCGTGCGCCTTCCGTCGTCGGGGGGACTACGCGAGCTCGAGCACGCGCTCGAGACGCTCAGCAAGCTGACATTATCGACCCAAGCACAGCACAGCACGGTCGATACTGACCGCTTGAGGCAAGCGTACTTTGCAGCACGGCGCGAATTCTTCACCGTTCGGATTGAGCTGCTGCGGACTGCGAGGAACGTGCAGCACCCAAACGCCCAAGCAGCGCGAGAGATTGTGAACGAACTGCTGACCGAGGGACTGGGCGACGCGTTGGTGGACGAGATGCTTGGTCGCCAGTTCTACCAGGCGCCGAGCTTTCGACGCGTTGGCAAGGACGAACGCAAGGCTCTCGTAGCTTGGGAAGTGCAATTCCTGCAAGAAGAAGCGCTGCTGAGGGAGTTGCTGTTGCTAACGCTTGAGTTTTCAGAAGTTCACGCGACATTGGAACGCGCGGTGGCGATTGCCAAGACTGTGCATGTTTGGGATGTTCAGGTGCTGGATGAGCTAATTATGAACAGCACGTTGGAGCTGCCTGGTGCGCAGCAGGCGGTAGAAACGTTGACGCAGGTGGGAGTGTTGGTGGCATTGCGGATGCTGCATACGACGGTTGCTGGTTTGGAACACGAGGCTTTACTTAACGCGTCAAAAACGTTCTTTTTGACAAACTTGTGTGGACTCTCGGGTGTGGAGCTGCGACCATCGCCGGTGCCTGGAGTGCTTCTATTGGCGTGGGCGACACTGTTAGGTCGGCAATACCATGTAAAAGTTGGTCTGGACGGAGATAGTGCGGAAGTGAAAGAGCTCAGAGACGCGCTACAGCAGACACTGGCGTCGGCAGAGCGATTGCGCAGCTTTCACTACTTGAATTCACTTATGCGTTCGTTGGTTTTTGGCATCGACTCTGCAAACGCTGGCCTCGCAAGATTGAAACCGCTCTTACAGCCATTGAGCCCGTACGCGAAGGCTTTGTGGATCTTACCTACTGATGCTGTTTCCGCGGGACCAAACGGCGTCAATGCGACTCATTCGGATGTGCTTGTCAACTGCGACAGCGCTCCCGTCTATCAATACGTGGTTGCAGTATTTTTGAATGAGATGCTGTCTTCGCTGGGTTACATAAAAAATCTTGATGACGCCCAGCAGCTGCATGCAATGGTAAAGTTTGTGCTACCTGCGCTATCGAATACTCGCGTGTCGCAGCAGATTTTTGATATTGAACTGGAAGATAGCTGTATGGTAGACAATGTAGCTCCTGGTGCAATAGCTACGCTTCGTGAGCTACTGACGAAAACCCGAGCATGTTTGCCATGTACCGTAGTCCCGTGCATCCAATTGTTCACGGCGCTGTGCTGCAATTACCAAGGAGCTTCGTCACCAACCGTGCTTCGGCAGGTGCTGAGGTATTTCAGCATGCCGCACGCGGGAAAGGATGAAACAGTGGCTGCTGGTGATGGTTGGCATCCACTGCCGCCGAGGGAATATTACACCGAGATTGGCGACGGGCAAGACACGTTACTGTGCACGCGGTCATTTGCTTATGGTGGTGCAAATGGACCATCGGTAGTACCTGCACAGACTGTTGGTACGATTCTGCGCTATGGCGACGTCGTGAAGGTCACTTGGCAATTCTCAGACGGTGACGGAGACACGTATGCGCCTACCATGTGGGACCTACTTTTCCAAAGTGCAGATAGACTTATGACAGGTCACGAGTCGAGGTCGTTTGCGGATTTGTATCACACAAACGTAGAGGATGTACATATCCTGACATCGTTTTTCGAATTTATCGTACAGCTTGGTAACCAAGAAGACAATGGTGAGGTTGTAGTGGAAGAGATGGAGCGCTGTTGGGGTGAGGCGAGATTGCGTCATTGGTGGATCAGCCACAAACTTCCCTCACCACAGGTATACGTATCCCAGCTCCTAGCGCATAAAATTGCTCTTTCTACTTTGCTCTCAGCATCGAGGGAAAACTTAGTTTCTTGGGGTATCAGAGAGCGGTACATACAAGATCAGATAATGGTACGGCTTGGTGACGTAGGGGGCCTCGGTTCTGGAAGTACATCGATGGGACTAGCTGACCGGAGTGCTGTTCGATCCATGGCTTCATATAGTGTGGAAGGAGGTACCCACTTGTTACGCGTTGTACTAAGAGTTCTGTGTAGATTCCTACATACCGCTTCGCATGACGACAATAGTATGGAAGACGATAGCCCTTGTTTCGTGGCGCACATGCATCTAGTTGCAGCATCTTTCGTTGCGCTTCGGACAATTATAGCGACCGCGTCTGGTGTGGAATTATTCATGAGCTCCTCCCTTGGCGGTGGACAGGAAGGATGTCTTGCTACGATCGTCGAAAGCGCGAAGAAGTTTTTTGAATTGCAGGAGCGGTCAGCAGGGGAGTATTCGGTCGTGTTGGCAACTCAAGATATTTTTATGCGCGTGGTTCGGTGGTTTCTTCTAAAGGAGGCGCAATCGCTTGCGGATTTTGCCACACGTGCAAAGGTTTCTCCGATAAGGCTTCGCAAATTTATTGATAGTGAAAGACTTTGGTTCGCCAGTGCAGTGGAGTTTGTGAATGGAATATTGTCGACCTACGAAAGTTGGAAGTTTGTGGCAACGAATGAACGATGCGAGGTCGCGGAACGCTGCCTCCGTTTGCTCTACGTACTTGTTCTGCCCCGAAAATGCGTCAATGAGCACAATGATATGTTACCAGCTTTTGAGGCTGCGCTGCGTGGGAAGCTGTCCATGGACACAACATTCGTCATGAAGCTTTTACGGTCATCATGTGCTGTCTTGTCAGCCATGGATGGCAAAAGTGGTTGCTGGAATAATCTGAGTTCAACCGGTGTTCACGAGCATCGTAGCATGCTGAGCTCTGGCACTGAACGAGGCGATAGTCACGTTCTGTTGAGACACATCGGCGAGTTTGGCAGTGACGTGATCAACATGGTGCAGCTTGAGTCGCTGGTGACGACGTGTTTACGGTTCGTGACACTACTGATCTCAAACCGTAGAAATGTAGTGGATCTGGAAGCTGCGCGAAAGATCTTGCTGATACCTATTGCCTATGGGGGCATGAAGGAGCGCAAAGAACTAACAGTTGTCACGCTTTGTGGAGAATATCTCGGGTACCCACTTGAACTCGCCCCTGGAATCGCATACTGGTCCTTGCGGATCTTACAGCATGCCGCTGTTGCCGTTGACTTCCGTCAGGAGCGAGAAAGCCGCAACCCGTCTGTAATGCAATCACTTGTTTCGCTTTTCCACGGATGCGAAGACCTTGATATTGTTCGCGGGGCCTTTGCACAGCTGTTGAGCGTATCGCCAACTCAACGATTTGCGCTGCAAAAAGAAGTCATTCACATGCTGGCGTTGTGTTTGAAGCACCAACCAGGCTTCTTAGCTCTACTGCTCTTCGGTGTTAGTAGTACGAACGATCCGAAGTCCGACAAGATGAAGAACGAAAAGGCTAAAGGAGACGACGTTTCTTGTATGCTATTGCTGGAGCGCCTTTTTGAAGACCCAGTAAGGCTCTTGGAACAAGCTTCCGATCTTTTCTGTACCCTACTTGCTTTTGTTGTGCAGGTATGGAAGGGTGCCGTCCATAATCGTTTTGGCATTCATATGAGGATCATGACAACACTGCGTGCGAACCCCTCATTTTGGTTGAATGTTACACAAGCTATCAAGATCCACATGCCGTCAGACACGGAAGAGGAGCGCGGCCTTCTGGATATGGAGCTTGCCGCTGCAACCTCTCTAGGTGGAGGGGATACGCACAGCTTATCGTCCTCATCCGAGGTGTACATCGGGCGGTCTAGTGCGTTCGGGTACATGGCGCGCGGCCTCATCCTTCAGTTGGTGTCATACGAATGGCATAATGAAGCTTCAGAGCTAAAGGATCACCCGCTCGTAGACGTGCTGGAATCGTTTCGAGAGGAGGGGCTGTATTCGCACTGGTTACGCACCTTCACGCGTCTCGATTATTCGCCAGTACAACTGAAGCTGTATGCGCCGTCTATTCAGCGTGCCTGCAATCCACGCGCACCCATCACGAGCATGCATGGTATGATTCCCGTCGATGGCGTCTTCATGTATCTAGAAGGCCTCATTTGCAGCAACAGGCAACTCGAATGGCAATTTGGCCACGGTGCTTGTGCCAAGCAGGAAGCTTCTTCCGCGGATATTCGCATGTTGAAATTACTTCGGTGGAGCAATTTGCAAGCTGCCTATCTCCACGCACAACTCTTTTCCTTGTCCAAGTGGAAAGTGTTCATGGAGCTCTGCTGCTTCCAGGTAGATGAAGAAACCCGCGGTGTATCTGGTTTAGAACTGACGAGCAGAACGACCGAGCCAAGGTGTCGAAAAAGGAAAGAATCGATGATTTCATCGCCTTCTAGGAACAGCGGATCAAGGAGAATGCAAAGCGCTGGTGCCACATCGACGGCGTTTTTAACTCCATCTAGCTCTGAACATTCATTGTCGTCATCACGCTTTTCTGGAGATCGAACGTCCTTCGAAATGATTCGTGTCCTAGCGGACGTCATCGAAGCTAGTGTGGACCAGCACGGTAATCAAGGCGAAGTGCTGGACTATTTTGTGCTTTTACACCTCCACGGTCTAGTGCAGCTGTTGGTGTCCATGTTGCACCATCAGTTGTGCCTAGTTGTGCGCAAGACATATGACCCAAAGTTATCGCAGACTCGGCAACGCTTTGAAGGGTCTGAGCCACACTTCGGCCTTAAGCTTGATGCCAGGGCAACATTACAACTATTGAGTCTCGTCGACAAAACTGTCAGTGCAGTGCACGACTCCGTTAAGCGTGTTGCGCGCGAGGCGGATATTGTGGGACATGACGCCATTAATCAGTCTATGTCTACTTCGGTTGAGCTTGCTACTTCCGTGCCATTGATTTCGCGGCTTGTGACCGACTTCGAACAAAGCTTGAAATCTGTGACCGATGGGTTGCTTACGTTGCTGGTTACAGCAGCCTTACTGCTAGTACGTCATTTGAATAAGATCAGTGGTCACCTTAGTCACAGCGCAAAACGAGAGACCGAAGCAAAGGGTGTTTTGACAACCAAGGCTTTGGTGCCGATGAAGTGGATAGCTCACTGCGTGAACGTGTTCACACTGTGCAATGATCGCGAAGAGCAGACGAGGTCTTCTCAAGCTCTATTTCAGCTAAGCTGGTGCTTGTGGCAGGAAGTTGTTGACAACTATGGTAACAGTAACGCTCCCCTGGTGGGAGTGTCAGAGCCGCGCATGATGAATGTGATGCAGCTCAATCCATTTGTCATGGATATGGAGTATGAACAACAAGGGATCAGGGCGGTGTTGCACCTTTTGGTGCAGCGCTTTCGCCCTTTATCACCAAGCAAGCAAGTGTCTGCATCACAGGAGGACGCGTGTCAGGTATTGCGAGGGCTTGCAGCAGTTGTGTGGAACCCGGCCAACAGTGCTCGTCCATCCTTTTGTCTGCGTTTAATATCGCTGCTCACGGCACAACTGCTGCCCCTACTGCGAAGCCGGATGGAGCGCGAAGAAGCCACTAGTAAGCTACGCGGCTATATACTGCAGAAGAGTGACGACGTCATGACGGGTCAACTTGAAGACAACATACATTTACAGCGCTCTGTCGCACACGAAATGTGGTGTCTCGTGCTCGACATTGTGAGCGGCTTACTGCACCTGCATGCAGAATATACTGTTGTCGGGTCCGACAAACTGGACGTGTGGGAGTTTATGTCGTCCGCTGAATCGCTTCTGCTGGCTGCGGTGGAGCCTTCGACTTGTCCGCGTTTGACGCGCGCCACTATCGCAGAACACCAATCATTGTTGCAGCTATTGAGTGGTCTTAGCAGAAGTGCATCGACACGGAAGTGCTGGCGCCAAGCTTTTCCGACAAGTGCTGTAGTGCTTATGGAACAGAGTCGTCAGTTGCTTCGTCATGCATGCGTGCTGCTGGGCAGTTCATCCACGAAGGACAATCGGTACTATTCCGAAAAAGTGGAGTGGCAAAATGGAAGTAGATCAGCGAACAACGCTATTGTCAGTTATGGCAAAAACCGCAGTTCTAAATCGCCGCGATCACCACGGTCTCCTTCGGCCTTCCCATATGCGTGCGAGACACTGTTGCACGAGCAGTTGCATGCCGTGCGAGATGTTGAGAAACGGGAGGTGCGCGCTTTTCACCGAGAAATGGAGACCGAGCTGGTTAAGGTCGTGCGATTCGCAAGTTTGCTGCTGAGCAAATGGACCGCTTCGCCGACTGACCGCGGCGCTGTCCTTGTAGTTGGTGGGGTGCGGTGCGTAGATGAAGAGCAACTCGTGCCTTTACTTGCATTTGCTCCACCCAGCGAAGCGCGTTCCAGGAACGGTAGCCCGAGCTTGGGCCATTTGAGTCTTGCCATGGACTTCATTCTCGATCGGCTGTTGGCAAAAGAGGATCCGCAATTGGGCTTGCAAACGGTGGAAATGAGAATGGGTTTAGCGAACGCTATGAACGCGTGCGCACTGCTATTTCTGAAGACCTGTTGTTTGTATGCGGAGCAGTACGAGTTGGTGAAGCGCGACCGCGATGAGTTTAGCAGCTTCTTTCGACGCTTCCATGCTCGAATACACGAAGATGAGACAGGAGCCACTTCTGCCGTGGACATGCAGTTGCTCCAGCACATTGACTTGGTGCGTATTCAGATGGATGCTCTTGACTGTGTGTGATTGTTCCGTCTTTTGCTAATGTTGTTGAGGTGTACAGGTCATTGCTGGACAATAGCATTTTCGTGTGACTGCCGTATGATTGTGTGCTACGGATAGTCGTGCTATCGCAATTGGTACGTATTCGTGACGAGCTTCGGTTTCTGTCACTTCAACCCACAGCCAGCTTTAACATGTTTGCAACAGTGTTCCATTGAATCAAATTATGCAGAACGTCGTCAAATTGGGGCTGTAGCAAGCTAAACAACAGCATGGTGCTTTCAGCGCAAAATGGCGAATTTGACGTCCTCTAAATCGTTCCGGTTTCTGCGCTTGTTTATATTCGGATGCTGGAGACACGTCGTTCGCTACACCAATCTGGCTGTAAGTTCTACGTAAGCACCTCTTACTGAGAACTCTTGTCATCGGTCGCTGTGACGCAGTGGCGACCAAGATTAGCAGTATCGGGCTACCAGCCAGGAGTAGTCAGTACCCCTCGAGTCCCTGCTGCAGAACGTGACTATCCGAAGCAAGGGCGACGAACATCGTGCCGCAGTTCACTGGCCCTGTGCCCGGCGCCCCGCGGCCTTGTCGGCCATACAGCACGGCCGAGCTTGTGAGCAAGCACTTAAGCGCATGCAAGAGAACGATCACCTTGTGCAGAAGGTATGCGGAGCGACGCATCTTTCGATCTGCACACCCCTTCGGTGGCGTGCAAGTAACTCGCCGCTGCAATAAAGTTGTGAGGACCTTGCAGAGTACATGGAGCCAGTGTGAAAGCCAGCATTTTGAGCCATTGCGCACAAGCCAGACCAATCGGGCCTACTCAGATTGGCCATATTGGTGCATTGTCGACCTCGACTTGGTTGAGAATTTGGCGGAGCTCAATGATAGCATCCATCTCGTCACTTGCAACTACTGCAACCGAAACGCTCAAGAAGTAGGACGATGACCAGGGCAAGAATCGTGGAACCTCTCGACAGCCGTAGTGGCGTGCCTGTCTTCGATGACCCGTGGTGAGCGACGCCAATGTAGACCGCATCCTGCCGCCCATGGACTGCATTATGAGTTCGGGTTAGTACCTCGAGTCGGCCGAAAAAATGGCATTGACATGATTTTAGACGGCCTAGATTCGGCTAGAGTTGCTCTACTGCGCGTCAGGTGCTCGGCTGTTGAATGAGATGCGGGTGGTATAACAACGAAGCTCTGAATGAAAATCCTGTATTTTAATTCGCTATATCTTTTCTGCGCTATCGTAGGAGTCGTCATCGCACTGTGACTTTCGCGGGAAAGTCCTCTCGTTCGATGATGGCAGCGTTACAAGAATGCATACGTACCGTGTCTGCTTGCGAGCGTTGAGCATGTCGAAAGTGATTTTTTGTTTTCCGCGGTCGGACTAGTCCTCCAGGAACCCAAGACGTTCCAAAGGTGGGCCGCTCTCAATCATCTCATCCACCCGAGAAATAAGGACATCCATACATTCCATTGTGTCACCCACGATATCGATCTGTTGATGTAGGGTTAGGGATTCGAAGTTAGCGTTCTTTTTTTTCAAATGACTGACTCTCAGTTGAGTATTGATCCAAAAACTCCTTCTGTTTCGAGTTGTCACAACACCTCCGACCCTCATTGTAGCCTCAATAATCTCCAGGCATCGATCACGAAGATCAGATTTATTGATTGTCGTACTCGCTTCTCGGAGGAGAATCTTGAGGCCTCCGTAAATGTCACTAATGAGTTTGTAGTACAGATCCGGTTCTTCAGGCTTGGCACGTGCCCAGTACTTCTTTAGCACGACGTCTGCTGCACTGTCGCCATCGAATAAGTCATCAATAGAACGTCGAGTCACGCCCAGTTCCTTCGACGCGCCTGCAGGGTCGATCTCACCCTCAGCCCACCGACGTAAATGAACCTCCAAGTAATCCTCTCCGAAATCTTGCACGTTCTGTTACGGGGTGAGCCCGTTACATAAAAATTGATATTTTTGTATCAATTTTGAACATTGTCTATTTAGATAATGTTCAATTGACATTACCCGTTAGGAAAAAGGTTGAAGGAATATTACCCCCGAGGGTAGTATTTCTTTGATTGGTTGCTCCACCTGATGGTTGATGTTCGCGGTACATCAACCAGATTAACCACCAATTGCTGCTGGACGCGCGCAATGGGTGGTGAGCAAGAGACCCACATAGGAGATTGTAGTTTAATATAGTTAGCTCAACACGAAAGATGGTTTATTGAGAAACATAACTATATTAAATACAGTTCTACTTTATCCCTTAGACAGAGCTTTGGAGTTCTACCTACTTCACTGCGCTTCCTCACGCCAAGCGTACGTGACGTCACGTGCACACAACCTTGTGTTGGATTGACACAAGGCGTGCCCCGTTACACCTGGTAGCACTTTGTAGCCCATCCAGCGACCACAAACACCTCATCCGACATGAACATAATGGATGAGGAGGAGAGCTTTCATGCCACACGTGAAGGCTTTAACCATTTGAGTGACATCAGAGGTGGGGCGGTAGAACGAATGAGTTCTACCATCGGGAAAACCGCCATTAGCGCCATGTTGGAGTCCCTTGTTAGGGACCAACAACATGCCGCTATAGCCATGTTCATCCAAAATGAACTTGTCGCCGAAAGAGAAAAGAAAGCCTTGATTCACCAGCAAGGCTCTCAACAGGCCAAACAGTTGAGAGAACTCGGTGCTCAACAGACAGAGCTGTTGACAGCAGCAATTTAGTGCTGCTTTGGGCGGGACGACACACATGCGTCGTTCCGAAATCTTAAAGATTGATATCTCCAAGTACAGAGGAGTCGATAAAGACTCCCTGTTATTATGGCTCGTCGAACTATACAGAGCCATAAAGGCACGTCGTATCGACGATGAGCAAATGAAACTCACATTTGATCAAGCCCAGTTGACAGGACGTGCCAAGACTTGGGCCTTAGGGCTCGAGATGAGCGACCCGTATGCTTTCGTTTCACTAGAAGCCTTCAAGGCCCGGCTCAAACCAACGTTCAAACCGCCCCGGGCTGAGTTCAGGGCTCGATATGAGCTCCTAAACTCAAACAGGGTAAGCGTGATGTGCACGCTTATGCTCAGCATATACGACCCCTCGCGAGTAGTACAACTGCTAACCCTGTACATGGACACACGTTGATTACTGTGCTCATACAAGGGCTCGCAGATGGTCCCGTCAGAAACCACCTGTTCCGCTTAGAGCTGGATACGCTTCAACAAGCAGTCGCAGCTGCCGAACAGGAAGACTTTAGCATGAGACAGGATTTGCTAGCTCTAGTTCTTATCGGCCACCGAGACGATCAGCGGTCGGAGGTCCAGAACCCATGGACCTCCTTTATGATGAGAGCGATAGACCTCGCTCCTCAAACAAAAAACGATTGCAGAAGTGCAATCGCTGTTAGAAGCTAGGACACTACGCTTACGAGTGTAGTACCCCACGCCCAGTACCAAACAGTATTAAGGGAAATGGTCGTCCATTTGCCAAACTGGGCAATGGGCGTAGGTCCAACGCTGTTGCAAAATCGCAATAGCGAAGCGGGCTATCAAAAAATGGTCGGGGTTGGTAGGGGCGGAGCACCCTACTGATCCAGCAACCTCGAGAGAATTTGCAAACATCTTGCCGAAAGTTGCTCCAGATACACAATCGTTGTGTGTATCTGCACCTGGTGATGAAGTATCACTCATCACCTTGAAGTTGCAAGTGAAAAAGATTTGTCACTTCGCGCCCTAGTTGACTGTGGGGCGTCGAACAACTTTGTTCGACGCCAGTCACTAAAGGGTCGTGAGCTCAAATTTCTGGAGTGCGACATACCTTCAGCGAGGATGATGGTGCGCCTATCGACAGGCGCATCGATAATCTGTGAAAGCGTGTAGTGGGAATTCACTATGCGTTAGAAGACGGTCAGTAAGATGATGATTTCATCGTACTAGATCTGGATGAAAAATTTGATATCGTCCTGCGATTACCCTGGTTCAGAAAGTACGAGCCAAGGGTGAGCTGGCAGCATCGATCCGTCAAGATACCAGCCGCTTGTTCATCAGATGGACATCTCACGAACGCCATGGAGCGTCCACAAGCGTGTGGATGTACTGCGAGCGAGTGCGATGGCCTCACTTGCAGTACGGTCGTTAGCAAGACTGCACAAGACCTCAGTGTAGCTGATCACTACACTGTGGATCAATCTCCCGGCGGCTGTACAGAATTACAGGTAGCGCCGAAGGTCCACCACTCGAATAAGTTGAGTTGATCGGGACATGGATGAATGTCTAGCGGTCAGCATCTTAGAAGTAAGAAGCCTGTTGCCTCCAAGGGACAACACGGTCATCTTAGGTCGACTGGAGAGTCGACCGTAGAGGATCAATCCCTGAATGTGGTTGCACAGCCACAGTCGGAAGACGTCGACGGAATAAGTCCCCACGTGCTTGAGAAAGAAAGTCCTCAAAAGTCTCATGCTGAGGGATTAGGCCTTCAGCAACCTGTGTAAACAAGTTCCCAAGGAAGAAACCGAGACGTTGAGCGTCTTGGTAAATGACGGATCAAGTACAGGCGATTATACACTTGATCTGATTGTGTCTCCGAAGGAGATAAATCAATTGCCAACTCTTAAACCCAAACGGTTCTTGCGTGATAAATCAATTGCCAACGCTTAAACCCAAACGGTTCTTGCGTGATCTGCGTAGTAGCAAGGTCAAGCAGGTCTGCATACTCGTCACGGAGGATGAGTATGTGGCCGATATTCGGTCGGCAACAGCGTTTGCTGAGAACGAACGGGTTATCAGCAATTCATCGATTGACGAAAGCGTCATCGATGAGAAGACTCGGATTGAGCGATACATGTCTCGATCCTGGGAGTCACTTCAGGTAAATCCTTTACAGAAGGATTTGATCGAATTCTAGGATGTGTTCCCTGAATTCTTGTCATTCGACATACCTTAGGCTAAAGGCACTCGACACGAGATCGAGCTCAAACCGGGCTCAAAGTACTGTGTCATGAAG